ACTCAGCGACAGCGATACTTTGGTGCATAAATTCACAGCTAGTATGTGTTGTCAGACGAATGTTTTGGTACACATTGCAACAAGAATTGGCTGAGCCATTCTACTTGCCCCCTTTACGCATGTTTCAGTTTTCTTTAATTTAGTTACATAACATTGTCGAGAATCCTTCTGTTCAAAATAGAGACCACATGTATTTGTATTTCCCATCAAGGACAATGTCATTCATTATTTATTGCTGGTTCATTAGTGAAGTGTTAATTGGGCATTTTATCCGCCAACTCAATTAGCTGAGTTTTCAAAAGGGCAAGCTGATTCATCTTTAGAAATCTTCTCTAAACCGTGTTGCGATGATGGCGTAGTCTCTTTCGAGTAGTTTATTAATAATAACTGCATGCACGAATTTGACTGTATTTCTTGGTTTCTTGGATGTAAAGAAGAAAAGAAGTAACAAGGGCTAAGGAAATGAGAATCATACGCAAGAAAAACGCTGGTGGTTGTGGCTTTAACGAAAATGTGCGTTTCAAAAACATCGAACGATTGTACATGCTATTTTTGTTTTCTTTCCTTGCGTAGAAAGAATTTACATTGTCTCTCGATCTATGAGTTATCTTTGTCTACATGTACTGCTGAGTGGTAAAACAGTCAATGTGTGATGTTGAACGCATTTCATTGCTTTGCGGCTATTTCTAGTGATTAGAATCAGTCAGCTAGACAGAACCGACTTCAATTTTTTTACATTTGTTAGGTTTTATCTTAACGTCGTCACAGAAAAATTTCCAATTTGGTTAATCAAGTACTTTACTTTGTAAGAGCAAAAGGCCTTAATGAGCGTACACGTTAAACCTCACTCCTCGTTGAGAATTTCCACCTCAACTGAAGATGTTGTGGGCAACCTGTTCGTCAGTCAAAACTCAATTTGCAAATAAATTGAAAATATTCGCACAAACTTGCAATCAAATGATCAGAGATAAGATAAAATGAGGAGTAGTAAAATGGAATGTGAAAAGATAAGTATATAGGTAATCAATGGCCCAAAGTTATTTGACCATAATTACTATTGTTCTCAATTCTCACCACTTAGACTCCTTTAATCTTCCCAAGCACATATTGCGAGTTCAACTCTCATTTTGAGATGTCAAGCACCAGCAGCACATTATATGTATTTCATAGAGTGCTTTCTCTAAACTGTCCCAGTTCGAATGGTAAGATTGGTGATGTATGCAGCTTTTATACCGTGGGTAGTGCGTCCCTTGCATCAAATATGCTGTGTAGAAGCATAATGGTGCAACAGTCAAAGCGTTTGGTTCTCAGGAGCATGCACGCGAAACCTTAACTCGCAAATTTAAGTCTGAGAAGCGCGCATATATCAATGCTTAAAAGTCACTAGTGTCTTCTACACTACTCAGCATGTATCGTATGTTGGGTGTTGGACCAATCACATCCATTTCTGGGCAGTTCCTGAATCATTAAAATACTGCAATGTGTCCATTGTTTGGCAATGTTTATCTAAAGTCTTGCGAATGCCTCAGATTCTGGGCGTTTCCTCTCGACAGTATAAATGAAGTCCATTCTTACCAGCAAAAGGTTAGATGTTACCAGTACCTTTTAATTAACACCATGCTCGTTTTACTTTGTTCGACAAACAAACGTTTATCTCCACGTTCACGATATACTTTTGGGTTAAATGAGGTTGTGTTGACGACTAATTTCTTTCCCATATATGGTGCATTTGCATTCAATCTTTTATTTCACGAAGTTAAAGCTTTGTACTGAAAACTATCAGAGAATTTTTCATATCTTAAGACAAGTAGAACTCATTTTAAATGCCTTTTTTGCGAATATTCGATGATGTGGACAACAGACTGATTAAACATTTTCTCCTACCGTCGACCAATTTACAACTCCAAGACACATTGTGTGTGTTAAGGAGGAAGTTAGATATTCAGACCGGTAACGTGTGACGTCAGACTGAGTACCACTAGATATGCTGCTGTTCCTGACTATGATATACACCCTAACCTGCAGATTCGAGTATAGTTGTTATTTTTAACACCTCTATATTCGGGTAAAAGAGTTACTAATCGTCCTAGTTTGTTTATTTTGAAATTCAAGTACTGCTTTTGCACGCGCTGTTTACAAAACTAGTCTTCGCATCTGTTTTTTAAATTTTTATTATTAACGGATGTCTTCACCGCATATAACCTTTGAGTCTGTGGGTTCTGAATAAATAACCCACCGCAGCTACTTAATCAAAACGAAGCAAAAAAGCTTAGGTTCACAGTACTGAAATACCCTACCATATACGGGTAGTCAGTCGACCAGGTAAGTAAAATTCTCAAAGGTGGAAACCATATAACAAATTCGAAATTAACGTAAAGGAAAATTGCAGGAGGGCCTCATCATCTCAAGTTGTTATCAGAAAATCTCAATAAAAAGAAACAAACATCTAGAATATCTAAAACATTCCGACTAAGTGAGTGCAACTCGCGGTGATAAACACTGAATTTATTTAAACCGATGAACAAGTTCACTCCAAAAAATACAGGATCTTGCTGAACACGTAAATGTTTTACACCGATACTCAACATAACAGGAGACTTCTAGTACTCATGATACATGGTGAGTTAGCATTCTACTGATATATGTAGCTGCCCTAGATGATGAATCCGATGAATATAACATCCTATGAACCTTACTGAGCCAAGAAAGAAATAAGAAACACTTTGCTTTATGAAACCTTTTTGTGATTGTCCATATCTGAAACAGCGATTCTAGACGAGGTCATTCGGGCATAGACTGCTTAACCATGCTAACTCATGAAGTAGTTTTTCCTTTTCTTTGGGCGTTACACGATGTCGCCAAAGAAGAGATTAATGAGTTAATTCGTGCTTAAACATCCCAGGAGGTGTGTACTCTCTGAACGGTTAATAATTTGTAGAAGTTCAGACTTCTAATTCATTTCACTATTTAGCTCAGTGAAAAACAAAATTTCTGTTGATTCGCCTCTGGATGATGGTCTGTTCTTTCGATGGGAAAAAAATATGTTGATTACACTTTGACTGAAATCTGCGTGAATAACTTCAAAGTTAAGTTAGTAATCATAAAAATCAAAAGAGTTTTTGCCTTATTTTGATTGCCTGGAACAGCAGTGTACTTATTTATTTAGTGATGCTTATGTTAGTTCAGCTGTCACTTCTCTTAACAACTTATTGCATGTGTATTTTCTCAAACAAGAAAAAGCTGTGACACGATCATCAACTTAGAAAATATCGAAAATTGATTCCTGTTTGTCACCAGATGTCCAGGAATGGTCTCTGATAACACTTATCTACGGTCGGTTTTTCTTTCTTAGACTTATAATGAAGTTCTGACCTCTTGATTGGCCTGAGTTCAATCAAAAACCGACCTCAAATAACTGGAGTTGGCGACGAAGTTGTAATATTTATGAGATAAAAAAGTTCGTGTGTAAACAGCATTTATGGCGTGTTAATAATCATATATACGTTTCATAGATAAGAACATGAAGTACATGAAAGGTCAAGTTCAGCCAAACATGCCAAATTTAGCCGAAAGAACTGAGGCCATTCAACTCAGTGTGCCACGCTCGCACACTATCCCAGAAGAATTCCTTTGATTTGGTCAAATTAATTTCACAGGAAAAACCTTTGACTTGGTTTATTCACCCACTAGAACGCCTTTCGATTGAACAACTAATCAAAGGAAAGAAATTACCTTCCAGAGCCAATGGGATATCGTTTAAACCATTAACTGCCTAAAGCGCGGGAAAACGGTTTTAGTTCTGTATTTGATTGGTTAAAGGGAGAGGCGCGAGTATACGGGACCAATCACAGAGCGAGGTTTGGCAAAACCAATACAATTGCGGATTATTTTCGAGATTAAATTGAAAAAGTACCATAAACAGCCTATCATAAAAGCAGCACGATACATTGTTTTAAAAAAAGACCACAAAGACTAAGACACCTATATATCAATCGCCTAAGTTCAGTTAGATTATGACGTTACAGAGTCTAGTGGGGAAACTAAACAAAGTAAACATGGCCGGAAACTTAACTAAAATTATAACATAAGTAACCTGGCATTCATTGGAAATGGAAATCCACTAGTTTAAAAACTTGTAATAAAAGCCGCAGTTCAAGAAACGGGTATCCCATGATACTTAGCAACACAAATCCTTGCTTTTTAGCCTGGCGATGTCTTCAGTAAGCAAGTATGCTGAGTTTGATCTAAGAATTATTAAACTCAAATTTATCTCAAAAACCCACAGAATGTGACATTTTGTAACCGTTGATAAGTATGACAAAAACATGGTCAACTTAAGCAATTCGGCTTTTTACAAACGTACACCTTACTTTTCGGTTGTAGACAGATACCGAACTGAAACATATATAAAACAAATATTTCTGTGTGAGTAAGAAGGATTTATTTTTATCGCTTTCCTGTCGGCAAACTGTAAAGGAGATGAAAGTAAAAGTTTTTATATGAAGCTTCCAGCAAAAGAATAACCATGAATTATTAACGAAATACAGCGCCAATTTTCTTGGTAAATAAAGATGTCTTTCGGCTCGTAAACTTTTGAGTAAAAATTGCGGGCGAAATCGATATAGTCAAGTGGAATTCTCTTCAAACTTTTCATCGCAGTCGACACTAACATTTTGTTGACAATTCGATGAACCTAATTGAACGAAACACTTCTTAAAATTAGAGGGTAAATGGCAGCATTGATTACTACAAACGAAAATTTCATTCAGAAATATTCTGCCATTAAATTGATCTAATTGAGTTGGGTAAACAATACAAAGTCAAAGCAGCTCTAAATCAAGACGCAGATGTTTCCGAGATGATTTCTGTAAGTAGAAATGAGAGAAGGTATAAGGATTTTTCTTTCTCATATGTGTTTACAAACTTGACACGAGTCTCTCTTTAAACAAAAGCCCTGTTGGACATCATTTGGTGTTTACAATTTATATTTAGATGCATAAGAAACCCTTTTGCTTGAACCGGAGTTCAACACGCAAACAATAAGCACAGCTTCCAACCCGACTTTTGATGCAAGACATCACTTTTTATTGAATGGTTGGTGAGTCAATAATTTTTTATGTCGTTTTATCGCGGTACGGAAATCTTCTTTTGCGAAATTAAAGCTGAGAAACGAATTATAGATGTTATGCAACTAGGTTGGGAAAAGATAAGTTACTTGCAGTAAGTGAGTAGAAAAGCAGGCTTTCAAGAACGAAACACTTCAGTTATTAGAATTTACCTTTAATAACAATTTTGTCTTTTATCAAAACAGCGGGAGCGACAAGAACAAAATGTTCATTTTATGAAATCATCATAGGAGGTGTGAAGTATCTTCGATAGAATACATTGAGATGGGATTTTGTGGCCAATAGCCACAGCTGTTCCTTATCCTACTATTCCCGAAGTGTGACCAACGTGATTCTCCTCTCAGAATCTGTGCATACGTTTAATAATACGTGAAAATAAAGGCATACAACACAGGGATGTTGTCCTGATCGTGTACCAAATTCTCAAACTAACATTAACAAAAGTATATTAAATTTAGTTGGGAGAATCATCGATTTGAGATGTGGTTAAAAAGAATTGCAACAGAGAAGATAATGAGTTCTGCGGCACACGATGAAGTACTTTGGCAACTTAGCCAAGTCTGTTGTATTGTTTATTGTCTCTGTCGGATAAAGCCTACGTGAACTGAACTGAGAAAACCGAAGAATTTCAGAGTAAAAACTTTGCTTTTATCTATCCAACACGCTTTCAAAATTCCGACAAAATAAAACAATGCCATAAATGAAAATACCATTGTGCTTCCCAGCGAGGGTCACACGGAACCGAAACTAGAATGTTGAAGTTCTTTACAAGTCGGCATGAATGCTGTTATGAAAGTGCGTGGAAGAAAATGACTCTTTCTAACCAGGGGTCGAAACTTTCCTACTGTGGTTTTCGAGAGAAAAAGAATAGGGGCTGCAGAGAGTAAGTAATTATTTACTAAACAGATTCTGCAGCCCACAGTGGAAGCTTTCAGGCCTCTGCATTCCGTTTCAAACCAAATATTAAACTAAGGTGTTTTGTTTATATATTTTAATGTTAGAACGTAAACAGAGCATTGTATCCATCAGAAAAACGATCTCATGTTTGTTTTTCTTAACTAAGACCCATTTAGCATGCTGCTAAAAGTAGACGAAGACGGATCACATCTGACTTCTATTTGACCTAAGAGCACAAAACTTTGTCAGTGATTGATAACAACTATACTCCGTCAACCGGAGAAGCCGGCAACGCTGATTTCAAAGCAAGAAAGTCGTATTGGTTTTTTTACACGATTCCGAACAGATCGCGGATTATTCCTGGAATAATAATGAGCTATTACAGGGATGCTTTGGGGCTGAATTCGTTCTAAGAGACTCACTCACGGCCACACACTAACATAAGTGAACGCCCGTGAAAGAAGATATATCATCTTTTGTTATTACCGAGAGTCCTGGAGCGAGACTATTCCGCACGCTTCAAATCTAAAACATTTTTTCTCATTTTGATAATGGAATTAGTTTTAACCTAGGGTATAGAAAAGTCAGAGAGAGTCAAATTGAAGGTCTACTCAATTGTTGTTTGTAAATTAAAACCGTTGTTGAAATTTGTGTTTTAAATGGAAATAGAAGAACTCCTCTGTTTTTACCTTTCCAAACGACAGGAGAACTGGAAATATACTTATGATGTGTCTGATGTCCGAGGTTTGACGAAGTTCATTTGAAAATTATTGTGATTAGAGGAGCCAGAAATTACGCAAAAAGAAAGAAGGAAAGAAGAAAAAAAAGGAAAAAAAAGGGCCATTTCGCAAAAAGCCTCCGAGTCACTTTGTAGGACTCCATAACGATAAAATAAACTGTTTAATTTTGTTTAAGTTCTTTAGAATATCTTGATTATTGGGTTAAAAACACCTACCGGTTAATCTCTGGAGTGATACAGCGTGGTTCGCAGAGTTTTTTCCAAATACAGCTTATGGTAAAATTGTAAAGAAGTGTCATAAAATCAGCAGGAGATTGCTAAAGTGTAATAGATTATTATGTCTTAGCTCAAGTTTAGATCATAAATAATCCTAGCTCTGAGATGAATGGAAATTTAAAGTTTTCGCTACTTCCATTAGATTAATTTTAAACAGAATTAAAGCAAGAAATTATTGTTTACTCGCACTTTTAACAAGGAAATTAAATTGTATGCAGAGAGGTTGACCCATGTTTCAGAGTTCACTGAGCAATGGTGAGGCTGCGTCGTTTGTGTGATGGGCCATGAAGCAATAAATCTATCTTTATAAGCTTTAATTAAAATCGCCTACTGTCCTTGTAAATTAGACAAATTCTTGCCTCGCATGACAAGGTCCATGGAAATTTTTACATTACCCAAGAAATAAACAAACAGAAGACACAAATGCGCGCTTTAATCCGCAAAGATATTTAAAAAAGACTTCTCACCTCACAACATCACTGATCTCGTTGGCAAATAATACAATAAAACAATCAGAGAGGATCCAACGCAAAGCACAGAATTCGTGTTTGCACAAACGTTGTTTTGTCTGTAAGAACAATGTTTTCAAAGGGTAGAAAAACAGAAGTAAAGACAGTCGGCAATTGTGCATAACACGTTTATAACTTAGGAACAGGAACTAGCCAAGGTAGCGATTGTTACAGAGAAATTGTTAATTACAGTTATCAAGTCTCGGTTATCTTTGAAATTCGCAAGTGGGTTATACATTTACATATCATAGCTTTCCGAATTACGCACAAAGATAAACACATCTTTCGCACTTTTAATATGCGGAAAATTCACTTTAACCGAGAAGTTTTTTAATTGCAGGTTAACCGATGATTGAAGGACAACCAATTGAAATTTGTCAGTAGTTAGAAGTTGTTGAAGAGCGACGTCCTACTCAATCAAAGGAAGCATCTTTACAAGTATACCAATCTTGCATTTATTGCAATAATTTTACGGGTCAAATCAGCTGGCTTGGACCCGAAAGCTAGCCAACCACAACAACACAAACTGCAAAATGGAGTGATTTTGTCATCTTACAACTGCGAACGTTAGAACCCCATGATGGGTGAGAAGAACTTTACCATGTCCCCTACGAGTGCGAGTGGTAACTTCATCGAGCCAGCTTATATGCGCTGGACACTTCGCTTGATATTTATCGTTGTGTTCGTAGTAGGAATCATCGGTAACTCTGTGGTTTGTGTGGCTGTGATCCGTCGTAAGCGGATGCGGACGAGCAATAACATTTTCACTTTTAATCTGGCTCTTTGCGACTTACTAAACGTAGTGATCTTTTTACCGACGCAAATGGCTGCGTTTGAAAACAACCATAACTGGGCTACAGGAAATTTCATGTGTCATTTCACCTACATTCTGGTTCCTCTCTGCTTGTCAGCCTCAATCGGGACACTCCTCGCCATAACAAGCGATCGATACAGAGCAATTGCTTATCCTATGAAACCCCGATTAAGCGGTAGAAAAGTCAAAATCATCTTGGCTGTAATTTGGATCACCTCTTTTGTGATCTGTTCTCCACTTCTATATGTGGCTGGGATAGTAAGACCTAAGCCTGGTAAAGTTTATTGCGATGAGAAATGGCCAGATCCTCTTTATTCTGAGCTCTATTGGAATTTCATTTTTGTGATTCAATACATCTTACCTCTGGCCATTATTGTAGTGTTAGCAGTGCTAATCGCGGTTAAGATTCGTAAGAACAACACAATGAAAATGCTTCCTAAAAGCTCTCAGGTAATAGCAGCTGCAGTCAGGCAGAGAATGAAACAGACTTCAAAAATTACCAACATGCTTGTCGCTCTGGTGATACTCTACGCAATCTGTATGCTTCCTCAACATTTTGTGTTCTTGTGGTCTAAATACGGTGACTTATCCAACTCCAAGTACTTTGTTTACGTTCTGCGATTTTCAAACGTTTTCCCAATGGCAAATAGCGCACTCAATCCTATCGCTTACGGAACACTGAATAAAGAGTTTAAGAAAGTCTTTAAAAGTTTCTTTCGCTGTGAGTGCGGGCAAAAGACGAATGCGGATGTTTATAAAACAAATCCTAAGGCAATGAACGAAATCCGTGGTGGTAAGTTCAGATTAGCAGTGTATAAACACGCCAATGGCGATGGAAAGGCTGGTGGCGATGTGGAGAGTGGGAGCCGACGAACTCCTGCTTCTACTACCTCTTCGGCGACAAATAAAAAACTTCAAAGGAGAAGTGAAGATGGTGGAAGAGAATTTAAAAGGACACCCATTTCTAATGGTTATACCACAACTTTGTCCATATGTGATCAAAATTCGAATGAAAACGAAGACGAAAGACAAAGTCTTTTACAAAGAGAAACAAAAGAGGACTGTTCAAACATGTCACGTTCACGACCACCCCCAACTTACATGAAACAGAAAGAAGAAGAAGAGCAATTGTTGATAGATAGCGGGAGGGGATCTGAATTTGTCAGAAATGAACATGTGTTTCCCAACGATTCTGAAGACAAGAACATGCAAATAGACAATAAAATTGCTGCAGAGGCCAATATAAGTCGTCCTGATGCTAATGTGTGTGCGGGTTGCGCGTTCGACCCGAAGAAACTACATCCAAAGGAAAACTTAGAGACTCAGTTGTTGACACTTAATGACGTCGAAAATGACTCATTTATGGACTGCTGGGTTGAAGTGAACAAAATAGACCAAAAGCTTCTCGCCTATATAAGCTCTTTACAAGAAACTGATCTTTAGAACACTATATCCAGATATAATTTCGGTTTCTCTCCCAATTTTGTTTCGCTTATTAAAAATACATTTCAAGTTTGCTCCGATAGTGGAAACTAATAACAGGTTTAGCCTTGTGTAAACAAAGAGCACCAAATCTTCGCTACTATTGACTGAAAAACGCAAAGGGTCACTTTTGAATTGTAAATAAATTAAACTTTTCATAATCAAGCTTAACACAAAAGAGATCCGAAAAGGGAGCACGCGAATAGAAAAGATTCTCTGTTCAATCATTTGGATTTGTTTAACACGGAATGCAAATCCAGAAACGAATTATGTCTCAGGTCTTTAACATCCTTCAAACATTGCTCACTTTCAAGTAGAAAGTTTGGCTCTGGTTTTATTCCAATCGAACAATTCCACGGCACTTGAGATTTTATTTCAAGTTGTTGTTTATGTGTACTCTATAATTTAATTATTATTTAACGTAAGTGACCAAGCGAGAAAGATTTTATGAAGACGCAGACAGAACAATACACGGCTAGAGGCAACATCTGCCCAATTTGCAATAAATTTCATGGTTGAGGAAGGCGCTAACAAGAATCAAATTAGTCTGTTGAATGCACTAATGACCGTCTAAGAGAAGTATTAATGAAATACCTTGTAGCTAAAATTTTCTGTTCTAACAATATCTGGAATCCTGTGAAAGTTAAAAGAGGACAAGGAGTTGCTTACAACATGTATTGACAACAAAGTCACATCAAAACCTGCTCTTAGTCATAGAGCCGGTGCAAACATATACACTATAGCTGTCGCCAATAAACATAATAACCAAATTTAATATCCTTACTATTTGTGGGGGTACATTGCCACCAATTAAATGTTTTTTTTTCTTTGTTTTGACGCAATTGCTCAAAAGCGATATAAGGGGCTGTTAAACGTCTCAAAATCGATTCCTTTGGGGGCAATAAAGGTTTCCACAATATACGGAAGGCATTCTGGCGCCATCACTTAATCGTTTATTTTGCCTGATAAAAGCCTTGCGCGCCTTTGTCTAAACTGTTTATGTCCAGTTATACAATGTACTCTCTACAAATCCTATTCAACTTGTTAAACTAATTCTAATCACAGTGGTCCGAGAGATCTAAGCCTGGTATTTGATAATTAACTCATTAGGTACAAATATTCATATTTAACAATATCAAAGTTAAAAACAAATTTCTTGGGGGTTATTCAACCTAGGCTCACCTACCTCAATGAAAACGCACATTTTCATCAACTGAACATTGAGGGGCATTCACTGGGTAAGGGTTATAGTGGACAAAGAAAAAGGTTTGGACGACCATGTTCGTGGCTAAAGTGGCTAGGTTGGTTTTTCAGAGAATATTCTGAATACCAAAGTAAAAACTACATCGTTATCATAGCTAACTGATACTCGCCTAGTTACGGTAGGTTGATTTTATAACTTTAGTTAAAGACTGTTGCGGACAAACATAACTCTGTTAAGTAAATAAAAGACCAACAAGTGGGAAATACAGAAAATGTAATTAAGATGAGTAAACATCTTTATCCGTTGTGCACACGCTCGAACTTGAGTCGCGTTGTTGTGTGCATGCGTGAGATTATCTCCTTTTTTGTTAGGCGCATGTGCTCAATTGTGTCCATTCGTTTTGCGTGTGTACTTCTGACGCTGACATCAATCCTGTAAGGAGTAAAGACTGAAAAAAACGCCTTTTCCAATATCCTTCTTAATGTATATCCATGAAATTGCGATACAACATTCCTAGTTGCGTCTGGTATCGCACTGATTACAATTTTCGTTTGGAAATATGATGATATAAAATGAGAACTTAGGAGACAAATCAAATGCATAGACGATGGTTACCGGTACAACAAAATTTAGAGTTCGCAGAAAGTAATTCGCTTTGCCAGTATCATAACAAGCCAAACAAAGGGCAAATGAATGACACACGACTTTGTCTTTACTTTTGTTGCGTGCTCCATTGAAAACATGCACTTAGTAAATTTTTTTGGCTCCTGTCACGCCGTTGCCAGTACACTTGGTTCATCTTATTAAGTCCGCCGGTTTGGGTTCGAACGTTTTCTTGACGTGGCACTGGGTTTATTACCCGTGGAATTGCTCCCTGTAGGACTAAGACTGAGATTTCCCGATGACTGCTTGCGTTTGACACTTGGTTTTAGGCTTCCTCGACGCATGCTACGAGAACCTCTGCCGCTGACCTCTAGGGTGTCAGTAGGCGTGCGGCGTAAACTTTCTAAAATAAGGGCAAAATATTGGTTAAAAATGTCACCTCTAAAACTTATGGTTTGCTCCCGGAAATGTTAACAGGGTGAAATCGCCCCTTATTTACTGCATTGAGGGGGAACGCAACACTTAACACTCGATCTAAACTCCAATCAGTGAGTACACATCCGGGACTAGATCTGGGTCTTGAAATGAAGTAGAAAATCAGTTAAAAGGTGGGCTCGATTTCTGCCGTTTCCCCGGATGGAAGGAGCGCGAGCTCATTTCTCGAACGGTAGCTGGTATAGTCAAGCCTATGTAAAGGTGGCTATAAGTAAACTATTGAAAATGAACATGTGAAGGTACTCATCAAATATAAAGGACATGTTAAAAGTGCCAAATGCTCACCAAGGAAATCCTTTGTCAAAACGTCCTCGTCATCAAGAAGAGGCGTGTACAAGGGAAATTCACGGCCCTCTATGTTTTCTACAAAACAACACAAAATTAAAACAAAAACAACAAAAAAAATGAAACAGAGGTGAAGGCATTGGTTGGTGATACGTGAACATGGTTTTATGAATTCAGGATCACATGAAAGATTTTTATCAAATTAACATCTTAATTGGTTTGCATTTAGTCTTGAAGCAAAGGTTATGTAAAACGAAAAAAAAAAACGAGTTTCTATAGAACTTGAGTTGCATCAACGCGAAAGAGTTCCCTACTTTCAACTCGCACGAGAATAAATGTTTCTCGTTCGTTGAGGAATTCGCTGCCATTTGATGCTTGATGATCTGTTAGATTCTTCACTGCTCCCTGTAGATCCGAGAGGTCAATGACCGCTGTTTAATTACAACAAAAGTGGGATTAAAATAATCCTTGAACTATCAATTTATTGTCAAGGAAAAAGTAGATACTAGAAGTCATGGACGGGGATATCTTATAGTAACACAAAGATCTTACAACTAACATAAGTACAAACGCAAAGTCAAGGCCTTAGCTATGGGGGGGGGGGGGGGGGGTCCAGGGGTGCGGCGTGGAGGTCGACATGACAATCTAGTGAGTATCCTCTGTTTGACAGAGTGTGACCTCCACTTTGAAAAATCCTGGTTACGCCCCTGACAGTGCTTGCAGTAGAAAAAAAAATGGGGAAAATATAACTGCTTAATAGTCATGCTACCTGAGAACCCTCCGTCAGGTCAAGTCAACTATCCCCTTGATTATATTGAGCTGAGGCACTGGGTAGGAAGGGTTTTGAGAATTCTCCGAATTCCGTACCCATAAGCCCGCTATTTATCAGGAAACCGTTGCAGATTAATTATAAATGAATTCCCACATTTTTGTAGTTCTTCCAAGCTTTCTGCCCTAAATTAAGTCCTCAGACCCTTTGCTCTTCTGTCTGCTAAATCCATCCATAAGAATCTTTTGATCCATCCTGTACCTTTTTCTTCCCTCTCTTAATCTTAACCTGCTAAAAGTGGCTCTTCTGTGACGACACGCACATAGTAGCGTCAGGATGATATTCTTGATAGCGCTCCCTTACAGCGAGGGGAGCGGGGGAAGGGGCGTTTAGCCCAGGTGCATTATGCAGGCTCGCATGCGTGTTTAGCTGATGTGGCAATTTGTGCACAAAAAAGTACAAAAAGTTTTACCCAAACTTATCACAAACCATTCTCAGCACAGTTACATCGCCTTTTAATGTCTTCCAACAGGTGAAGAATGCGACAGTTTGGGTTAAAAAGAGCCTCTTCATGATCTAAAGAAGTAAAAATGGACACGTGGTATGTCAAGCACAGAGTAGGTAACAAAATTATTATACAGGGTGATTTAATTCGAGCTAGACGGTGGCGATTGGCTCCAACATCTATGTTATTAACACTTTCGCTGCCATCACCAAGTTCTCCTGCTCACGAAGATTTGGCAAATGTCACTAAGTATCGTATTTACACAATGTTTTCGTGAGTAGATCCGGTCGATCACAGAGGTCTCCACCATACAAGGTAAAAGTTGAGTCTTACTGGTTGTCTCTTACTATAGATTTCTTTTATAGATCTTGAGAAGCTAGTTAGAAAATCCTACTAAGAGCAGTCATTGTACATCAATTCATTTCACTTTGCCCTTCAAAAAATTATCATCAATCGATAACAATTATTAAATTTGGTTAATTTGGCAAAAAGAAGATTAAGAAAGAAGATTCAGGACAACTGAACACAGCAGGTCTCATCTGAGCTGCAAGACACAGCTCGGAGTAATTCCGGAATCAAAAGAGGGGCACTACATTAAAAATATCTCGGAAAAATAGAATCCTCTGCCATAACATGTTTAACATGTACAGTAAAGAAGAAACAGTTTCTTAACACATACCGAGGTTTTGGTGTTGAAAATGAACTCATTTCTTTATTTCAGACTTGTGCCAATGTTATCGTCTAACACCATTTTTAATTGTTAAAAAATCTAACGTGTGTTTACATCAAGCCGGACCGTTCAAAACTCAAAACAACTAAAGGACAGTACCGTAGTTTTTATCAACTCTCCTCTAAGGAGGGTATTCTGAATTAACTTACAACACTTTGCGGGGGATTTTGGCCAGACTGCATTGCACAGTTTACAATCTTTAAAGAATATTTTTCCGAGTGCCCCCAATTTCGGAATCAAGACCAGACCAAGACACCGGGAGCTGCATTCGATACCTTTTTCGGAAGATTCAGTGAGAGGTCGATGTAACTCAAACTTCAAGCTATCAGAATAGCATGGGACAATGGGAAAGCAATCAGTATAATTGATCCGACTGAGTAAGGTCCATATCCGCCATAATCGCTTTAGGTATGTAATTAGAAAAATAATTTTTTGAAGAGAAATTTAATCAAGTTAAACTTGGTCTGTTAAGCGACATTTGAGTAAGATAGGCGAGTAAATTAAGCGAAAAACGCAGAAAAAAATCACAAAATGTTCTTGTTACATAAACCAGAAACTAATGCTTCAGGTTTGTGCTTCTAAACACTAGCACAACTAGTCTCTCACTCAAATAATACGACTTGATTTCACACCAATTAACCGAACAACAGTAAAGGTGAGATAGTTTTAAGAATCTTACCTCCATATTTTACTGTAATAAACATTCCTTTTGTAGTTGTTTAATCAACTCTAGCCCCCGCGCTTGGATACCAAGAGCAGCAAGACGAGCTACAACATTGTCTTGCTGTGCTTCTCGTGGTTAGGAAAGAATGCAAGATGACAAATGCTAATTATTATTTGACAAACGAACCGCTCTCAGTCAGGATCAAAGTAAACACTGAAATGTCTCATGCCTGACATCAACCGACGCAGAGTCGGAAAGTCAAAAGCAAACAGAGCTTATTGCTAAGGGTGAGGTAAAGGCACTAACTGATATAACCGAGTGACGAAAACGCTCAACTCTTGATGACTCTAATCGATTATACATGTATATTTCCTTACGGATTGTTTCCAATCTTACATCTTATTGGCTAAGGAAGGATGTTCAACTCACACAATTAGGCATATGCTTGCGAACACAGCATCCTAGCCGGGTAATGTGTCAGTACCAGTTCGTTAGGATTAATATCATCAATATTTAATTGGTCAGTCATCACTAGGTCATAGCCCAGTTCCTAAATTTTCCAGCTCCTGTATCTTTTGTCCGCGTGAAGTCTAGCAGGAAACGGGAAAACGTTCTCGGTGAGATCATAAGGTAGCACAATAGTGGCTTCTTGTCACAAAGACCAAACAGTGACAATATTCTCTTGGTTTAAAAAAAATTCCAGTTTCTAATCTTTTTTGAAGAAAGTTCAACGCATTCACTTCCTTTCCTAAACCGAATACTTTTGCACCCCGTTAAACAGACACGCAATCTCCCGAGTCGAGTTCTTTAACTCACTGAAAAAATAGTTTCTGATTGATGGCTTTTCCTGATCTGTCAAACTAAAACACTGTATCAAGACCCCTTCCAAACATTTAACAGTAAGCGGAATACTTTATCGTTTCGGGTAAACCCTGACTAGAGGATACTTACATCATAGAGGAGAGGCTCTTTTGACTATCGCGAGCTTCCACACAAATATTATCATGTATTTGATATTCCAGCCCAACACGTTATCTGTATATTAATTGTTACTATTAGTCAAAAATGTTTTAAATTTCAAACAGCTGCCTTCTTTAGTTTCTGTGTTTCTATCAATAACAAAGATCTAAAGAACTACAACTACAACTCTATTACGCTCTAAATACAAGACAAAAAACAGAAGTCTGTACTTTCATCACTGGATACAATTATAGATTGAGACATTTCCAAGAACGTCACTCTCTTGAGTTTTATTAAGCTCAGCTGTGCAAGGTGATTCCACCTTTCACTCACTGATAGGAAAAATCTGCTGTATGCATTGATTCACACAAAAGCTTCTTAAACTAACAAACAACACTTCAGTGATGTCCTGATCATTTGCCTGAAAACGTGTAGTGATCAGATGAAATATAGTGACTAGTGTATTCATGTGGTACTTATATTTTGTCTTATGAGGTGATTTACTCTTGGCTACTCATGACCATGAATTTTTTACATAAAACTATGGTGTGTGACCCACACAAATCACATCTACGCAGGCCTTAAACCTTTTACACACTAACACCAGTATGCATATTCTCCATACTGTTCTATATACATTTCCTAAGGTGCTGGAATGGAGAATTTGTTTAACAATCAAGAGCTTCTTGAGTCTGTGATCATTTCCTTTCTTCTCGTTACCTTAATGTTTGATTCAGGGTTGATATTGTGGGGAGAAATTAAATGCTGGTCACTCTTAGGGGTCAAAGGATTAAATGTGATGGTTGAGCAGCACATCAATGTGCTGTTGCTCCTTAGAATGCAATGAAAATACACTTTCAGATGTCAGATGAAGTTATTGATCAAGTACATGCAACTTATCAATCAATATAATATCACAGTGCAAATATCCCTAATGAGATAAAAATTATTTATCTTACAGTACAGAACAATTACCTTAAGGCTAACTAAATGTAGCTATCTATTTTTTTTATTTTTTTTTTTTAATTAAGATCCTCCTGCTCTTGTAAGAACTTTTCATATTCTTGGTCAATTTCGTCATCAAACTCTGGATCATCTTCAATGTAATAACCACCATCTTCAGGACTGGAAATAATCATGTTAACAAAAGAACAGTCAAAAAAATAAAACAATTCACAAAAAAAATTTTTTTTTTCATATTTTAAATATTTCAGCCTTTCATATAAATACTTTAAATTTTCTGTTATTCTCATCACCTATTGTATTGATATTGTGGGGAGAAATTCTGTCTTGGTCATTCATGAGAGTTAAATGGTTGACATAGTCTATCAAGTAAACAAGAAAAGGGAATCATCTAGGGAATGTTGTTAGAAAATAAACCCAAATTGTCGTGAACAGATGACACAAAAGGAATGTAAGAAAATTGCCGTGAAGAATAATTATGCACATCTTGGGATTTAAAGGATTTCAGGTAGCACTCTGCACCGAACTGAAAATACAGTATTCTAAATGATACATACTCAAAATCTCCCTCAAACTGTTCAGGAAAGTAGTACTTGTAAGCATCTTGCAGCTCATTATCATCCTCTCCATCACCAAAGTAATCACTCCACTGCTCTGTTTGATGTTAAGCACAAAGGGATGTTGGAACATAACTTATATAACAAAACTTTAAGATAAAATAGGATACTTATCTAATGTGTTAATGGTTAGAGTGCAGGACTTTGGCTCAAGAGGTCTGGGTTTGATACCTGGCTGGGTCAATGTGTTGTGTTCTTGGACAAAATACTTTTCTACTCGACCCAAGAGTAGAAATGGGTAATGGAAAATTATCAGGGAAGCTTGATGAAATGCTGGGGGGGTAACCTCGCAAACAAATGGCATCCCATCCAGGGGGGGAGTAATGATACTCCTAGTCTCTTCATGCTATAATAACCAGAATAAGCTTTGGCCAGATGGGTCACCTAGCTCACATAAAGTTGTTACCTTTACCTAATTATGTAAAGGGGTTTGAGCATGAAATACTGCACTATCCAGTCTAAAAGGCTAAAAATTACTTCTTTTACCTGGATTTATTACTGGAATTAAATCATCGTCTATTGATAATTCCTCCTGAAAGGTTATGAGGAAAACAAAAATCCATGAAAACTTCAGAAGAGAAAAACAATTTTTCATCAAAAATTGGGTAAAATTGATGCCTTTTTACTTAAGAATGTAGAGCACTCAATTCATCAACTGTAGTGTGTCTGGTCAATCCAAGAGCTAACTCTGAGTGTCACAGATCCTCAAAGAGACCATACACTGCTAAATTGCCGTTGATAGTCCACAATGTTAGAGTACAAGTAGTCACTCCTTTTTAGCAAAATCTGCCACATAAGTAAACATATATACTGGTATACACCCACTTTCAAAAATATTGAAATTTGAAAAAATATATATATTTAGATATATGTTAGCACACAGAAAGGAACACTCTGGATGTGAGGTGCAAGAAAAGTAGCTACTTTTTGTGAACCATACTCCCAGAGGTCTGCAAGATGTACTAACAGCAAATTTTTTCCCCTAAGTTTTTTAACTCGTGCAACTGACCTTGCCAAAAAGGTGGGACTGATCATAGTTTACAACAGTAGCTCATCCATGAGTTGCATCACAACTGTACTTGTCTTCATTACATTACTATATCAACTGTAATGACAAACAGTGCACAGTATGTTATGCATGTTATTTTATCAAGGAAAAGATAACCTACCAGGCCAAGACCATAATAAGGGAAAGAGTATCCATTGTCAGGAGGGAAGTCAAACGATGTTTCACTGGCTCCTACAGCTGGACTAGAGGACCAACTGGATGCTCGTAGCTTTGTTACTTGAGAAAGTAACACCTTTGAACTGCAGACAAGAAAGTGATAGGATTATTTTTTTTCATTCATAAGATTCCTTTTGTCTTTTTCTTTTGGTTTGCCTTGTTTCACCCTTTTCACTCCAAGATCTCATTAGTAATTCTCCTTACTGTCTGCCATACAGTTCTCATGATACTACTTCACAGTCCCCAATTGATATTTTTCTTGATTCTCAGCACTTGTCTGCTTGCTATTGTATCGATAATGTAAGGAGAAATTCTGTCTTGGTCACTTGTGGGAGTTACAGGGTTCAAATGATTGTTCCATTATACCTCTTCCTTGGATGGCTCATTAAGAACTACAGTCTTGAAAAAATGGCTTGTTAACCATTTAACTTCCTGACCAAATTTGTAATTCTCCTTACTGTTAATGATACAATTCTTATAATGTTAGTTTAGAGAATTTAGTATTGGATCAACTACAAGTAATTATCCCCAAATTTATATTTTTCTCTATTCTCATCACTTGTCTGATTGATATTGTATTGATATTGTAAAGAGAAATTCTCTCTTAGTCACTCATGGGAGTTAAATGGTTAATGGACCAGTAATTTTATTACTTCATCTACCTTTCTGACAATGTGGATTCTTTCAGAAGCTGTTCAACATCAGAGAAAACTTTATCAACTTTCTGCTTTCTTTCACTGTCCTTTACCATAAATCTGGGATCATCTAGAAGATATCCTGTCATCTGGATACACAAACAGCAAATGTAAACCAAAAAAAATTCAAATTCACCTTGTATTATTGGTGAAGGCAAACCTGAATTGACACAAGCCTAAAAATGTTCATGTGGGTGCCCCTGACAGAACCAGCCTGTTCAAAGGATGAGTGATACAGTCTATAACTTGCAATCTTGCAGATACCTGTAAGTGTACTCAAAACAAACTTTCACCTGCAAGATGGCTTTAATCACCCTTCAATCAACAGTGGTACTATGTTGAACCTACGGTATATGATGCTTGATTTATACATGAAGCTGGCCACTGAGTTGTATGGGAAAGTGCAATTGTGGAGTTTGTTCAGGAGTTTAAAAAGGAAACTTTACTGAAGAGGTGACAATTAAGCCTGTTCAACTATAGATTAGAGTAAAGATCATGTATCAGTCAAATCAGCTTTGATTGTATACAATGATTTCAATACCTTCAATATTTTGCCGATGCATTTGAGGCATTCTTCTGTGTGGTTTTGTAAAAGGGTGGACAACATTTCTAATAATCCTCTATGAAATACCTTCAAAGGTTCACTCTCACCTAAGGGCTGTGAAAATGAAAAAAACAAAAACAAAAAAAACAAAGACCCAAGCTATAACATTAAGGACATTTATGTAATAAGTTGAGTTACACAACCATTTTGATTGGTTCTTACTAATGATCTATTACAGGACTGATGCATAGGTGGCATCACCACTAACAATGCTTTGCTTCTTTATTGTATTTAAAAAAAAAGAATTAGATTCCATTTTTCTGTGGGTCTGTTCAGCAATAGATCACAGAAGACATCAAAATTTGGTAAGAAAATTAGAGATACACTAGGCTGCACTTTGTGTGCCAATTCTGGGTCTTACCACATTTTGACATCATCTGCAATCCTTTACTGAACAGCATAGCACAGCAACAGGGAATCTATTAGTTACATGTAAATACACAGCACATGTATATAACAGATACATGTCACAACAGCTTAGACATTTTTTCCATTAAAAATGGTCACATACTTGAAGCAAGTAAATTATCCCCTAACCCTGTAGTTGCAGAAGAGTTCAGCCTCAAACATTGCAAATCCAAGCAATTTTGTTAAAGTTTGTGGGTTTTTCAGAGCATCCTCTCTGTTTTTATGTTCATCCATACATCTGGAAATAAGTAATGTAGAACAAGTGTTAACATTGAATATCATTCTTCAACCATCCATGTCTTTGGAATTCTGGTCACCAACACATGCAAGATTACTCATAAACCCTGCCAACCAAAGAATTTGAAAGAATGACAAAACTTGTACATCATAAATGGAATTTTGAATTTCGTGTACCTATTCATCAAAACACTCCTGAACTTTTCACCACTTTCCAGGATAATGGTATCCTCCTTGGATAACATGTTACAAAGTTTTGCTGCAATGTACTGGAAGTTAGGCTCTGTTATTGACTGAAAAAAATGGAATTAAATACATCTTAAAAACCATAACAAAGGTAATACTTTGTTCAGCACAATTAAAGTTATGACTGACCATGTTTTCAACTTGTCAGCAAAATTTAACCTTTAGGAAATTTTATATTACAAAACCAAGTATGTACAAGTATTATAACTTATCATTAAAAATTATTTGTCCTTTTTGTTTCCAATTAACCCTTTATACCCTAACATCAAAGCGTATGTATATTCTCCAAACTGTTCTCTAAACATTTCCTAAGGTGCAGAAAAGGAGAATTTGTCAAACAATGCAGAGCTTCTTTAGTTGGTAATCAGTTCCATTTTTCTTAATGTTTTGTTCAGGGGTGATATGGTAAGGAGAAATTAGATAACCACTCAGACTCTTAGGGGTTAAAGAGTTATATATCTCAAAAAAACAAAAAAACATAAATGGTACTCACATATTCAAAGATGAGCTCTACCACCTCCTTTAAAGAGTTCAGAGTACCCATACATTTCTTTATCTGATCAACCATAGTCTTAAAAAAATCATTTAACTCGCCAGGACTCTGAGTCAGTCCAAAAAGGACATCTTTAACACAGTTCATCAGTTCATTTTCAGGTGTGTCATTTCTCCTTTGCAATAGTGGTGGTCTGTCAGGTTGTGGTGGAACTGACACAGGCACAAATTCAGGGGCTTTGACTACAGATGTCAGATTAAGGGAAGCCTTAGGAACAAATTCTTCTGCAAATGGTGATAGGTTTGAAATTTTGCTTGTGGTTTCTGTTAGTGATGTTTTGTCATGATTCGTAACAGTTTGCTCTTTTTGATCACTCTCCTTGTTATGTTCATTGGTTTCAGCAGTTTCTTTAGTTGCATTAGAATGAACATCACTCTCTTGTGGCAATTTTGTTTCTTCTTCTTTCTCATCCAGTCGTTTTTCCACTTTTTCTGCTTTACATGCAGGTATCTCCTCAGATTCCTCACTAACTAGTAACTTAGTAGTAGTATCATCTTTATCTTTTCCAGTGTCTATTAGCACAGGGTCAGGAGAAACATCTTCCACAGGTTTCTCATTAGTTTCTTGGCTTACAGTTACAGGACAAGTATTTTCCTCTGAATCCTTTTCATTACTAAGCACTTGCGCAACACCAAGAGAAGCACCTTTGACATAAGAATACATGCAAAAAATCACTCAGTTAACTCAGTCACAATATGACCAGTATCATCTGATCAATGCCACCCAGCTGCTACTGAAAAGGAAACTGTATTTTCAAACACTTAGTTTTCAGCAATATCACACATTGCAGTTTTTACATAAAATCAAAATTAAGTATACCATGGAGGGGAGGGTAACTGTGGTACTGCATTGGGCAGGAGGGCAGTATTGATTTTATCAGTTTCATCAACTGAGTTGATAAATGTAAATTGACCACTGTAAAAGAGATCACCATGGCCAATTCTCATTGATGACTCACTTGATAAACCAAATTATATGAAAAAGTATTGTTTGAATTGACTGAGGGTATTTATGGAATGTGTTTGGATTCTATTAAATGATATGTAACTCTCAGAAGAAGCTCTGCCTACTGTACAACTCAAGTAAGAATGGTTAAAAGTTTACCTGTTCTAACTTAATGTGAGGCAAGATTTCCCCAGAGCCCCATAATTCATTATACATAACACTTTTCTGGGGTAAAGGTTACCTTTTGGACTCTAGTTTTGTTTAAGAATCTTTCGAGGTTATACGGAAGTCTTTCCGAATCTTATTATCTCGTGGACATTATTACACCCTCTTGGATAGTAAGTAGTTGTTTAAAGTTCCACGAACCAAACTGATACAAATGACTGATTACAAGGGTTATTTGCATACAGAAAATGGATAGCCTTTTAATCTATAAATATACACATAAAATATTAAAGTGGGATTTCGATACTTCGAGCTTTCGACTCCAGCTACCTAAACACTATGCGTGCGTTAACATCTTCCCGCGTTTTGAGTTGATGTGATTGTACGGATTCACATACGAAAATTTCTTCGAGATTTCGGTTCACTTAGAAATTAAAACCAACGAATAAGAAAACCAAGAGATATATAATTTCTATTAAGCTATAATGACAACAAAATGTCACCTTTTTCAGTTTCAGTTGAAAGAGAAGGGGTTTCCTTTTCGTTCTCTTGAGTGTTCAAGTCTTCCCGCTTCTCGCCAGGTCTTCTAAGTGGAGTCGTGTAGTCTTTTGACGTAATTTTTTTCTTTCCAGGCATTATTCATATGTTGAGAAACTGAAAAATCCGAATTTTCTATGAATTACGAACCATTTCATCGAAACAGTCCATTCCTCTGTGACCTCAACTCGAAAACAACATATCTCAACCAAATAACTCAGCACCCTGGCCTCATGATTACCATACCGCTGACAAAGAGTCATAATGACCCTGGGCTCGAGATTGATTAGGACCTTGATGGTGATCATTTAGAGAGATGGAGGAGAGATTAAGGCCTATTTACACGGCACGACTTTGTCGCATGCGACAAGCTTACGACAGGCCTACGACATGACTTAAGAGTCGTAAGCGAGTTGTAGGTTTGATTTACACGAAACAATTCGTGTCGTAAGCCTGTCGTAAGCTTGTCGCATGCGACAAAGTCGTACCGTGTAAATAGGCCCTTAAACAACTGGAAGCAACATGGCAACGAGTAAAATGCCCAAAAAACTGACTCTTATTCAGACGAATCAAGTCTTTTCCTTCATATAAACATTGAGTGAAAAAAACTTCCAAGAATAAGCGGCTCGAACTTTTTCTTTAAAAGTTCCTTAGATAGTACCTTATGAACGGTGCTTCAAGAGAAAAACGATTATTTTCAGAAGTTTGTGGTTACCCTTTATCCTTGAGGATTAATGTTACGTATTTTTGAAAGAGTGTTACCTTGGAAACTTGGTAAACTTTTACGAAATTTTAAGGATTTCCTCTTTTTTTCACTTCGTGCCCATTTTGATTACCTCTTTCTCTTCTAGGTGATCTCTCTTGCAGCGTTTTGATATTATTCACTTCCGGCTACCTCGAAGATAGTTGTTCGACATATGTTCAGAAATGCATGCAGTAACGAAAATGACGAAACTTTGTCAAAATCGCTAAGGTGAGGTGACTTGTGCGGTAAAATTTAATACCGAACAACCATCGACAATTTATATGTAAGGTGAGCTTAAGTTTGAACCTGAAATGAACCTGATTTAATTAACACACAGTTTTTTTTATCAGGGTTGGATTGTCGCATTATTTGCTGTTAACTTTACACCCAGTATTCCAACAAGGAACCATTGTCCATCCAGATCAAAGTGCGTCAAATGAATAACTTCTTCTCGTATGCCAGTGATGTAACAGTCATCATCCATGGAAGCCACAACGCAGCTACTGGTTGGAGTGTCTGCAGACCATGATGATGAGAGCGTTAAACTAGAAACTAATACCAGTTTCTGACGAAAGAGAGATTAGATATTGGTTTGCGACGTGAGTTAAAATAAAGCCTACTGAATGAAAAAATTCGGGGGTATTACATGGTTTTCCAGTGAAACGGAGGAGGATCAGCTGTCGCCAACAGAGCATAGAGGGAGGAACATAGAAAATTTACCGAAAATTAGCCGCCAATCAGGAGGATTATAAGAATCGTACAGATTCTTAGGGGAAGAACAACTAAATTTTCACGTGACACTGACCAAAATCCTCCGACCCACCCCTCCCCCCTGCGATAGATAAGAACAGGTCCCTTAGGAGTTTGTCACGTCACCTGATAGCTCCCGAGTGGATGCAGTAGTGTTATTATGAATGGGGTTCCTTTTCAATTCAGGCCTCTCGTAAGGCTCTGAAAAGTGACCCATGACTGGACGACGGCGACCTTTGCTGCTCTCAGCTAAACAGTAGGGAATCTCGAATCCATCGTTGTTATTGATGTCAGGCAAGTCTTTAATTCTTGTGGACTTCCATGGGTACATTCGAACTTTCTAAACGTTAGGAGGACAATGATAACTATATTTAGAGAAAGATAAAATAATAACTCGATGCTGCAGAGCAAGACTTCCATCTAACTCCATACTTCATTATGCATATAGTTTGATGATGATGATGTATACAATGTCGAAAACAACATTTTCAAAGGGCTATCAGCCAACGCTTGAAACGTCAGCCTTGAAACTCTTTACAATAGCCAATTTACATCATTAACCGAGGAGGAGGGGGGAATTGAGATTTTCGGTTTTGCGGTTTTGGCTATTTTTAGATAGGTTTTTGCGCCGAAAAAACTTCGGCTTTTCGGTTTTGGTGTTCATAATAGTTTGCGGATTTTCCGTTTTTTAGCATGTGGTTTTCGATTTTCGCGAAAAATACTAACGGGTTTTCGGATTTGATATCCGATGCGGTTTTCGGTTTTTCCTATTTGACCTATTTGGGTTCCGGTTTCTCTTCGATCTGAGCGGCAATTACGCGCCTCCACTGATCTCGAATAGCCGCTAAACGCAAATGTTATCGAGAGGAATGTGTGACAAACCAATTGAAATATCGCGGGGATCCCTAGGTAGCCTACGTTTAGCCGTACCCTTCCACTTCCCCTTCCCCGAGGTGAGGGGGAGGGGAGGGTACGGCTACACGTTGGGTACGGCTCAGCACGGAACATTGCCAGAGTTTCTTTATCAACGCCACCTCGAGACCAAGTCACAGGCCATATGTGACTGATTGATTCAACATTCCAATAGAATCTCCAAACTTTCAGGTCTTAGTTCGCAAATGGAAATGTTAGATTAGGGATTTTCGATGAAACTTTCCAGAGCTATAGCTTTTTGCGACTGCAAAATTGCAATCCTATTGAGGACTTTTGTGCGAATTTCCTTAATTTAACTAGGCTCCATTACCAGCTGCTGAGTCCGCAGAAACCACGCTCGAGGTCCTCGAGAGAGCAGCTGTTAATTAAGCAGATACTAGAAGATAGGAATGCCAAGTCCGTAGCATTCATTAATCCTGTAATAAAATTAGTGTAGTTTACTCTGTATGCTCCACTTGTCACCATTGTATCAGATCGATCAGGGTTTTAATATACTGGGATGTGAAAATGTATCGGTTTTGACAGTTTTTCAGGCGATTTTCGGTTTTTCGGTTTTGGATGATTTTTTTCTACGGTTTTGCGGTTTCTAACAGGCCTCGATGACCCCCTCTTAACCCAGTTGATAAAACCAAATTATCTTGTTATACTCAACCCCACGGACATAGCGCCACAGTTTAGAAACTCACCCCCTTTAGTTATTTGTCTTTAGGACTTACGCTTTGCTTTTAAATATAATCTTGCTATACAGAAATCTCTCCTTCTCTATTTATTAATCAAAGCAATTATATAAAAGATCGCGAAATTATTAGTAAATATTTTATTTACCTGTAAAGAGATAGACTTACATAAATTATCAAGAAGAGTATACCAGGTACTGACGTTTAAAAACAATGAAATGGAGCGATGCTGTATGACTAAAGCAAAGAGTACTCAATCGTTCGAGCAAAAAAGATGAAAGATTAAGGTTGGTATTCACCTTATCAACTGGCTTTAAAGTTCTCAAAACACAGCCAGTGTCAAAATCGGAGACGATCCGACTTCTTCTCTTTCGTTCGTCTTCTAAGTCTAATCTTCGTTCTCTGACGCTGTGCCAGTGGTAGACGCAAACAACACATGAAAGAAAAACTGCCAGGAGACAAACTGGTAACAGTACACCAATAGGAGTCGTTGTGAGACTCAATGAAGCCATGGACGGGTTGATTTCTTCTAACTCTGTTTGTGATTTTGTGTTTGACGACCAGCTTGAATCTGTTGGGGGAATGTCATTCAAGCCGTGATCGATTTCGGAGCCCTCGTGTTCGAATTCTGCCTGTGGCACAGAAGCTGTCGAGAATACCCCAGGAAAAGAGAATGATGTTTGGTTTTGAGACATGAAAGATAACATGAATGCCGTAGTTAACTCATGTCCTAAAATCAGTACTTGCACCTCACGATTTAGTCAAAACACATAATGCCACACACCACACCACAATAGTTTGCACTGCCTTTTGCATGGTTTCACTCTTACATGAAAAACCGAAAAAAATGACAGAAAGTAATCATCTCTATTCTTTATTTTAAATAAATTATTTTAAAAAGGTGATAGAATCACAATTTGTCACTTAAGGGCGTAACTCAGCTCAAACTAGCCAGTCAGCAGACCCTCAGTTTTAGGCTTCACCACGAACGTGTCTCCACCTGCGGGATTTTTAAGAATGAGGCCTTGACCAACGCGTCTGGCAGCGCTATTAACCCTTTACACCCTAACATCAGTATGCATATTCTCCATACTGTTCTTTATACATTTCCTAAGGAGCTGACAGGGAGAATTTGTTTACTAATTAAGAGCTTCATTAGTTGGTGATTATTTTCTTTATCCCTGTGACCTTAATGTGCAAATCGAGGATGATATTGTAAGGAGATATTAGATGCTTGTCACTCAAAGGGTTAATAAGGACCTGCTCGCAAGCTAAGCCCAAATCTAATTTTTTCTCAGAGGTAGATGAATGCTGTAAAGTAATTACTATTAAAAAAACAAATTATGCCAGAAGGTTAACTTTCGATAATAACGAAAGTTTAATTTCCAATTATGCTCCTTGAACCCTACAATGCTACCGAGGGGCGTGTTCAACAGGTGCAATGGATACAATACATACTTTCATCTTCCTTACGTTGCTCCCCTTTACGCACCCGTTGCAGTAGTCTTGATTTTCCATTAGATAAGAAATACAACAAGGGTCACCCATGAACAAAGAAAATAAAGAGAAAGTGAATTAATCGGTGCATCGTTTAAACGTTCCCATAGGTTAGCCGGTTGACAACAGAAATAAAAAACCTAAAAGAGACCCAAAGTCTATCGTTTATCATAGCAATGACTCCAAAGACAACTTGACACTATATCTACAAGTCTTCTAAGTAATAACCTACGTAGAACGTTGGAATATCACGACAAAAGTTCGTAAATGATGAGCCGTTGATTGGCTGACCAACAGGAGGAAAGAAACAATTTGACAAAAATGAGCGATGTTATCACGTGTTATATCACCTGATACGCGTAAATAAAGTAACCAATTAATACTGCTATGAAAGGAAAACCATGCAAAGATTTCAGAGTAACAATAACTATGTTAGGAATTGTTCCCAAAAGCTTTATTTAGATATATTAAAAATAGCATACAAAACTGGCGAATTTCAATTCACATTTGGACTTTGTACAGCTGTGACTACAAAATAAATGAATCTTCTGAAGACATAAAAAAGGGTTTTTAAAAAACCTATAATAAGTTCACGTATATATAATACAATCTAGCATTTTATTTCATTTGTGTTAAGTCTAAACTTAACTCTTACATTTACAGTAAGAAATCAAAAGAGAGTGTATTGTTTTTTTAACCTCCTGTTTTGTTCAATGTATCCAAGTTTCTAGAAATGTGATCGAAGCGAGGGCCATAGTAATCAATGATGTTAGCTTTGACGAGAAATTGACTGGTACATCTGCTGAAAGTTATCCCAGTTTCTAAAGAATATAACATCAATGCAAAGCATCTTGCAACTCGTTATCATCCTCTCCATCATCAAAGTAATTACTCCACTATAAAGGGGTAAGTTTCTAAAGAAACTGTGGTGCTGCGTCAGTGGGAGAGTATAGCAGGTAATTTAGTGTTAACAACTGGGTTGAAAACGTAAATTAGCCACCGTAAAGGGTAAAAAAGCTGACGTTTCGAGCGTTAGCCCTTCGTCAGAGCGATGGGCGAAGGGCTAACGCTCGAAACGTCAGCTTTTTTACCCTTTACGGTGGCTAATTTACGTTTTCAACCCAGTTGTTAACACTAAATTACCTGTAATTACTCCACTGCTCTGTTTGACGTTTCAAGCACACAGGAAAAGGAAAATTGCCAATTATCATCTAGGAAATGTTGTTAGAAAATAAACCCAAGTTGTCATGAACAGACGACACAAAAGGAATGTAAGAAAATTGCTGTGAAGAATAACCTTTCACATCTTGGGATTTAAAGGATTTAGGGTGGCAATCTGCAAAGAACTTAAAATTCATTATTCTAAATAATACATACCTGAAATCTCCCTCAAAATGATCTGGAAATTAGTACTTCTAAGCATCTTGCAGCTCGTTATCATCCTCTCCATCATGAAGGTAATCATTCCACTGCTCTGTTTGATGTTAAACACAAAGGAATGTGGGGTCACAAATTGTATAATAAAACTCTAACATAAAACAGGATACTTATCTTAATTGTTAATGGTTAGAATACTGGACTTTGGGTCAAGAGGTCTAGGTTTGATATCTGGCTGGGTCAATGTGCTACGTTCTTGGGCAAAATACGTTATTCTCACAGTGCCCCTCTCCACCCAGGAGTAAAAATAGGTACTGGAAAATTATCAGGGAAGCTTCATGAAATGCCAGGGGGTAACTTTTGCAACAAATGGCATCCCATACAGGGGGGGAGTGATAATACTCCTAATTGCTTCATGCTACGGTAACCAGAATAAGCTCTGGCTGAGTGGGTCACCTGGCTTGCCTACAGACATTACATTAACATAAAACAAAATACTTATCTTAATTGTTAATGGTTAGAGTACTGGACTTTGGGTCAAGAGATCGGGGTTTGATACCTGGCTGAGTCAATGTGCTGTGTTCTTGGGCAAATTACTTTATTCTCACAATCCCTCTCTCCATCCAGGTGTATAAATGGATACTGGCAAATTATCAGGGAAACTTCATGAAATGCTGGGGGGTAGCCTTTGCAAAAAAGTGCATCCCATCCAGGGAGAGTAATAATACTCCTAGTTTCTACATGCTATGATAACCAGAATAAGTGCCAGCTGGATGGGTCACCTGGCTTGCATATAGACATTACCTTTACCTAATTATGTAAACTTAAGGTGTCTGAGCATGAAATACTGCACTATTCAGTCTAAAAGGCTAAAAATAAATTCTTTTACCTGGATTTGTTACTGGAATTAAATCATCATCTATTGATAATTCATCCTGAAAGGTTATGAAGAAAACAAAAATCCATGAAAAGCTCAGATGAGAAAAACAATTTTTAATATAAAAATTGAGTGAAATTGATGCTTTTTTTACTAAAGAGTATAGAGCACTCAATTCACCAACCGTCATGTGCCTGGTCAATTGAATAGCTAACACCAAGTGTCACAGATCCTCAAAAAGACCATACCCAAATTTCCATTGATAGTCCACAACATTAGAATAAGTTACACATATACTGGTATATGAAATTTATATTTATCTTTAGAAATGGGGTGGTGTATATATGTATATATATACATAAGTTAAAGAATTAAATGGGACACATCGATTCTCTGTGACTCTGAGTTTCGCGCCTAAGCACTCGTCAGACTGAGTTCTGTCTGACAAGCGCTTAGGCACAAAACTCAGAGTCACAGAGAATTGATGCATCCTCTTTAATTCTTTAACTTATGCATACTTAGCTCTGCTACCACAGCATTGAGCACTTTATGCCAAGGTAGACTCTACCCTCACATTCATTTATTTATATATATATATATATATATATATATAACGACAACGACACCTCTGAAACATACATCGGACTCACAGAAACCGACTTCAAAACAAGACACAGAAATCACACCGCATCATTCCGCCACGCCAAGCACAAAAACTCTACCGAACTTAGCAAACACATCTGGACACTCAAGAACGTCAACATTGACTATTCTATCTCATGGCGCGTTTATCATCTAACTCTCCCTACAACAGCTCCAGTAAAAGATGCAACCTCTGCCTAAAAGAAAAATTCCTGATAATTTACCAACCCGACCTCTCATCACTAAATAAGCGTAACGAACTCGTATCTTCATGCCGACACAGAAACAAAGCGTTGCTACGCAACAGCTGAACTTTAAAGTTTTTAAGTTTACCGCGTATTATGCAAATTTTCCTAGTATATAAACAATAGTCACATGAATATTCTTTCATTAAACCCCTGAAGAGTGAAGCGATTCACGAAACAGGCTTGTCGGGAAATGTAGTTACGTCCCCTTTTTTCCTCTCATAATATATATATATATATATATATATATATATATATATATAGAAGTCGCGGGTCGATTTTCGCGTGGAACAGTGCTCAATACGTTGAAGCAGAGCAGAATAAATATTATGAGAGGAAAAAAGGACGCAACTACATTTCCCGACAAGCCTGTTTCGTGGATCGCTTCGCTCTTCAGGGGTTAACGATTTTACGATTCACGAAACAGGCTTGTCGGGAAATGTAGTTGCGTCCATTTTTCCTCTCATAATATTTATATATATATATATATGAGCAGACAGCAAGGAACTCTGGGTGTAAGGTATATATATGTATGAAATAGTACACAGCAAAGAACTCTGGGTGTGAGGTGCAAGAAAAGTAGCTACCTTTCATGAACCATAGTCCCAGAGGTCTGCAGGATGTGCTAACAGCAAATTTTTTCCCTGATTTTTTTCTTTAACTCATATGACTGACTTTGCCAGAAAGGATGGACTGATCATAGTCTACAACAATAGCTGGTCGTGAGTTGCATTACAACTGTACTTGTCTTCATTTCATTACTATATGAACTGCAATGACAAACAGTGTACAGTATGTTATGCATGTTATTTTACCAAGGAAAAGTAACCTACCAGGCCAAGACCATAATGAGAGAAAGAGCATTCATCATCAGAAGGGAAGTAAAATGATGTTCCACTAGCTCCTACAGCTGGACAAGAGGACCACCTGGATGCTCGTAGCTCTATTACTTGAGAAAGAAACCTCTTTGATCTGCAGTCAAGATATAGGGTTCTTTTTTTAATTGATATGTTTAACCCTTTCACTCCCAAGATCTCACTGGTAATTCTCCTTACTGCCTCCCATACAATTCTTATGATGTTAGTTCACAGTCTCCCATTGATATTTTCTTTATACTCAGCTGTTGTCTGCTTGATACTGTATTGATAATGTAAAGAGAAATTTTGTCTTGGTCACTCTTGAGAGTTAAAAGGTTCATATGATTGTTCCATTAAACCTCGTCATAGGATGGCTTATTAAAAACTACAGAGTAACTGTCCTGAAAAAATGGCTTGTTAATGTAATATTATTACTTCATCTACCTTTCTGACAGTGTGGATTCTTTCAGAAGCTGTTCAACATCAGAGAAAACTTTATCAACTTTCTGCTTTTTTTCACTATCAGTTTCCATAATTCTGGAGTCATCTAGAAGATAACCTGTCATCTGGATACACCAACAGCAAATGTAAACAAAAAAACACATCATCACCACCATATTGGTGATTAAGCAAACATAAAGTGACACAAGCCTAAAAATTGTTGATGTGGGTGCTCCTGACAAAACCAGCTTGTTCAAAGGATGAGTGATGTGGTCTATAAATTGCAACCTTGCATGTACTTGTAAGTGTACTCAAAACAAACTTTCACCTGCAGCATAGCTTTATTCACCCTTCAATCAACAGTGGTACTGGGTTGAACCTACATTGTATGATGCTTGATTTATACATGAAGCTGGCCACTAACTTGTATGTGAAAGAGCAAATGTGGAGTTTGTTAAGGAGTTTAAAAAGGATACTCTATCAAAGTGGTGACAATTATGCCTGTTCAACTATAAATTAGTGTAAACATCATGTATCTGTCAAATCAGCTTTGATTGTATACAATGGTTTCAATACCTTCAATATTTTGGCAATGCATACGAGGCATTCCTCTGTATGGTTTTGCAAAAGGGTGGACAACATTTCTAATAGTCCTCTGTAAAGTTCCTTCAAGAGTTCACCTGAGGGCTGTGAAAGTGAAAAAAAAACAACAACAAGCTATGAACATCACAATCTAAGGACATTTATGTAATAAGCTGAGTTACACAACCATTTTGATTGGTTCTTACTGACAATCTATTAGAGGTCTGATAGAGGTCTATCAGATGCATAGGTGGCATTGCCATTAATAATGCTTTACTTCTTTATTGTATAAGAAAAACCAATTGGATTCCATGTTGCTGTGGGTCTCTCAATAGACCACAGAAGACATTAAGATGTGGTTAGAATATTAGATACACCAAGCTGCACCTTGTGTGCCAATTCTGGTCTTACCACATCTTGACATCATCTGGGATTCATTACTGAACAGATGCATAGCAACAGGGAATCTGTTTGTTAACTACACAGCACATGTATATAACAGATACATGTAAATGTAACAACAGCTTAAACATTTTTCCGTTAAAAATGGTCACATACTTTAAAGCAAGTAAATTATCCCCTAACCCTGTAGTTGCAGAAGAGCTCAGCCTCAAACATTGCAAATCCAAGCAATTGTGTCAAATTCTGTGGATTTTTCAGAGCTTCCTCTCTGTTTTTATGTTCATCCCTATATCTGAAAATATATAAAGAACTGAAATATATAAAGTAGGACAAGTGTTAATGTTAAATATCATTCTTTAACCATCCATGTCTTTAGAATTCTGGTCACCAACACATGCAAGATAACTAATAAACCCTGCCAACCAAAGAATTTGAAAGAATAACAAAACTTGTACATCATAAATGGAATTTTGAATTTCATGTACCTATTCATAAAAACACTCCTGAAATTTTCACCACTTTCCAGGATAATGGTATCCTCCTTGGATAACATGTTGCAAAGTTTTGCTGCAGTGTATTGGAAGTTAGGCTGTGTTATTGACTGAAAAAAATGGAATACATCCATCTTATAACTCATAACAAAGGTAACACTATTCAAGTTATGACTAATCATGTTTTCAACTTGTCAGCAAAATTTAACCTTCTGGAAATCTGATACTACAAAGACAATTATGTACAGGTATTGTAACTTGTCATAATAAGTATTTGTCCTTTATGTTTCCATAAGGGTTACCCTTTAAAATGTGACTATAGCAAATTAACCCTAATTTATACCCTAACATCAAGGCATATTGATATTCTCCAAACTGTTCTCCTAACATTTCCTCAGGGGCCAAAAATGAGCTTCTTTGGTTGGTGATCAGTTCCTTTATTCTTGTGACCTTATATGTTTGATTCAAGGGTGATATTGTAAGGAGAAATTAGATGCCAGTCACTCTTAGGGGTTGAAGGGTAAAATATCTCCAAAAAAAAAACTGGTACTCACGTATTCAAAGATGAGCTCTACCACCTCACTGAAAGAGTTCAGGGAACCCAAATGTTTCCTTATCTGAAGAACCAAAGTATCAAAATAATGACCTGACTCACCAGGTCTCTGAGTCAGTCTCAAAAGGACATCTTTAACACAGTTCATCAGTTCATTTCCTGGTGTGTCGTGTATCTTTTGCAATAGTGGTGCTCTTCTAAATTGTGGTGGAACTGATGCAGGCTCAAATTCAGGGGCTTTGGCTACAGATGCCAGATTAAAGGAAGCCTTAGGGACAAATTCTCTTGCAAATGGTGATAGGTTTGAAATTTTGCTTGTGGCTTCTGTTAGTGATGTTTCATTGTGATTCATAGCAGTGTGCTCTTTCTGATCACCCTCCTTGATGTTTTTATTAGTTTTGGCAGTTTCTTTTGTTGCATTAGAATGAACATCACTCTCTTGTGGCAATTTTGTTTCTTCTTCTTTCTCATCCAGTGGTTTTTCCACTTTTTCTGCTTTACATGTGGGTATCTCCTCAGATTCCTGACTACCTAATAACTTAGTATTGGCATGGTATTGATCTTTTCCAGCATCTATTGGCACAGGAATGGGAGAAACATCTTCCACAGGTTTCTCATTAGTTTCTTGGCTTACGAGACAAGCATTGTCCTTTGCATCCTTCTCATTACTAAGCACTTGCACCACCCCAAGAGAAGCACCTTTGACGTTAAAATACAAACAAAATTCACTGAGTTTACTCAGTCACAAATGACCAGTATCATTTGAGGTAATTGTGAAGAACAGCTCCCCTCCACTGACAGGCAGCCAACTCTTGGCCAACAATAAGCTGACAGCCAGCCAACTGTCGGTAATCTGTTGGCTGACAGTTGGGCAACTGTCAGCTAACAGCTTACTAGGGTATCTATTATTAGGTTTTGCTAAAAAGATAACTGCATGCAGGACATCTGATGGCCAACAGTTGACGGACTGTCTGTTGAATGTCAATAATCTTTTGGTAAGGTGTTGGTACCCTTTTGGTAGAATGTAGGTAACTTTAGGACAATAATTGCTTTAAAAAGTTTATGATTTGCAACCCCTGATGATTGCATTGAAAAGATAAAATGAAACTCTTAATAGTCTTAACACTAATAGCTCTTTTGTGTTAGTTGAGCACAATTTCTTGGCAATTTCTCTTCCAACACTCACTTTAATTCCTGGCCTGTTTTCCATTTTGGATATTTAACTTTTTCCCAATCCCATTCTGAATTTCACATGGTTCTCAAGTAAATTAGTTCATACTATAGGCAGCTTCACCTTGTTATAACATGGTAGCTCCTCAGGGAGCCGTTTGTGTAAAAGGAGAGACAGCTTTACTTGTAAATGCAATCATAGAATTTGAGCAGCAATAGCTGTCCCTCTTGCTGCATGTTAGCCATCAATGGCAGGTGTTGCCAAAGTCTTCTCTTGCAGACTGCTTCAAGTTCCTTAGCAGACCCCCTGTCCATGTCTCTCATCGACAGTTCTTAATTCAGCAAAGGCAACAAAATCTTGGAGGGTGCTGCAGGGGCAACCAGCCAGGCAAAACACATTCATTATGCTACAGTTGTTGTCCTTAAGGATCTGTCGCACCCTCTGCTATCTTGAATGGATTATGGCCAGACTGTGGGTGCTGGTGCAAGTAACATCTTTCTGTCATGGTTGCTGCTGCTGAGGTTCATCAGCTGTGCGTTGGTGCAGAGTCTGAACCTCAGCCTTGAGCATGGCAATGGTCTACTTGGTATCCACCAACTTGGTTTGTAGAGTCTTGATGGCCTCTGACTTTGTTCTGACCAGATTGGCCAGCTCCTCCAGAAAGTTGAAGGTGATGATTGGAACCTCCAAAGGCAAACTTCTGTCCTACCTTAACAAGTTCAAGTGCCAAAAAGTCTACCAGGGTGACTACTTCAGGAACATGCTAGCTGACATAGCAGAATTCTACCCCCTCAACCCAGCCCACTTAAAATGTAAAGAAAGCTATTACCAACATATATTTTGTCGTTCATTTCATTTTGATTAAGAGTAATTGAATTTAACACAATTGCAGAAAGAAGTCCCTAAAGAAAACTCAAGATAATTCAGTTTTAAGCAACATATGCAACATGATGCAGTACGCGCAAGTTCAAATCATAATATGATTGCATAAATTAAGAAGACAAAATCAACAAGAATTGCACACACATAATTTACTTTGTATTAACTTAGAAATACAAAAGCTTTCTATAAAAGGGAAAGTACAAAGCATGCAACCCGCAAAAAGACTTAAGACTAAACGTGTCCTTTTAGTGTCGGCCAACTGTCAGCCAACTGTTGGCCAACATAAGGCTGAAAATCAGTGGAGGGGAGCTGTTCCTCACAATTATCATCATTTGATCAATGCCACCCATCTGGTACCAAAAAGTAACTGTATTTTTAAACACCTAGTTTTCAGCAATATGACACAATGCAGTTTTAACATAAAATCAAGATCAAGTATAATATGGAGGGGAGGGTAAATGTGGTACTGCATTGGGCCAGAGGGGGTGTCACCAGATGATTTGATTTTATCAACTGAGTGTGATAATGTAAATCAGCCACTGTAAAAGAGATCACTATAGCCAATTCTCATCAACAACTCCCATGATAATCCAAATTATATTAAAAAGTATTGTTTGGATTGACTGATGGTATTTTTGGAATGTGTTTGGATTCCTTTAAATGATATGTAACTCTCAGAAGAAGCCCTCTATACTAGGCAGTACAACTCAGTTAAGAACTAATAGTTAAAAGTTTACCTGTTCTAACTTAACGTGAGGCAAGATTTCCCCAGAGCCCAATACCTCATTATACATAACACTGTTCTTGGATAAAGATTACCTCTGGGACTCTGATTTTGTTTTAGATGATTTTGAAGTTAAACGGAAGTCTTTCCGAATCTTATTATCTCGTGAACATTATAATACACCCTCCTGGAAAGTAAGTAGTCGTTTTAAGTTCCAGTCCGAACCATACTAATACAAATGACTGATTACAGGGGTTATTTGCATACAGAAAATGGATAGCTTTTTAAGCTATAAATAAACACATAAATATTAAAATGGGTTGCCGAGGCTTCGGGCTTTCGATTGCAGCTACATGAATAGTGTATGCGTGCATTGACATTTTCGCGGGTTTTGAGCTGATGTGATTGTACCGATTCACACGCACAATTTTTTAGAGATTTTGGTTCACTTTAAGATAAAAGCAACGAATAGGAAAGCCAAGGGAGATATAATTTCTATTAAGCTATAACGACTACAAAATGTCACCTCTATCAGTTTCAGTTGAAGGGGAAGGGGTTTTCTTCTCGCGCTCCTGTGTGTTCAAGTCTTCCCGCTTCTCGCCAGGTCTTCTAAGTGGATTCGTGTAGCCTTTTGATGTAATTTTTTTCTTTCCAGACATTATTTATAGGTTGAGAAACTGAAAAATCCGAATTTTCTTTGAATTACGAACCATTTCATCATAGAAAGTCCCTACTTCCGTGACCTCAACGTCTGCATTACAGCTCTGCAGCCTGGCCTGTTTCTTTGATATCCTGCAGTACCTCATGAGGACCTTGATGGCGATTGGAGAGGGAGGAGAAATTAATTACTAGAAGCAACATGGCACGAGTAAAAAAAAATGCCCAAAAATTGACCCTTATCAATTCTCTATCTTCATGTAAACATTGACAAAAGTGAAAAAAACTTACAAGAATAAGAAAAGCGCGCTAGACATAAAGCGACTCGAGCTTTTTCCTTAAAAGTTCCTCAGATAATACCTTGTGGACGGTGCTTCAATTAGAATCAAAGTGCTCTGTAAGCAAACTCGTGAATTGACAGATGACTTACATGATTTTTTGGATTATGTTTAGTGAATTTTGTGGTTGATTGTCATATTTAGAGTACGAGCAGTAGTTCAGTGTTCACTAATGTAGCAAAGAAACAAAGTAACATTGGGATAAGAAGGCATTACAATTGAAATGATCATGCTATTACATTTTACAAGGGTGAATGATGTCATGTGTTTTAAACATATATCATTTTTGTTTCTGGTTCAAAAGAAAAGGTTGGAAGTAAATGTGGGTGAAAGTGAAATTTACTGTCTATCAATGTAAATATTGGAAAATCAAGGCAATACTGCCTTAATGAAAACATTAATGATTCCCTCTTTATCAAATGAGACAAACGGGAACGAGTTTTGAGTGATATCACTAAGCCCAGACTGCCACCGTCATTTTGGATTTCCGTCCAAATTTTCAAATTGTCTTGAAACTTAAAAAAAATTGTTCTTTAAAAATTCACTGAAAATCCGTAGCCAAAATTATTTGTTTAGGTGTTATTTGATTTTCGTGTTAACCTGTAATTTCGTCAGTCGCCAGCACCTTTTTTTGCTTCACACAGAAAAAACACACAATACGAGATGTAATGATCGATTTTGTCCCCAATCTCACGCCATAACAGAAAAAGCTTTTGAACACCGGTAAACTCCGAGCGCTTCAGAGTAAGTGATATTTTTAACGAATCTTCTGATTGTTTTCAAGTTCAAGGATTGTAAATTACAATTTTATGAAAAACGAAGGTTGTTCTCGTATTTCAGTGTGAATCCTCGCACGCCTGCCAGTCGCTGGCGCCGCTTGTTGAAACTAAAACGAAAAAAAATAAACTATTTTTAAGATTATCATTGGCTTCTTTTTCACCCCACCACTATTCTTAGCAACGAAGGTCGCCATTTCGTTTATTTATTACTCGCAAAAACCTATCAAATGCACTTAAAAGCCTAAAATCGAAAAAAAAGTTTACAGGAATCGAGCGAGCGAGCGAGTGCCACTCTCCACATCATATCTACAACTCGCTCTTGCGCATGTGCGCAATTCACGAGTTAAAAGGATAGCTTTCAGAAGTTCGTGGTTACCATCTATCCCTGCGGATTCATGGTACATATTTTTGCATGGGGGTTACCTTGGAAACTAAGTAGACGTTTACGAAATTTTTAAGGATCTTCTCTTTTTTTCATGTTGTGCCCATTTTAGTTACCTCTTTCCGTTCTTCTCTTACACCATTTCGATTATTATTCTTCCTGTTGCCTCGAAGATAGTTGTGAGACATATGTCCAGAAATGCATGCAGTAGCGAAAATGGCGAAAATTTGTTAAAATCTTCAAGTCCACCAAGCTGATTTCGCTTTGACGAATGCGACTAAAATTCGCCAATATCGCCAAAGCCATAAATATTCACTAGGTTTGACGAAATTTCGTTAAATCTGCCATTTTCGTATACGTAACTGCGTGCATTTCTAGACATAAGTGATATGTGAGGAACCTATATTTTTCAATGTTGATCTTGGAGGCTTAGCCCACATAGGCTGAAGTTCAGTGAGGTGAAGCTCATTAAAATCTATATCCATTGAAATAACTGATAGCAGAGGTGACTTGTGCGGTAAAATTTAATACTGAACAACCATCGACAATTTATATGTAAGCTAAGCTTTAGTTGGAACCTGAAATGAACCTTATTTAATTAACACACATTTTTTTTTATCAGGGCTGGATTGTCACATTATTTGCTGTTAACTTTACACCCAGTATTCCAACAAGGAACCATTAACTGTTTGCACCACTACTTGTCCCTCTAGATCAAAGTGCGTCAAACGAATAACTTCTTCTCGTATGCCAGTGACGTAACAGTCATCATCCAATCCAGTTTTTTCATTCTTTATGGAAGCCACTACGCAGCTATTGGTTTGAGTGTCTGCAGACCATGATGATGGGAGCTTTAAACTGAAATCAGTTTCTGACGAAAGAGAGATCAGATATTGGTTTGCGGCGTGCCTTAAAATAATAAAGCCTACTGAATGAAAAAATTAGGGGGGTATAACATGGTTTTCCGGAGAAACAGAGGGAGGATCAGCTGTCGCCAACAAAGCGCAGAGGGAGGAACATAGAAAATTTACTGAAAATCAACTGCCAATTAGGAGGATTATAAGAATCATAGAGAACCTTATGTGGGAACAGCTAAATTCTCACGTGACACAGACCAAAATCCTCCGACCAACCCCTCCCCCCCGCGATAAATAATAACAGGTCCCTTACGGGTTTAAAGGGGGTGAGTCTCTATAAAAACTGTGGTGCCGCGTCGGTGGGAGAGTATAAAAGGATAATTTAGTGTTATCAACTGAGTTGAAAAAGTAAATTGGCCACCTTAAATAGTTTAAAGGCTAACGTTTCGAGCGTTAGCCCTTCGTCGCTAATCGCTCTGACAGCTCAGTTCATGACACTAAATTATCTTCTTACGAATTTGTTACGTCACCTGATAGCTCCCGAGTGGATACGGTGGTGTTATTATGAATGGGGTTCCTTTTCAATGCAGGCCTCTCGTAAGGCTCTGAAATGTGACCCATCGCTGGACGACGGCGACCGTGAACATGGTAACAGCCTGCTTTGCTGCTCGCACCTAGATAGTAGGGAATCTCAAATCCATCGTTGTTATTGATGTCAGGCAAGTCTTGAATTCTTGTGGACTTCCATGGGTACATTCGAACCTTCTGAACGTGAAGAGGAGGACAATAATAACGATGTTCAGATAAAGAAACTAACCCCCTTAACTAATTTTTCTTTAGGAGTAATGTTTTGCTTTTAAATAGAATCGTGTTATACAGAAATCTCTCCTTCTCTATTTATTAATCAAAGATATTACATAAAAGATCGCAAAATTATTAATTAATATTTTATTTACCTGTTAGGAGATTGACTTACATAAATTAGCAAGAAAAGTATATCAGGTACTGACGTTTAAAAAAGTATTCAATCGTCCAAGCAAAAAAAGTTAAAGAGTGAGGTTGGTATTCACCTTATCAACAGGCTTGAAAGTTCTCAAACCACAGCCAGCGTCAAAATCTGAGACGATCCGACTTCTTCTCTTTCGTTCGTCTTCTAAGTCTAATCTTCGTTCTCTGACGCCGTGCCAGTGGTAGACGCAAACAACACATGAAAGAAAAACTGCCAGGAGACAAACTGGTAACAGTACACCAAAAGGAGTCGTTGTGAGACTCAATGAAGCCATGGAAGGGTTGATTTCTTCTAACTTTGTTTGTGATTTTGCTTTTAGTGTGTTTGACGACCAGCTTGAATCTGTTGAGGGAATGTCATGGAAGCTGTGATCGATTTTTGAGCCCTCGTGTTCGAATTCTGTCTGTGGCACAGAAGCTGTCGAGAATACCCCAGGAAAAGAGAATGATGTTTGGTTTTGAGACATAAAAGATGACATGAATGCCGTAGTTAACTCATGTCCTAAAATCAGTACTTGCACTTCACGATTTGATCGAAACAACAGAATGCCTCATACTTCACTACAGTAGTTTCCAATGCCATTTGCACGATTTTACTCTTACATGAAAAACCGAAAAAAAATGACAGAGGGTAATCATCTCTATTCTAAACGGTGTGAACATAACAAGAATATTTGATTTATATAGGAAAATTATTTTTACAAAGGTGACAGAATCACAATTTGTCACCTAAGGGCGTAACTCAGCAGTCAAACAAGTCAGCCAGCACACCCTCTGTATCAGCACTTCACCACGAATGTTTCTTCACATGCAGGATTTCTAGTACGAGGCCTCGAGCGACGCCAGCTGGCCAGAAGTCTGCCTGGGCCGGGGTTAGCACCGATAGTTTTTAGCATCAGGCCCCCGCAAAGCCTCTTCCCGACCCGTCTCAAATCTTCCCATAGACGGAGAAACGCGCGTCTGGTAGCGCTATCGATAAGGGCCTGCTCACCCAAATCTAATCATTCATCAGAGGTGGATGAATGTTGTAAAGTAATTACAAATAAAAAAAAACCAAAATATGCAACATGTTTAACCTTCGATAATAACGAAAGTTTAATTTTCAATTGTGCCTCTTGAACCCTACGATGTTACCAAGACGTGTTCAACAGGTGCGGTGGATACAGTACATACTCTTATCTTCCTTACCTACGTTGCTTCCCTTTACGCACCCGTTTCACGGGACTTGATTTTCCATTAGATAAGAAATACATCAAAAGAAGAGTTACACAAGAACAAAGAAAACAAAAAGAAAGCGAATGATTCGGTTCATGGTTTAAACGTTCCCATCGGTTAGCCAGCAGATAACAAAAATAAGAAAAAAAACCTAGAAGAGACCAAAACCTGTCGCTTATCATAGCAGTGACTCCAAAGACAACTTGACACTATATCTACTGGACTTCCAGGTAATAACTCAAGCAAGATGTTGGAATATCACGACAAAAGTTCGTAAATTATGAGCCTTTGACTAGCTGACCAACAAGAGGAAAGAAACAATTTGACAAAAATGAGCAATTTTATCACGTGTTGTGTAATCTGATACACGTGAATAAAGTACCAAATTAGAACTGCTATGAAAGGAAAAACATGCAAAGATTTCAGAGTAGCAATAGCCTTGTTAATAATTGTTCCCAAAAGCTTTATTAAGATTATATTACAAATAGCATACAAAACGGGCAAATTACAATTTACATTATGACTTTGTACAGCTGTGACTACAAAATAAATGAATATACTGAAGACATAAAAGAAGGGTTTGTAACAAACCTATAATAAGTGCACATATATAATATAAACAATACAATCTCGCATTTTATTTCATTTCTGTTCATAGGTCTGAACTTTACATTTATATTTACAGTTAGAAATCAAAGGAGGACATATTGGTTTTTTTTAACCTCCTGTTTTGTAAAATGTATCTGAGTTTCTAGATATGTGATCTAAGCGAGGGCCATAGTAATCAATGATATACGCTGAACCATCAGCTGGGCCAACGACCTATGCAACAAAACACAAAAACATTTGTTAAGATGCCTCTTACATTGTAAATTTGAGGGGAAATTGACTTGTACATCTGCTGAAGATTATCCCAGTTTCTTAAGAATATAACATCAAAGAGCTTGACTACTCCCCCAGATGGGCTTCAAGTCCATTAAAAGTTACTATCCTCCCCCCCCCCTTCTGCAGTAATTTGTCAGGTTTCACTGACAGTTCTAGGTTTCTGTGACTGTTCACTAATACCTATCTACAATCCTGGGAGAAAGTGGGTGTGGGGGAGAGGGTGGGCAAGAGGCAATGTTATTTTTCACAGAAGTGAATTGCATTGTATTGTTTACCGTTGGTTATTAATATCAACTGCCACTCATATTATTTACCTGTGTTGCAATCAAAATAACATCTACAAGATGAAATACAAAGAAGAAACCAAGTGTGCAAAACTTTAACAGTCCTGAAAGATTTTAAAAAATAATATTGTCATCAACTAAGATTACACCAATGTGTCCTTTTCTATATTACGAAATACATTTTAAAGGCTGACTTTCACTCAACTACAACTAAAGCTAACCTATCGCAGGATATCCAAGATAAAATCTGTCAATTCCAAACATGCCAAGGAAGACTGATAACAAAAGAGCGGTTTCGTATGAGTGGTCATTGCTGAAAGTGAAACAGCAAGATTTTTCAATGAATAATTTTGTTTTAAAGCATAGTATTATTGTAAAAATAAGATCCACTTGAGGAAGACTTACGTATAACGGCATGATACGTTTTGAATACATTCAGTGATATTTCGACCATCTTTCTCGATAGGAACAGTGCTGCATTTCACTATGGTGGAAGGAAATGAATAGGATTATGTGCAAGTTTAAAAGACAGTAAGAACTTTGTGTATTTAGAGCTCGTTAATTCTTACCTTCGACCGTGTGATTCTTCGTGCAGCCAACAGCCGCCTGAGTCGAAGAATCGATCATAGGCTCAGGACAAAAATATCTAAGAGCGTCAAGGAATGAACAGCGAACAGACTTCCCTATTTTTCTCTACATACCAGTCGAAATAAGCTTTTCAGCATTATTCAAAACTACGTAGTAAATAGGCTTACTCTTGCTTTAGTTTTAAATAGGATACTGTCCCATAAGAAGATCCCGACAGGCCACTTTCTCCCCATTTCCAATTGAAGTTATCCATGTAGAAACAATTAGAATAAAAATCGCTCGTAAACAATGTTTCCACCAAGGAATCATTCCGGAAAAAGCCTTGTAATGCAAGATTTTAACTAACGTCGGCCATAATCATATTTTTTCTTTTCTGTAAAACTGCTGACCGCATGTTGTTAAAGGTTCAACTCTCACCCAGTTTCTTTTCCGTCAACTGCATCGAAAATGGCGGCGGTTCGAAAACTGACAAGCGACTAAATAATTGGATGATAAAAAAAGTAAAAGTTAATAAGTTATATCTTAACTCCTTGCCCGTGAGTATTGTTAACCGCGTGTCTCGAAGCGGAACAATGAAATATCCATGTGGAAACGCCGATGTGTCAAACAAGAAATGGCTACTTACATAACGAAGAGAGGACAGAGTCTATCTTGCTCATCGAGGTCGTTCAGCGATATGCCGGCGAGGAAAAAGTCATCCGCTGCCAAGCTCCGCTGACAAAACTCATTTAGTCAGTTTAGGCGGATGACCGAAGACTGAAGCCATTCCTGTATTTCACCGCTGACAGGAATGGCTCCAACCAATGTGTATATTAATTTGTTTTCGTTCTGGCCAAATAATTTATACACTGAGATAAAAAGTGAAAGAGCGATTTATTAGGTACTTCTTATGTTAAAGTCTACAAATGCTTGCAAATGAAGCCCTATTCTATTAATACTGGGCCATGTAGTTTCTAAGTTTTAAAACAATGCAGTAACTGCATGTCACGTTTAGAAAATCACGCAATGTTGCGTGACGCTGCGACCGATGTTTTTGATTTACAATATGCTCTGCTAAAGAAATGTGGCTTAGCCGCAATCGAGGGGGTTTTTTTTCGTGGAAAACTGATTTCCTAGGTAATTGTTCACATGAAGGACAAATCCATTCATCGGGCTTCATCTGTTTTTGAACAACACCTAAAGGAAGAAAGTCGCGGATTAATTTTGTTTGGTAATTTCTAACAATCCACTAGACCTGAAAAAGGAAAAAAACAAAACAACCGAAAAAAAAAAGTCTTACCAGTCAAATCAGTGGCAGTAGCTCTCGCACTGAATCATGTTGAAGTACATTGACTGTTTGCAGTGATGGCACAACCAGTCTTCGAACAGTTTTCGGCTATAATAAGAAAGAGTAAAATGATTTCATGAAACTTGTTCTAAAATTAATGAAGGCTGTTCATCACATGACACTGTATTGGAACAAGTATATCTCGTGTGCTATTGTATCACACTAGTGTTTTAGACGAAGTATTTACACCACTTAAATTTAAGAAAGAACGAGTAGAACGTAAACCACGTTTTCTTTAAAGTACACGAACCATCCTAACCTCATTTGCCAACTGCTTTCCAGGCATCATCTGTAAAAAAAGCTTCTTCAATTTTTCAAATATGAAAAATTTCAGCTAAAACCGCGGCACCCAAAAAATATCTCTCATCTTGCCTAAAAAATTTTCAACATAGATTTTCAAATTTTCACAACTTTGCCTATTCCTGGTCGTAGGTCCAGCCAAGCCCTTATGGTCATTGGCCCCCCGCAATTGCCCGGTAAACAATGGCTTATAAATATAGGCGTTTAGTGTTAACTTGTAAAGCTCCCTGAAGAAGTTTACGACAGTTAGACGATAGTTTGCGAGTGGCTGTAGATGTTTTTGAGGTGATTGCTGAAATTTTTGAGGTGGTTGTAGATGGTTGTAGGTGGTTGTAGGTGGTTTCAGGTAGTTTCAGGTGGTTTTAGGTCGTTCCATGTTTTAGTACTTACGCAACCAAAACTGCAATTCGGAGTTCTTCAGTGTTGAGGGCTTTCTTCCAGCAAGCGAACTTCCCGGAATATCTTCTTCGGTTAGTAAACGGGGTCCATATAAAGCATTTGCCATATTTTCTCTTCCTGACCGGAAGGGTACGTTATTAAATGATACGTTTGTTGAAAACTTCTCAGTAGAAACTGTAAAATCTCTTAGGTTTGGCCCTTGTGACCTCGTTTTCGTGCCACTCGCCCCAGCTTTTACCGGTTGGCGGCCATTTTGGAATAAGGTGTACATGTCATTTTAGATTTAAAAAAAAAACGGTCACCAAAGTTAGCAGAGCGAAAGTAGAATATGAGGAACATTTCATTATTTTACTCCATAACTCATCATACTTTCGCAATGAGACACAGAAAGATTCTATTTGTGTTCATTTTTCTGGTAGCTACGATGTGTCTTCTGATGATGTCCTTAATACAGACTGATTCCAAGCTCACACTTTCCCCCACAAATAAGTGTGTTGTGATTGTCGATCGCGAAGACATTGTGTGTCCGTGCTATGGCAATCGGTTTGGAAAACACTGTCTTGTTGCACTGGATTGGGGAGAAATGTGCCCTGAGTTGTACACAGAATTGGGAGGAAAATGTAACTTGATCAACGGTACAATTCAATGTCCTGATATTCGAAACCACGCAAAATTCCGCAACCGACAGGCACAACTCGTCATGACCAGAATGCTACGTATTTTTGATCTCATAGCGCAGAAACATAACATTGACTACTGGATATTTGGCGGGACTTTACTTGGTGCTGCACGACATCATGGATTTATTCCGTGGGACTACGACATAGATATTGAAATGCCTTTGGAAGAATATGTGAAATTTTTCCAAGTCGCAGCAAAGGATTTACCGCCAGATATTTTCTTTCAGAACTCTTTAAGTGATCCAGCGTTGAATCCGGATGACCCAAGCGGTTACTACAAGCATGAAATAGTTGGTATCTACGAAGCAACTTGGAACCCAAGATTACGAGATAGATATAGTTGCTATAAATTCTGTATGTCCTACGGATGTACTTGGCATGATGGGCTCATGATTGACATGTTCGTGTCGCCTCACATGAACAGATCTGCCGTCCCGCGTAGACGAATAAGTTTCGAAGGTTTCACCTTTCCTGTGCAAAATGACTGGGAGGAATATTTAATAGAAAATTTTGGCGAGAAATACTTTGAGGTTCCAATCGATCAAGAACCGGAAGAAAGCCCAGACGTGTTCCATGGATGCGAGGAACTCAAAGGAAGTTCTTAATAGATCTCGCGATAGCGAAATTTCCTAGAGTGACTTGCTGAGATGTAACCCGAAACATACTCCCTTAAGAAAAATAACAAGCTGTATCAATTTCCACTCGCGCTTTCGTTTTCATTGCAAACTTTTAAAATCCATGAAATTAAAATAAAGAAAAAACTGAAAGAAAGTAAAAGAAACGAAGTTTCAATCACAGGCAGCCTAAGCTCCAGCTGTGAGATGATCATCTTGCCCAAGTCTGAACACTCCATTTCCGAACGCCCGATCTGAGGAGCGAAAAATTCCAGCGCAAAATGACCGGGCGGCCACAAACCCAACGCAGAATCCAAGCACGTATACTGTAGTTTCATTTCAATTCACTACAACCTCAATCTTCCCCGTGCAACCCTAACCCTAAGCAGTTTGCTTCAAAAATTTCCATTTCAGAGGTTTCTAACAGCCCGCGGCCTCATCAACCTTGACACACGACCGTTGAAAACCAGCTAGGTAACCTTGCCTCCTCTTTAAACTGAGCCTCACCGGGAATCCCACCGTAACTTAGCATGAAGAAATTGTCTTAGCACTACGGGTACCTAGTTACAGTGGGATCCCCGGTGAGGCTCAGTTTAAAAAGGAGGCAAGGTTACCTAGCTAGTTTTCAAAAGTCGTGTGTCAAGGTTGGTATGGACACGGGCTGTTAGAAACCTCTAAACTGAGACAACTCGCTAAAATGCGTTCTTTTCATCAAAGTAAGCGGTCAGATAACAAGAAATACGCTGTGGAAGTAAGGTGAGGTATTTTTTTGAGAATTTGACGTATTTTTTTATTCCTTAGAGTGGTCGTAAATATTCCCATACAAACTATTATAATTCCGCCATGACTGTTAGTGCACAAGATGATCATCTCACAGCTGGAGCTTGGGCCGCCTGTACTTCAATAAACAATAATCACAGAATAGTTCTGTTTGTTTGCTTAGTTACCCTTTCTTTGTTTTAATATCTTTCAATATCCTCTTTGGTTTCTTAGTGATGTTTGTCTTTTGTTGTTCTCCAATCTTTGTATCAGCATTTGTTGCAAAGTAACCTTCGTTTTCTGTAGTATAAAATTATTTTACTTTGTGGTTCAATTTAGAATAGATCTTTATGACCCTTTATTACTCTCACTGAGGCTGTTGAGGTTTCATGGTTTTTCTGTTTCTTGTATACCCCTCACTTTGAAGAGGTACTGTAGTCCCTTCATGGGTTTTAGGACCTTTATCAAGTTTGCTTCTTGTCATACTCACCCTCCATTTCTTAGCATAACAGGAAGTTATTCAGCCAAAAATTATCGTTTATTTAAAAAGAAAAATCGAATCAACCTCTGACAGTTCCAGGTTTCTGTGACTGTTCACTAATACCTATCTACACTCCTGGGAGAAAGTGGGTGTGGGGGAGAGGGTGGGCAAGAGGCAATGTTATTATTCACAGAATTGAGTTGCATTGTATTGTTTACCGTTGGTTATTAATATCAACTGCCACTCATATTATTTACCTGTGTTGCAATCAAAATAACATCTACAAGATGAAATACAAAGAAGAAACCAAGTGTGCAAAACTTTAACAGTCCTGAAAGATTTTAAAAAATAATATTGTCATCAACTAAAATTAAACCAATGTGTCCTTTTCTATATTAAGAAATACATTTTAAAGGCTGACTTTCACTCAACTACAACTAAAGTTAACCTATCGCAGGATATCCAAGATAAAATCTGTCAATTCCACACATACCAAGGAAGACTGATAACAAAAGAGCGGTTTCGTACGAGTGGTCATTGCTGAAAGTGAAACAGCGAGATTTTTCAATAAATAATTTTGTTTTGAAGCATAGTATTATTGTAAAAATAAGATCCACTTATGGAAGACTTACGTATAACGGCATGGTACGTTTTGAATACATTCAGTGATATTTCGACCATCTTTTTCGACAGGCACAGTCCTGCATTTCACTATGGTGGAAGGAAATTAATAGGATGTGCAAGTTTAAAAAACAGTAAGAACTTTGTGTATTTAGAGCTCGTTAATTCTTACCTTCGACCGTGTGATTCTTCGTGCAGCTAACAGCCGCCTGAGTCAAAGAATCGATTATAGGCTCAGGACAAAAATATCTAAGAGCGTCAAGGAATAAATAGCGAACAGACTTCCCTATAATTTTACCTACATACCAGCCGAAATAAACTTTTCAGTATTATTCAAAACTACGTAGTAAATAGGCTTACTCTTACTTTACATTTGAATAGGATACTGCCCATAATAAGATCACGACAGGTCACTTTCTCCCCATCTCCGATCGAAGTTATCCATGTAGAAATAATTAGAATAAATATGCTTGTAAACAATGTTTCCACCTAGGAATCATTGCAGAAAAAGCCTTGTACTGCAAGATTTTAACCAACGTCGGCCATAATGATCTTTTTCTTTTCTGTAAAACTGCTGACCGCATGTTGTTAAAGGTTCAACTCCTACCCAGTTTCTTTTCCGTCAACTGCATCGAAAATGGCGGCGGTTCTGGCGGTTTGAAAACTGAATGGAGGTGGGGATTAAGAGATGGTATAATGATGTCAGAAAATGGGGCAGAGGAAATTCCGCAGAGGAATGCAAAGAAACATTTGAGAGTCTACAAGACTTATCAAGTTTTCTGAAGAAACTTGAGGTGGAACTTCACAAAGTGGTATGGAAGAGCTGTAGCCAAAGTTTTTTCTTGGCTGGGGGAATCAAGTTGGGATCCCATCTGCAACAGTTTTTCTCTGTTTTGTCATTGTATACTCAGGATTTTCTCCACTCCAACCCAACACTAGCTCTCAGGATTTAAAGTAGTGATAAAGGGCCCCCAGTAAACTAGTGGCCATATCAGTGTCTTTCTAGAACTTCAGAACATCCTGTTGTGTTACTATGGATTATTATTTTTTTCATGCCAGAAGAGAGCCATAGGTAGCTTGATTTCACTTTCCCTTTTAGTCTCTAATTACTGAATTAATGTGTCATACCATGGTGAAGAGCAGCTACATGAAACTAAAAGGAACTGGTGTACAGTTTATATGTATTTTAAATATGATAGTTTAATATCTAGCTTTAATCTTAGTTCTCACTGTAGTCACTTTGCACGAGGTGATTGTTCTTAAAACATGAGCCTGTCTTGTTGTTAAGTTTTGAATAACTGGTTGATTCCTGAAAAAAAAAACCAATCAGATTATTTGCCCTCTTTGCAGAAAGGTGACTCAAATGTGATTTTAAAGAAATTTCCAAGTGTGGGGAAACTTCTTGGACAGCTATATGAGAACAATGTTGTTTTATTGTCAGGTAAATGAGATAAAGGGTAATTAAATCTTTGATGTTTTCAGGCAAAAAATGCAATCCTGACCCATTAATGATTTTACAGATAATCAACTCTCTGGGAAAGAATTATCCCTTTCTCAATCACTGAGCCAGGCTTTTAGATATCATCACTGAAATAACATATGTTTTGAATGATTCAACTGCAATGGATCAGCAGTTACCTTACAACATCTCATAGTACAGGAGGTAGCCTTGAAAAATACTGTAAGTTCAAGGTGATAAAAAAACCGTCACTCTAGTGAAGATTAAACCAGAATGGTCATCAAGTTAGGAATATTTTTATTTCGGGTCTTATCTGTAAAATAAAGTCAAACTTAACGGCAAAACTATAAAGTATCTAGGAAAATAGCAGGGGATCTCTTTGCCTTTTCACTGTAGATGTGTTACATTGTTACAGAGTGACGTGAACCAGGGTCAAGGGGTCCTTACAGTATAAGATGGTGTCTCCTGATTGCAGCTGTGTGAGATGTTGTGGCATGATTTGTTTATTTTTCTTACCTAGATGAAGTGTTTCAAATTGTGGTGAGATGCAGTTTACTTTTGTCAAACTGCTCTGCAGTACAAGAAAAGAATCTTAACAAAAAAGCAAAGAGTTGGGTACAAACTCAACTGAGACGTGCAACCACACCCATTCTTAAAAATAGTATATTGCACCACATTGGAGAATTTTGGGGCTACACAGCTCAAGAATCCTTAGAAATAATGTTGAAAAAGGTAATTTAGATTGTAAAATATTAGTTCAAATAATTTTTCTCATATTATCTGAAGTCATTTACTCATTTGTTTCCTTCTTTCAGTAATAAGGTTGGCCTTGAAGTAGAGAATTCAATTTATCAATCAATCTGTTATCACACTCCTGCTTCACACCAAGTGGTGCACAAGGCCTCTTAGTCTGCCACCTGCTAGCTTTGTTTTCTGTGCTATTTACACCCAGTTTCAGGCCCAACAAGTCTGTTATGGGGTTAAAAATCACTCTTGTTTGACTTGTAGACCAAAGATAATATGTGTACCACATTCATTCTCTGACTTTTCTTTATTTTAAAACTCTTCCTCCAGTTGGTGTCATCGATGTGTCATGATTTAGAAGTATTACAAGGCTTCTTTTGGAATGAAGAAGAAAGGTATGTGACCACCAAGAAATTGTTCATTCCATGGATTCATTGGATAGAAAACTGAAATGTCAATGGATAGCCATTAGGACATGCATGAATCTGGAATAAGAGTCAGTATGTGTTCTTGCGAAAGCAACTTTGCTCCTACAGGTGCACTCCCTAAGCAAGAATACAAATGGGTGACAATAAATTTATAGCAAGGTCAGACAAAATTCTTGGTGGGTAACCTGCAATGTACCAGTCTCTTGCCCAGTCTGAGAAGTCACCGGGATAACCTTTGACGCATTCACGGAAGGCAGCCTTGTATTCAGACTTCAGCTCTTCATTCACTGACTGGCCACATTAGATGGACAGCAAATTCTTATTGTGATGTTAGTAAAAGAGACCTGCCATTTCAATATAATTCTTGCATGGGGCTAAGTGCGCACTAGTCACTTTGAATATCTTAAATATGACTGAACAGTTTTCTGCTGTTTGTTTACCTCTAATCAGTACTCTTGCCTTATTTTTTTCATCCACTTTAGAGAATTTTATCCTCAGAAACCAATATCAGGACTATGCTTAAAGGAACTATCTGAATTTTGCCTGCCTCTGATAACTATACCACAAGCAAAACCTTTGGTATGATTTGACATAATTTAGTAACTATTCTTATTTGACCATAAGCTGCGTCTCTAAGCCATCAAGTGAACCCTTTACACCCTAACATCAGTACATAATTCTTTAAACTGTTCACTATACATTTCCTGAGGTGCTGACAAGGAGAATTTTTGGATCAATATCAGTATCTGGGCAACTGCCCACCTACCCCTCCCCTAACCCAACATTAACCTTAACTTGTTGTCAATTGACTGTTGTTGAGTTAGGGGAGGGGTAGGTGGGCAGTTGCCTAGATACTGATATTGATCCGAATTTTTTCAACAATTACAAGCATCTTAAGTTATTGATCACATCCTTTATTCTCATGACTTTATTGAGTAATCCAAGGTTAACATTGTAGGGAGAAATTAGATGTTAGTCGCTCTTAGGGGTCAAAGGGTCAAGCATTGTTTTGTCCTCTTACTTGTGGTATACAACTTTCTTGATCAGCATGTTCCTGTTACAATTTGATAATTTTTACTTTGTCTATTTTAGGTGGAAAAGATTCTTTGCAGCCAAAAAAGCTTGGATTTGGTGAAAAGGTAAATAATTTTTGTAAACTGATTTAAAAAGAGTCATGAGGAACAGTAATTGTATTTGTTACATAAATAACTGCTATTTCTGAATTATCAGTTATAAAAATTTTTAACTGGTACCTCTGATAAGAGATAAGTAATTTGCCATGGCCCAAAAATAAGAATTAGGTACATACTTTGTAGGGGTGTTTTCCAAATTTTCATTAAAGCCTTACAAACCTTATAAAGTAACATGAAGGAAGAAGGAAGGGTGGATTTAACTTTCATCATATTTTACAGTTGTCACAATGAAGGTTTCCTTGTCTCGGAAAGTGTCCCGCAAGTGCTTTTGCATGCTGTCTCTCTCAACAAAGGTGGGTTTAATATCTTTTAAAATAATCAAAGATCTGACCAGTTTGGCTATTTAGGGACATATACACATATAATTATTCACTTATAAACATATGCACTTAAACACGTACACACAGAGAAAAACAACGTCATGAAAACGTGGAAATATATAACAAAAGAACGAAGAAAATCTAACAACTAGTTTCCATATTCAACGATGGCGCTCCAAATTTATCGGCCTTCATAACCTTTTTAATTCCTCTACGCATAACACTGCCACCTTGCATCCTAACATCCTAACTTGTTTCACGGTTTGTCGGTTGTTTTTTTTAGGGCTGTTTTTATCATATGATGCGCAAGTTAGTCTGTGGAAAAGGCACCAACCCAGCTTTGAATCAGAGGTACTCGAACAATCACATTAATAAGTTGTTAGACTGCTTTTCGATTGAGGTATATTTAAGCAATGCGCCGCATTTTGTATTAATATATTGGCGCAATAACCAACGTGGGTTATTACGACTAAAGCTTTTAACTCACGATCCGAAGGTGATTGATGTACAAACTTTTGTAGTACAGTTTATTTGACCAATCAGAGCGTGGGTAGGGTCTCAGCTATTTTATCCAATCACACGAAACAATTTGATTCTAAACGTCCTTGTGCGCGAGAAAACGCAAGAAACTGCCACGACGGTCATGATGATGCTTTTGGATGATATTTAATCAGCACTCTAGAGTGGAGGGGGACAAGGGGGCGGGAACCCGGGAGAACTGGGGGCGGGAGAGAGGGGGAAGCGGGATCTATCTGAGGGCGGAAAGCGAGAGCAGAAATCAAAAAGGCACTTGTTTGTTGTTTATTACTGCTTGTCATCCAGTCAAAAACCGGTTCCCAGCAAAGTTTTTTGACTTCCATTTAACGTCCACCGAGGCGTAAAATAAAATTTTACAAGCGAGAAAAGGTAATTTTTTCCTAAGGTTAAAAATAACTGCATAATACTGGTGAAATTGGATACCTATCGAAGTCGATTGCGTGATAAGTCTTGTTAGCGTCTCGCGAGCTCTGATAGTCGAAATTCTCGAAGCGAACAAAACGCAGTCTGCGCGGTCTGCAGACTGCATTTTAGCATGACCAATGTCACGATCGGTTTTATTTTTGTATCGGAATGGTTGATAGAGTGACGTGGATTTCTTATCGCATCCAATCGGCTAATCCGGGGCCACCAATGAAGGGTGGGAACTGTTCGTGGTCCAAGTGAAGAAATTATCGAAGGAAAGCCGGAGAAATTCAGGTTTCAACGAAATTGGAACCCGTGACTCTAATATCTACGCTACTAACAACTGAGTTACGAAGCCACATTTTGGAAGCTCGGCAAACCCGCCGGGTTCTTCGTTCCCCTAAAAGAATGTGATCATGAGTTTAATAAAATAAATCATATTTAGATTTGGGAGTGAAATTCAAGTGAAGAAATCATCCTCGCAGGCAAGCTACAATTTTTATATGTCATTAAGCGAGGCGTCGTTGCTCATTTCGTGGCCACGTAACGCCCAACTGGTATTTGGAAGGCACGGGTTTGAATCCTGTTGAAGTCCGAATAATTTTTCAGGCTTCTTTACTGCATCTGCTTAAATTGCAGCGCACCTGCGACGATTGTATCTTCTCTCAGTTGAATTTCACCCGCAGGTCATCATATGATTTACTTTATGAAAATTGCGTTCGTTATGCATGGTCACCTGTAGATTGTTCGTGGGGTGACTTTTCGTACGTTATTCACCGTTTTGTTTTAAGTTGTGCGGATTATTTTTGCTGAAGAAATAATCACGAAATTCATTGACGAACGTTAGATGAAGAACCGCAAAAATACATTTATCTTAACCTCAGCTGATCTCAAACGTTGCGCTTAAATAAGGGAGAATGCCATGTTTAAACAAAAATTGTGCGAACAAAGAAGAAACAAGTTAGTTTATGAAATATCGCCAAGCTAACAGTAGAGGGCTAACTGACCGGAAACGTCAATGAAAAAAAGAAAGGTCTCAAAGAGAAAACGCAACCATGTGATCTTATGGCGCAGGAAAGATAAATATGATTAAATGTTAATTTGCCAATTTGGGTATATTTGTCAATTTGCTAATTTGGGCATATGTCATTTGAGATTTGAAACAATAGACGGTCATCAAAGTAAGCAGAGCGAAAGTAGAATGTGTGGAACATTTCATTATTTTACTCCATAACTCATCATACTTTCGCAATGAGACACAGAAAGATTCTATTTGTGTTCATTTTTCTGGTAGCCACGATGTGTCTTCTGATGACGTCCTTAATACAGACTGATTCCAAGCTCACACTTTCCCCCACAAATAAGTGTGTTGTGATTGTCGATCGCGAAGACATTGTGTATCCGTACTATGGTAATCGGTTTGGAAAACACTGTCTTGTTGCACTGGATTGGGGAGAAATGTGCCCTGAGTTGTACACAGAATTGGGAGGAAAATGTAACTTGATCGACAGTACAATTCAATGTCCTGATATTCGAAACCACGCAAAATTTCGCAACCGACAGGCGCAACTCGTCATGACCAGAATGCTACGTATTTTTGACCTCATAGCGCAGAAACACAACATTGACTACTGGATATTTGGCGGGACTTTACTTGGTGCTGCAAGACATCATGGATTTATTCCGTGGGACTACGACATAGATATTGAAATGCCTTTGGAAGAATATGTGAAATTTTTCCAAGTCGCAGCAAAGGATTTACCGCCAGATATTTTCTTTCAGAACTCTATAAGTGATCCAGCGTTGAATCCGGATGACCCAAGTGGTTACTACAAGCATGAAATAGTTGGTATCTACGAAGCAACTTGGAACCCAAGATTACGAGATAGATATAGTTGCTATAAATTCTGTATGTCCTACGGATGTACTTGGCATGATGGGCTCATGATTGACATGTTCGTGTCGCCTCACATGAACAGATCTGCCGTCCCGCGTAGACGAATAAGTTTCGAAGGTTTCACCTTTCCTGTGCAAAATGACTGGGAGGAATATTTAATAGAAAATTTTGGCGAGAAGTACTTTGAAGTTCCAATCGATCAAGAACCGAAAGAAAGTCCAGACGTGTTCCATGGATGCGAGGAACTCAAAGGAAGTTCTTAGAAGATCTCGCGATAGCGTGATTTCCTGGAGTGACTTGCAGAGATGTAACACGAAACATACTCCATTAAGAAAAATAACAAGCTGTATCAATTTCCACTCGCGCTTTTTTAATCATTGCAAAATTTTAAAATCTATGAAATTAAAAAAATAAAGAACTGAAAGAAAATAAAAAGAAACAAGGCCTCAATAAACAATAATCGCAGAATAGTTCTGTTTGTTTACTCAGTTATCCTCTCTTTGTTTCAATATGTTTCAATATCTTTCAATGTCCTCTTTGGTTTTTAAGTGATGTTTGTCTTTTGTTGTTCTTCAGTCTTTGTATCAGCATTTGCTGCGAAGCAACCTTCGTTTTCTTTAGTATAAAATTATTTTACTTTACGGTTCGATTTAGAATGGATCTTTATGACCCTTTATTACTCTCACTGAGGCTGTTGAGGTTTCATGGTTTTGATGTTTTCTGTATACCCCTCGCCTCGAAGAAGTACTGTAGTCCCTTCGTCGGTTTTAGAAGGACCTTTATCTAGTTTTCTTCTTATTACACTCGCTAACTGTTTCTTAGCGTAATTGGAAATTATTCAGCCAAAAAAAATCGTTTATTTAAAAAGGAAAATAGCCAAATTATGAAATCAACCGCGATTAAAGATGTTATGGCCGTGTTAGGACAGTCATGACCAGTCCACACGCTTCTTACCTTCGCCCATCGCCAGTTAGACATAATTACTAAGAAGGCCAAGTTTACTGACGTACAGCAGTGGATAAGGGCAGCTGGCTAGTGACTCCACTATTTGGTGAGGCTATGTGGTGGACTTTTTTTCTTTTTCAGATTTTAGATTTGATCGAGATATCATCCATCAAGAGGCCCTTTATTTCCAGAGACCAACTCAGGGATCTGATTTCTTCACGTAGACTGGTAAGTATATTTTAATCAATAATTTTCTTTTAATTTTATGTGACATTTGTTTGTTCTTCGTATTTCTCCGAGCTCGTTAACCTTTTTAGTGAAATGATTTCTTCTGATCATGTTTTCGTTGGAATAGCCTCGAGCTTGTGTGGAAAATCCAGAATTCTTTGCTGTTGCTTGGGGTATTTTAAGGTGAGTCATCACCGCACAGGTTCTGCTTTGTTATCGCCGTAAGCTTTAATTTACAAAAGTAACAATGTTAGATCATCAGGAGCCTTTGGTTGAGTGTTGCCGGTCAGAACCAAATAAATATTACAAGATTTTGCTGAGGACGCGAATTAAATAACTGTAAACGCCCGAAACATTGTTTTTTCGATGGTCAATTGAAAGTTGCAGTAATCATCAATAAACGAAGTAGACTGGGGCCATCCGAAGTTGGTCCGAATCGTTTAATTTTCGAATGGTTTTGTACGATTACGAAATATTACATCCAATATTACGGACGCTTTTGTCAAATTTTGTAGGGAACAGTTATTGAGAGAGACGAGCGGGACCTGTCTGAAATATGACGGATTCGAATGAAAGTAAACGGTTCTAAGTCGAACGTAATCTTGCAGACGAGGAAAGAACCGCCTTTGCTTCTTCAATTTCTTTTCTGAAGTTTATTATACTCAGTTTTGCTAAATAACTCGACAGTTCCTCTTTCGACAAGACTTACTGGCGTTTTCCTTTCCTTACGTTCTCTACACATTATTTAGTTCATTTCTTGCTCGCTCTGGAGGAAGCGCACAAGTAGCAAAGCTGTTGTCAGTATTTGGGCAAATATGTGTCGAGGAATGTCAAGAGGGCCGCCAGCAGGTGCGTGACGAAATCAAACAGGCCGGGCGCACACGCGTACGTACGTACGTACATACTATGCACTGAATGATGTGTTCGTGCAAATAAATACATTTCTTCTAAATCCGCATCCTGTTAGATTTCCCGACGAAAAAAGGTGAAAAATGTCACATCGCTAGATCTATGCCGTGCTGATGTTTTAAAAGAAGTCCACAAGTATGTCAACTCTATGGAAGAGATTCCGTCTCAGTTCATGCAGAGGTTGCCGACGACTCTGGTTTTCGTTTTTTTAATTTTTTAGCGAAGTTTAATTTGAAAGTTCAACTTCGTTATTCCACCTGACTTTTCTCTTTCTAGGTTCTCTCGACGTTTTCAGAAATCTTTCCCGACTTTTGTCAGCCGCTTGTGCGGAAACTGGCTTTCCGCCCGCGCGGTGAGTATAAAGTCCTTTATTTAACCCTTTTATTCCCAGGAGTGACCAAGACATAATTTCTCCCTCCACTTTCAACATCATATCAAGTACACAAGTGATGAGAATACAGAAAAATATCAAAGGAGGGGATTATTTTTTAATCCAATGCCAAATTCTCAGAGCTAAAATTACGGCAAATGTAAAGCCGGCAATGAGGAGAATTCCTAATTGAAATTCTGGGATTTGAAGGGCTAAAGCGTACTTTTGTAACCTTGAAAGAAAAATCCACAGAAATTATAATATTAAGAAAAAAAAATAATTGATGGTCTCTTACCGAAAAGTTTTAACCCCCTCCCAACTTAACCCCAGCCCCAAGTCTTCAACAACGTTTGAATCACAGTGAAGCTAAGCACCTTACACAACCTGGTTTCTCTTGAGAATTTTAAGGGGCGTCAGATTCGCATACACAACGAATATTGTGGTTCACTCTTTCAGAGAATGATATGTAAATCGAATCACTCAAGCCTAGTTATTCAGCTGTGTCCTGTGTTTACTTTAGATGCAGCAGATGAGGAATCTGTCCTGACGAATTTGCAAAATATTCATCTCGATCTGGAAGAACTAACACGGAAATTATCACCAAGGTGTGTAGACATTTGTGGTCTTGCCATTAGTATCATTTGATTATTTTCCATTGCTTGATAGAACACAACACAAACAAAATCCCTGATATTGTCAGAATGTTTTGAAGTAACCTTTAAAGTTACTTTTTGTAATACAGAGGGTTTCTCAAAAGTCCCGGTATCTTTACTTGGGCCTAAAGCTTTGTTTGAAAATCTTTGTCTATAGAATATGATGTTTGGTGAACATCCTCTGGAAAAACAATTTGTTTTGAAGGAGTTATGTGTGAACTGTGGCGTGGTGAATTACCTTCAACTTGATGGATATTACAAAATAGCAGCTAATTTTTTTCATTTCAAATTTTATTCGGTTTATTTATATTCGGTTCTTCGTTTTCAGGCTTCTTACATGCATATTTTTAACAATATTCAAACTAACTGTCTATGAAAAGAACTTAGCGCCCTTTCTTCGTCCTGTTTATTTCATTTTCATCAACCTACATGCTCTCTCTTCGATTATTTTTCTAAGAAGACGCCAAGACGCCTATTGATTTTAGATAAAGTAATTAATATAAAGAGTTGGCCCAGTGGATTTAAAAGATTAAGTTGCTTAGCCTCTGAGTGGCTATCACTGAAAGACTTCGGCTTTTGTAATCAGGTGTATGTGTCAACCAAAATACGGTCATTTTCGTCTATAAACAACTTAATAGGAGAAGGAAAATCTATTTAAAGTTTCTGACACTTCGGTTTAGGGATTATGATACCAAGTTGACGATGAGCTCGTTATTCAATCTATGGGAAATTTGCGGTATACATTATTTAAACATATCCACTGGTTCCATCTGTAGTTAAAAACTTGATAGATTCCTGCGAATTGTTATCGCGATTAGTTTATCTCCTAAAAATGGATATCTTGATCTTGAATTTGTAGAATCTTGCAAAAGCAAGTCAGGAAGACTCGTCTCTTATATTCAAGTCATATTCGCATATCCGGTCGACTATTTTTTCCAAATACATAGTGATTATTTACATTATTTGAGACTATGATTCAGCATTTGATTGGAGGCGGAGACGTGATAGTGATCCAAATGCAAACGATCATCATGTGCAACTTAAATAAATCAGCATTAAAATTTCTGCTCTTATTAACGAGGGCGTGATCTTAACAGCTATATCGCCACAGCTATAAAAGGTTTGAGTACTGCATGCAAATTTCGTTGGATAATTTTTCAAGATATGTGGGAAACCTTTAACTTTGCAAGTTGAGTACTTGAGTGTCTGTTATCGGTTGACCCCTCGTGTACAGAGATCAAGTTTAAAAAGCAGAAACCAGATCGTTGTAGTCGTTCTCCATTAGAGATGTCTCCATCAAGCGCGGAACAATCAAAGGAAACATGAACGAGAGTAGTTTGACTTCAACAGCTGATGCGTGGAGTGACCTGACCACGCCAACCATGAAATGGGTTTTTCGAGGCCTTTTCTCAACAATCCTATTTCTTGGTTTGGTTGGAAATGGCGCAGTATGCTCAGCCATTGTTCTAAAGCAGAGATTGCGAACGACGGCGAATATGTTGGTGTTAAACCTTGCTGCGGCTGATTTCGTATTTGTGGCGCTTTACGCCCCGACACAACTCTCCTTTTTCGAGAACAACTACAGCTGGGAGATGGGTGACGGTGTTTGTAAGCTCACATACACAGTCTTACCAGCATGCCTTTGCGCTACTGTGGAAACTCTTTTATGTATTGCGGTGATACGTTACAAAGCTGTGGCGAGTCCGTTTCGTTTGCGCGTCGGAATGACTTATAAAACAACAGCAGTGGTGATATCTGTCATATGGCTGACCTCTTTGTTAACAGGCCTACCAGTTCTTCTTTTGGCGAAGACTGTACAGTACCAAGACAGGGTATTCTGTGACGAAATCTGGCCAGTTGGCAAGCCTTACCGTGAAGTTTACTGGGTTTTTATATTTCTTATCCAGTACGCCATTCCATTGCTGGCTATCATTCTTTTATCCATTGCTACAATCGTAAAAGTGAAACAGAGTCGCGCTCGTGTAATACCAAGTGCTCCGTCCATCAACAACGAAGCAAATTCAGTTTCCCATGTCTTACAAGCTAACGTGAGGCAAAGACAAAGGAGAGAGATCAACATGTCAAAGATGTTGACAGGTTTGGTCATCCTGTACGCAATCTGCATGCTTCCGCAGCACGTCGTGTTTTTCTGGCTTACGTACGGCAACTTGAAACAGCAGGAGTACTCGCTATACATTTTCACTATCGCTAATATGTTTCCGATCGCTAACAGTGCGTTAAACCCTCTTATATACGGCAGTTTACATAAAGAGTTGAAAAGTGGCTTTAAAAACTGCATTAAGTGTTCATAATTGAAGAGTTCTTGTCAAACGCCGAGTGATTTTTTCAGAGCTCTCAATCTATATAGGAGCTTTTACCTTATCAGTATTAACAGCATTAATCGTATTCATGTCAAGTGGTGCTTAGGTCTCAAAACGATTATGCAATCAATTTTTTTCCAGTACTCTTGACTCCAAACAAAGGGAAAAGCCTTCCGTACTTTTCTTCAGGAAAAACTTAAAGCATCGCAGAAGTAGATTTTGCATTTTTTCCAATTTTAAGTAAGCATTTAAAAAAACTGCGTCAGAAAATTTTTTTCACCCCTATGTACTTCGCTATTGAGTGACTGTTTGCAGCCTGGGAACCGAACATCCTTTTCACTTTGTAAAGTACATAAAATGTAATGTTAAATGTCAAATCGAAAGTCATTATGCCAAGTTTTCTGTAAGGATTCTACGTTGCGGACGGTGAGAAAAGAAAATCATTTATTTGTTTTGCTCGACCCCATTCTATAGTCAAGAGTTAAATCGGTTGACTGCATTTCCAACATTATCTTAAAACCTTAAAATTGATAAAAATGAATGCAATAGGATGGCCGCTAAGTAGCGGTAAATTAAGAAAGAAATGGCGATTATGGCAAAGGTTTTAATCAAGGTTTTTAAAAATTCAAAATATAACCAGAAAGAGAACGCGAAAAGTTGAGCCAAGGTCGCCAAAGGGGGTCAACACAATGAAAGTGCAATGCCAGTTCTCATGTCAAACGGTGTAAGTCTTCTCTTCCTTTAATGTTAATAATGCCTACGTTAAAATTCGTAAGACGACTGAATTGAATTATCTTAAAACATGAACAACCTTACTGAAGTCAGTGTTGGACTGAAACAAACAAATGACAATGAACGTCTGCAATGAACCTCGCGATCCTAGCACCCTGACCAATAAAGATTAAATATGAAAGGTTAACGTTGTTCGATTAAAAAAAGTTAAAGATGAAATAAATAATCTGACAGTCAAAAGAATAAAGGAGTTAAGTTTCTGAAGAAACTGTGGCGCAACGTCGGTGGTGGATATTGCAAGAGAATATGGTTTTATCAACTGAGTTGATAATGTAAATTGGCCCTCGTAAAGAACTTCTAAAGCTGAGGTTTCGAATGCTAACATGTCGTCAGAAAACCCAACATTAACCTTAACTTGTTGTCAATTGACTGTTGTTGAGTTAGGGGAGGGGTAGGTAGGCAGTTGCCCAGATACTGATATTGATCCGTCAGAGCGAGAGTCAAAAGGTAGTTTTTTTTACAGTCAAAAGGAAGCTTGTCTTTTTTTTACCTTTTTTTTTTTTTTTTTTTTTTTTTTCACTGAAGAAGAACAGTAATAACTATCCAAACCCCACTATAAATTTCGTTTCAAGATTTAAATTTATCGCTTAAAATGTATATTCAATGAAAACACTTTCATTTTTGGGAAAACGAAAAAACATTAGTATTTCCCATAAATTATAACTGGTGACGGAAGCAAAAAGAGCTGTCAGAAGTGAAATGAATGAAAAGTCCGTGGGTTCAAATTGGGAGATTATTTTATTATCGTGAGAAACACGCCAACATTAATTTAAGTAAAATTTTATTTCTAGTTGCTTGAATCAGCCCCATCTGAACAATGAAAGGGGGAACGGCGCTCTCAGCTTTGAAGTTGTAATCTTCGTCTATCCTTTTAAATTCATACTTTCCCACGAAATGAGACCTTGGTTATCGGGCTTCTAGGTGTTTGTCTTCCTTAATTACGAAGGAACGATCCAGTGCAATCTTTGTAAGTGATATGTTTTGGTAATTAAAAAAATTGAAGTCGATGCGAGGAGCATTCGTTTGATAAAAGCCTTATATAATGGTAAGTGTAAAGATAAACTTGAATCAAAACTTGTCGATGCTTGGCTTCCCTACGTTAAGTGACCACTGAGGAATTTTTGTGTTATTCATTATTGCTATTAATATTGGTAATGGGACTGAATGTAGTCCAATTCAGCCAGTAATCATACGAGTGATTAACAAAATCGGACAACCGCGAAGCGGAAGTCCGATTTGTCAATCACGAGTATGATTACATACAGAGTTATCTACACGAAGTCGTGTTACCAATTAATCAAAACTAGACATCGGTTATACGTTTTCTTAAGACAAAAAAAAAAAACAACATTGAACTCGGCGAAATGCGCGACAACAGTGTGCACACATGACGCGCACTGTCCATATTTCTTTACTTCATATTTATTACTTTGATGAGAGATTTCGTCTCTCGAGTCCATTTAAGAGGTGAAAATAACATTTTAACCATCAGTAGGAGTCACTCGCGACTAAATCTATTTTTTGGTTCCAAAAAAAAGAAGAATGAAAAAAGAATAACGTCCTTTTATAACGGGCTCGTTTGATACATAGGGGGGTTCCTTTGGTAAAACGTTTGTTTAGGTAATGTACGCCCGGGTGCAAACTCGTGTTACTCTTGGAGAGCAGCGATTCTATCAATAAATCCACTGTTATAGCAAAGTATGTGATGTGAGTTAAATACTCTATTTTTGTATTTTCAGTGAGTTGTTCAATGTCTGGAAAATACTTTGGTGTTTTCCCTCGTGGGAAAGAGAAGCACTGCGAAAGCTGCTTTTGAGATCGAGTAAAGAGGAGGTAAGATATTATGTTCATCTAAGTATGTGTGTGTTGGGAAGAAAAAACAAAACGATTTTTTCTCGTTGGACAGATGTTGAATTGTTGTGTCAACATTTTTTGCTGGTTTCATGTTCCACCTTTGTTGGACAAGCATTCTTCGTTAAAGGTAAGCAAAGGAAATCGTGTCAGAGTAATATACTTCTTGTTAATTTATTGTACTTAAAATGGTCACATGTAGACAAATGTAAGGATTTAAAAGAACGCAAAGTACCTTTTTCCTATATGTGTCTAATAGGGGACGGCGGAGCAGGTAAAGTAGGGTTAATTCAACCTTTTTATGCAGCCCAGATCACGTGAAGGGCACCGCACTGCCACATGTTGCTCGACCACCTAATTAACTTTTTGTCCCCCTCCCCCCCATTTTTCTCAAAATCCCCATTGAAATTCAATGAGTGATACCGTCATTTAAAGAGGAGGACTATTGTCTAACAATTATTCACGCAGCTAAACTCTTTTTTTTTTTTTTTTTTTTTTTTTTTCCAGCGTCACACTTAGTATTTCAGGGCTTCTTTAGCTTGTCTTTTTTTTCAGGAAGCTGTAAGAGAAATTGTTTATCCTATGCGTCTACTCAAATCAAAGACCAGGCTTCAGTTTGCAGATATTCTGTATATTTTGTCAACATGCCCTGTATTACGTGCCTCGGAGGCGTCCATTTTGTTGAGTAGGCTGTTATTGGTCTTCCTATGTGATGCGTTGGGTGGCCATTTAGTGTTTACTGAGGTAGTAAAATTGGTAAGTGGGTCATAGTCTTGATACTGAAAAACTTCAGTCGTAAAAAAATTTCCGTAAAATACTATTTCCCAATAGAACTGAATTTCCCAAAATTGCCGTTGGCAGCAATTTGCAAAAGATCAAAGTTTGAACCAATTGTCAATAACAATACTTGGAAAGAGCAATGACCAATTTCAAAATTCAATCTGTATCGATAAAGTATGGCAAAGTTTAGAATGTTCTTCTCCGTTTTCGTTTCAGTTCCTGCCGGAAGGTACCGCTGTGATACGTTTGTCATTTGTGATAGACGGTTTGGAAAATATTTTTGATGGAGAGGAATCTGTTTCCTCAACTGAACAGAAGAAAGCTCGACTCTTATTTGTCCAGGAAATAAAATGTTTATCTGACGAGGCTAAAAGGGAGTCTCTAGTGGCGACCTTAACTGAGTCAGAGTCCATGACCCAAACTGAAGAACTACTAACTAGAACCAAAACACTTATAACTGTGTTGCAAACAGACCACATTTAGGTTTAACCCTTTAACTCCCAGATCAAATTTGTCATTCTCCTTCCTGTCAACCATACAATTCGTATTATGTTAGCTCAGAGAATTTAGTATTGGATCAACTTGTTACCCCCAAATTGATATTTTTCTTTATTCTCATCTTTTATCTAGTTGATATTGTATTGATATTGTAAGGAGAAATTCTGTCTTGGTCACTCATGGGAGTTAAAGGGTTAAGAGGATCACTACAAACCTCTTAATAAGATTATAACCTACGCACTGATACCCAAAATCCGGAGCTTACCAGCGAATTGTGTACGATATATCGAATAGTGATATTGAAAGAGAGAACTAGAGGGCTTCACTGAGCACCTTGGCAGGTTGGCTCTCTCTTTTAATGTTACTGTTGGAACTACTAGATTAGATAGGGACCTTTGATTTTTATTTGACGAGAATAATATTTGAAATTGAGATTTGACGTGAAATGACTATTTCTTGTCACGAATTTATGTCTATTTTTATCCTGTGAGAAGGTTTGAAGCTGGAAAACATAAATTGAAGTTATTATTGAAGATTATTATCATCGTCCTTGCTGTCATCATCATCGCCGACTCCATATGGTGATGATGATCATCATCATTATTACTTTTATTATTGACATCATCAATGTGAATTTTATCATAGTCATAACATAAGTATTAGCATAGATACTATCATTAGTGTTACAGCTATCATCATCATTAACATAATTGTTATCATCGTTACTAATTTTGTTTTGTTTACTTTTCTATAGACATTGTTTTTAAATTGTTTTAAGACAAGCTGTTGCAATAGCCGAAACGCCAGCGCGTGCGCAGGCAAAGCTACCATGTTAAAGCAAGTCGCTGGTGGCTATCTAATTTGTCAAGGTGTATCTATCATAAAAGCTGTAGTTATATGCATTACACGACTGTCTCCTTTTGTGGAAGCTCTTCTCTATCTCCGGAAGAAATATATTGTAGGCTCTCTCTTCTGCTGGAGCCCACGCCCGTAAAGACTATAAGACCTAAACGTTCTTGATCGGCCGAATAATTGTTCCCGCGGTTGCACGAGTCCTGCGTGCAGTCGTTTTTTTTAATTTTCATTTTTGGAAGAGGAGACACCATGGTTTCTCGTCCATTTTTCCATTCCTGATGAAGAAGTGGTCCGCTTTCATTCTTTTTCACACTAGTTTCTGTCTCAAAAGTCGAAGGTTTCCTTAAAAGGTATCTACTCTTCAGGCAAGTGCATTTGAACAAAAAATTGAAAACGTCCTTGAACTCCTTGTTCAATGTTCCGTATGCAATCGCATTGAGCGCACTGTTTGCTATTGGAAAGATGTTGGCTATTAAGTTTGCCATCTCTCTGTAACTCGTTTCGGTCAAATTCCCGTATCTCGACCAGAACGTGTACACCACGTGCTGAGGCAGCATACAAATGGCGTAGAGCAACACGAGTGCAATGAGCATGTTTCTTATCCGTTGTGTTTGTTTGGCTCTTCGTTGAATGGCCTTCCGAAAGACCTCGCTTTGAGCGCACGTCTCCATAGCAACTGGGAGTGCGTTTTTCCTTAAAGTATAGGCCGTTATGCCCGCCAAGATCGCAATGATACTCAAGGGCAACAGATACTGAATGCAAAACATTGATATCCAGTAGATTTCTTGAAACATTGGCGATGTCCAATACTCTGCGCAGTGCTTTATCCCAGGCTGAGGCGAAACGAATTTGGTGACAAATAGAAGAGGTAAGGCGGTTACAGCCGATGCAACCCAAATGACAGCTATTATCAACATTACCCGCCTCCTGGATAGCCTAGACTTGACTGGAAATACAATCGCGCGGTATCGGTCAGCGGTGATGGCCAGTAAAGTACCGATGGACACAGACAGTGACAAGGGAAGTATTATGTAAGCAAGATAGCACATAAAACTTCCAAGAACCCATTGAAAGCAGTTTTCAAAAAAAATCATTTGCGTTGGAACGTAGACGAGTACGAGAATTAGATCGTGGAACGCAAGATTGAATGTAAATATGTTACAGCTGGTTTGAGTCCCTTTTCGTTTGACAATCGCTATGCAGACAACTGCATTTCCGAACAAACCAAGGATGAATATGATTGAATAAATTAGTCGCAAAGTCCATTTTAGGTACGCAGACCCGCATTCCGATTCGAATGAGGTAGTGTTGTTCATCATCGTGTCTCAGTATGGTTAGCGTGTAGCTAGCCTGATTGGGCGACAAATAGTCCGGAAAATCATCGGCTGTCTATCACTGTTCTGACTGAGGTTCTTCTTTCCAATCTAAAGGGTAAAAAGGTGAAAAACACATGGATCTTCGTTCTGCTGTGAGTAGCGCACATGCATGCGTGGAGCAACAATTATCGTTGATATGTATCTTTCTTTCAGTTTAGTTATTCATATTCGCCTTTCTGTGCTCCTCCCCACCTCAACGTCTTTACGGACTAAAGAAGAATTTCTTGGTCCGCATTTTTCTGAAGTTTTTGCATCGAAGTGGGAGTTAGAGATGACGGATCGACTGTATTTCTCGAAAAATACACTGGCGTCTTGTCGCAGCACAGAATAATAAGTTGAGCGCTGGGAATGAGGAAAAAGTAATTTTGTCTCGTAACACAGTAGGCTCTCGAAATGTCGCGACAAATCCCTGAAAGGCTTATGCTATGAAAGGTAACACTGCAAAACCATTAAACAAAGTAAAAAAATTGGTACTCTCAAATTTCGTCCTGTTGTTGAGGGTTTATGAGGCATTAAGATGTACCTCACTTTGTACGCTTTGTTTCCAACCCGTTTGTTGACAAACTCACTTTATGCTTCTCTCAATGGAGGCGAAAATAAAACTAATAAGGTTTATGCACACCGTATTTACCGCGTAATCGTTTAACGCTAACTTTTCAAAATTATTATCGAAAAATGTTCAATCTTATACCAGAAAACAAGATCTTGAATTAAACTCCCTAAGATATTCTGTTGTTCGGAAACATATTTTCCAGGTATCCAGTATCAGTCCAGGAGCTTTAACTCATCCTCATCACTCCCTTGTACAATATGATCCTCTCAGATTTGCTCGACTAAAACTCCCTTCTTTGTGGTAAATTACACGTTAAACGTAACTTTATCGCAACGCTTTGTTATTGCAAACTTGTAAATCGATCAAAAATACGAATCTCATTGTTTTTCGTCAATCAACGTGGTTGTTAAAAAGGGATCAATTCGTTGATAACCATATGTTGTCGGGGAGATCTTTCCGTTCTTTGCGTATTTATCACTTAAAGTTATTGATTACAAGCTGTTAGATAAAGTGTATTTTTCATTGACGAGGACAGTGAGAAACAATTTCTTCTTGAGGTTCGGTTGTCATTTTACATAACAAACCTGTCATGATCAATGATTTTTGCCACTTCATCTTAACTTGCTTGCTAACCAATCAATCGTGGCGCGGCCGATTCTGTCCTTAGTTATTGTAGAAAATGGAGGGGAAAGAATATGGAGAAAGACTAACCTTTCTACTGGAGAATACTTGCAGGGGGTCAGCTAACGAAAACTGAAGAAAACTCATTAATGAATAAGAGCTCTCTGTTGTGTCTATGGTGATTTTTTAATAGCTTTTTGTGAAAGAAAGTTAAAATTATTTGCTTTATAGAGACTTTTTCATAGTTTGCAAAATCGATCGATGAGAACCTACCAACCAGATCGTTTCCCTTTTAAGGCTATGTAGGTAATTGTCAATTAATTTGAGTCATAGAAAGTCGATTGTGTTGCCTCCGTGCATTACATTCGGGGACGAAATAGGGACATGAAAGTTCAAGCAATCTTTTTTCATGCAAATTATGTCTCCTTGTGATTACATGAATATGTATAAATGTCAGCATTAATTGAAGTTTCTACTCTTCGGCTTCACTTAAAAAGTAGTGGATATTTGGGTCATAAATAAATGTGAACGTCACATTCATTGCACCCTTCTTTGGTAGTCATAGTAAAAGAAGGCGCTGAACGGTCCCCCAAAATTTTCCACCTGCGTTACATGGCAATTCATCGTTTCAAGAAAAACATGACTTGGAGCAGTGGGAAGTGATAGCTTATCTAAATTTTCGGTACCTGTTTTACACAGAATCGACAAAAATATGAAAATTTTTTAATTTTTTTCGGTTTTGTTCGACGACTTATAATTTCATTTCAGCGAAACTTATGACAAGAACCCTGTCACAGAGTTGTCTCTGCACAGATTCGAGAACAGCATAGGTCTTAATTCTTATTTTGTTTTTATCCTCGGCTGTTACACCTGTCAATGAAAACACTGTGCTTATTAAACACAGTGTTTTTATTTAAGTCACAATCAACTTGGTCTATTTTAATTCTCAAATCTGATTGGTTCGGTCCAATTCGTCATATCCACCTAGTAAGAACTACGGGCGCTTGAATGAAAACTTATCTTTTAGGTTCTGTTTGTAAATAATAAACCACAAATATAATTCTATGGCCAGTGTTACTGTCCTTTATATAACTGCTGATAGAAAAAAAATGTCTATTTTACAATATCTTTTTTCTTGATGAAAGAAAATATTGAAAACAATTCTCTGAGTTCAGGTTTCAAAGTGTCTCGCTAATATGGCAATTAGGCTACGGAGCTAGATCTATCGATCCTAATATCAATTACTCTTGGCGAATGGTTTGGTTTTGATTAAAAACATCTATACGCATCCCAGGGAAGGCAGGAGCGAGCGAATTTGCGCCTTTTTGACGACCATCTAATACCCAACTAATGTAAAGTATAATGAAACATTTGAATCGTACCTTTTCAATAGAATTTAAACGCTTTATCTTCCGGCACAATTAGATTCCTACTTGGGTCGCATTACAAAAGCTACAGGGAAGACTTGAAGAGATTCTAATTTTAACCCGTATCGTAATAAGTATGCAAAATTAAAAAAACTCCCTACGACATGTCAACCTGTCAATGTTTGAAGTTTAAGGTTGATAGCTCAAGCTGATGATACACACAAAAAAGCTTAGTAATCGTTAACCTACAAGTGTTTTTCAAGTTAGCCAGCGGCAGCTGTAAATTTCCCATCTTATTGCAAGGCACCTCAATGTCTTAGTCCGGGTACGGATGACGATTTCATCGAAAATTTGTACCTTTTTTCAAACCAGTTTTGAGAAATAAGTGATTACTGTCAGCCGTGACAGGTTTCATCAAAGGAACTTAATACCTGTATTAAATTTCAGGTGAATGTTCATGAAAAGCGTTGTTTTGACACTCTCAAATAAGAACGTTAAGTATCGGGATTTTCAATCTCTTGTTGGACAAAATTTACGATAATGAGTTTCATTTCTTGCCGCGAGATAACAAGTGTGTTTTCGTTGCGGGGTGTTAAGAACTTAAGGATATCATATTTCTTTGAATGAAATAAATTGCAGCTTTTGTTTTGGACCGAGCAGATGTTCACAGATTCTTAACGAAAAGTTTACATCCTCGTTTCACTTTCGTAGAGTAAAATGATATGCAACCAGTGCGGGTTGTCTTGGTTTGGTAAATAACTAACAAAGCTTGTCAAGTTTCTGTGGCTAGACAGCTGCGTGGACGCTAAACTAAAATGTGAAATGAAACTACAGGGGATTTAAAAAAACACACAGCGTAGATCTGTGTTTATAGGCAACATGCTGGTTTAGTGTTGGGAAGGAATGATTGTGCCTCAGGGTATACCAGAGCAGGAATATGGGAGTTAAATTCTTTTTTTTTAGGCTAGAGAACTAGGTATTCAAGTAATTAGCTGGGGAAGCCACTGTGGTCAGTTTTCTATCTTTGTTTTCAAATTTGAATTTACCTTTCATCCGCCGTGCAGAAAAGGTTTCCATGCTAAGTCCTGTTTAGAGTCTGGATAAAAATTCGCCCAAGCCATACATACGTCTTGTTCTCACAATTAGACTGAATTCCTCTTGCGGTCTGCGTTCTTCTGGCCCAAATAAGAAAGACAATTCCAGCATTTCAAATCAATCCTCGCAATATTCTCATCTTTTAATTAAAATTCCTTTCTCTTCATTGGCTGGCGATAAATGTCAAACTTAACACTTTATCACTTAGGCTTGTCTTTCATTCTCATCAAGGTAAACATGACAGGAAGCAATAGTTCTGCCACAACCCTTCTCGTTTGACGCAGACTAATTAGAAACATTTACGACACTAAAATTACTACAATTCCAAATCACTGCGGCAAATTAATTTTAATTGGCTCTGAATGGAAAGTATTTGTGTCATGTTTTCTCTTATTGTTATAGGGTATCTTGGAAGTGCCAAGACGAATTGGCGTTGGGATTTTTTGTGGTTCGATAACGATGCGTATAGATTAACAGAGGAAATGGTAATGGCAGATGATTGGATAGTAGTTTTGGTTCGATTTATGCAATTGCTTAAAACCATTACAAGCAACGGACGTTTTTTTTCTATTGTTATTGCAAAATTTGTACTCTTGTCCGATGAGAACGACGAAATGGAATTGGTTGAAACGAATGTGGTGTTTTCTCGACCAGGCGAAAAGACCATTTTAATGGTTTTCCCTCCCTCATTTAACCTTCGGGGCTCCCAGTGATCGCTAATGATATTGGATATCGTGATAAACTACCTAAGGGACAACCTTTATATCAAACAATCAATGGTTAATAATTGACAATTAGTATAATAAACGATTACTGAACCTGCTTCCGTACCTTAAAGGTTTACCTCAGCAAATCATTTTTGTATCCGTTCATAACTTGAAATAGTCGTTCTTGACTCGATTTTCTCTCTCAATTTCATATGAACCGACAGTACTGTTACACGAAACAATAAGAGGCATTGGAGGCTTTCGTATTTCAATACAGGGCATCAAGTTCTGAGGCCGACGCCTAGAGCACCACCTATTTCATTTTGCCTTATTAACATATGTTTCATTTACGGTCTCCGCACGATTTGGCTTCATATTGCAATTCAAGCTCATTATGGTCACTGAGCGATTTCTCAAACTAAGACAACGAAAGCAATACCATTAACAATTGGCTTTATTTCAACCATTTGTAGCTGTTCCACCATCTAGGAAAATATTCGTGCTCAGCACTGTAAGAGAAAATCACTAAGCTAAGTTATAATGACAAATCCTTCTACCACAAGAAAATGAGAAAACTTTGTTGCTAATAAGCCTTTAGCCTTGAGAAAATGAACAACATTTAGTAACGAAATCAAAACTCAGTTATCAGGATATCTCATCTACCTCCATGACTTTTAACTTTGGCAGTTGAACTCTAGAGACTTGTTTTCAACTTTAGGAAGGACATACTGTGTAATAAGAAATGTTTTGACTAACTATGCAAATGCATCTAAACTTTGCATAAATTGTCTCACTTAGTGATGTGTTCGGGGTCCAAAGATATAACATTAAAATTTGAAGTTTTCATTCAATCTGTACACATTGACTGCAGATAACGACAGCAGCTGGTAACCGATAGACACACTTTTTGAACTCTTTTCCTCAGCGGTAAGTTATTTCTATTCATCACATTTATTTTACCTTAGTAAAGCTCTCTTATGTAGGTATAATCCCTAACGCAGCTGAAAAGATTTGCTTAATCTTGGCTTTCGTACTAAATTTCAATTAAAATCGAATTAAGATCGATCAAGTGATATATCACTCAACAAAACTAAATGCTAAAATTTATTGTTCGGCTTATATTGAGTTCCAAGAAAAATCTAGTGGTCGATACGCATAAGACCTTGATAAATCTGATTACCATGGTAATTTTTCGATTTATGTTCCAGATATGAAATGGAAACCATAGGTTTTCATTTTGCTAAAGAACACTTTTACTTCCTTCGAACTTTTTCAATAACTCAGCCAATGTATGTCAAATCACCTTTAGGGAGATGACTGAATTGTCTTTCTCTTCGATAATATCCTCGCGATATTGATCGTCATTCCATCTGAAGCAAATTGTAGACTTGTAATTCCATTTACGTTTCAAAAGACCCTTGAAAACCATTTTGAACTCCTTATTCAATGTCCCATATGCGATGGGATTTAACGCACAGTTTGCCATGGGGAATACATTCGAAAACCTGAATATATACATTTTGAATTCCATCTGGTTAAGATTTCCAAATTCCATCCAAAAATACACAACATGCTGGGGCAGCATACAAATGGCGTAAATAATTACGAGTGCGAAAAGCATTTTGGTTATTTTAGTACCTTGCTGCATTCGCTTTCGCACAGCCTTTGTGATGACAAGAGATTCCCTTTTTGTATTAAACAGGACGTCACTTCTAAGTTTACAAGCAGCAATGGTCGATAGAACGCATATAAAAACAAGAGGTGTAATGTACTGAAGAAAAAAAATAGAGATCCAATAAACATTATCAATTACTGAATCTTCGGGCCAGCCTGGCTCTGAGCAGTACACCTGTCCACTACTACTCCTTTCTTCTCCCGCTACAAAAATTATTGGCAAAGCTATGACCAGAGACGTGACCCAAATGCCAGTGATAATCCCCTGAATTCCTCTCTCTGTCAGTTTTGCCGTCAGTGGGGAAGTTATAGCGCGGTAACGGTTAACTGTTATGGCCAGTAAAGAACCAATAGAGGCCGACAGACATAGTGGAATGATGATATAGGCAATCCGACACATAATGTCTCCTAAGGCCCAGTTGTGTTCATTCTCGAAAGCGGTCATTTGTGTTGGGACGTAAATCGTTACAACGATAAGGTCAGCACAAGCAAGATTGAAAGTAAAAAGGTTGTTACTCGTTCGAAGACGCTTGCGTTTCAACACCGCAGCACACACGATCACATTACCAGCAATGCCCACGACAAACACAAAGATGTATAAAAGGCGTAACGTCCATTTTAGCGGAACAGGCTCAGGAGAAATAGCCGTTCCGTTAGCCTCTAGCATTCCTTGTCCGCGGAATTTTAACGGTTTTCGCTGATATTCTTTAGTAAAAACAAGCGTTCCGCATTCGGTAACATTAACAAGGAAAGGCTTTTTTTTCAAACACTGCCGCGGCAGTCGCAAATATAAGGCTTTATCTTTTATTTCATCCATAACAAAAAATGTTTTTCATGGTGTATTTTCTATTCTTGAAACAAGAATAATTAACCTTAAATCAGTGGGAGGTTTTCAGAGGAACTGTTTCGGTCCATTAAAATATAGTTGAAAGCCTGACTCGATCATTCAATGAAATTTCATAGCAGCCGTTTCACCTATAACAGAGACAAAATAATTTTCAGCTATTTTTCCTGTGTGAACTGGAACTTATTAAAATAAATATATTCATATATGTTTCATTCAATTTAATTTAAAGGCGTTCAATAGGATATGTACGTTTTCAAGCCATGGCGATGTTTAGATAAGTTCATTACTGAGCAGAGAAAAATAATTTTAATTTTCTTTTTTTGTCATTTGTGTAGCATCCCAGAGAGATTTTAATTTAAGAATTCGGTTCCATAGTTTTATGTCTGTGGGTATCTTGAGAAATAAACATGTGGTTTGAGGAAAACAGAGCTAATCATTTGCTTTTGAGCGCAAATAAATGTCGATTGCAGAAATTGGTAATTTCACGTTCTCGCCGATAACTAGATTTCATTATTATCCCATTTACAGCTTGCAAAGGTTACGTTCTCGTCATACATAAACGAATGATAATCGTATAATGTTATTGTCGTACTTTACGAACGCAAAAACTGTGTCGGAGCAAATCACTGTAATGAAAGTAAGATGTTATCTTACTCGCATGTCTGGTGAAAAGCATTCTGAATTCTTCGTAAGAAGACGATGGAGCAAACGTACTCTGCAAGTTTTGGTATCTAGTCAAGAAAAAAATCAGCGTGATCGTATTTGAACGAACACACCTCTGTAGATGCCACTAAATATAATCAGTGTGGCTTCATCAAAACCGACGGGTGCGACTGTTACCTTTGGGCAACAGATCGATAATGCAAATGAGCTCTTTCTACTGTTTCAGAGCTCAACTGTAATCATTTTTTTCCCTAAAGAAACAGCTGCACAACGCATCTAGATTTGAGTAAAACTGCAAATTTATTCAAATGATCCCCCACGTGAATGAAGATTTAGATATATGAAAATTCACATATTTGCACTGCGGTGGAAAGATGAAAAATTAGAAGATCCTCGCAGCTAAGAACACTACTGAAACTAGTAGTTGTAAGTAGGACCTGAAAAAAATTTCAGGCCCGTACGGGATTTGAACCCATGACCTCTGCGATACCGGTGCAGCGCTCTACCAATTGAGCTAACAAGCCAACTGGGAGCTGGTAAATGAATTGGGTACAAATAAACATCCGAGTGAATGAAGATTTAGATATATGAAAATTCACATATTTGCACTGCGGTGGAAAGATGAAAAATTAGAAGATCCTCGCAGCTAAGAACACTACTGAAACTAGTAGTTGTAAGTAGGACCTGAAAAAAATTTCAGGCCCGTACGGGATTTGAACCCATGACCTCTGCGATACCGGTGCAGCGCTCTACCAATTGAGCTAACAAGCCAACTGGGAGCTGGTCAATGAATTGGGTACAAATAAACATCCGAGTGAATGAAGATTTAGATATATGAAAATTCACATATTTGCACTGCGGTGGAAAGATGAAATTAGAAGATCCTCGCAGCTAAGAACACTACTGAAACTAGTAGTTGTAAGTAGGACCTGAAAAAAATCTCAGGCCCGTACGGGATTTGAACCCATGACCTCTGCGATGCCGGTGCAGCGCTCTACCAATTGAGCTAACAAGCCAACTGGGAGCTGGTCAATGAATTGGGTACAAATAAACATCCGAGTGAATGAAGATTTAGATATATGAAAATTCACATATTTGCACTGCGGTGGAAAGATGAAAAATTAGAAGATCCTCGCAGCTAAGAACACTACTGAAACTAGTAGTTGTAAGTAGGACCTGAAAAAAATTTCAGGCCCGTACGGGATTTGAACCCATGACCTCTGCGATACCGGTGCAGCGCTCTACCAATTGAGCTAACAAGCCAACTGGTAGAGCGCTGCACCGGTATCGCAGAGGTCATGGGTTCAAATCTCGATGGAAAAAAAAGTGTTCTTAGCTGCGAGGATCTTCTAATTTTTCATGATCCCCCACGTTTTAACAGTTGCCATTTTTTCGCGTTGCACTCGATGGAAAAAAAATTGAAATGGAAAATCATAAAAAGTGATATGGAGCCAAACCTGACACGATTGAAGCGATGAAAAGATACTTTAACTAGGGGGACAGATGCTACACGAACGCCCTTCACCGAGGCAGAATAAAATTGAATTTGTAAACTTCGCGATTTCATAAATTTGATTGCACCTAAATCAAGAATCTTATCTCTTCCAAAATTTAATTCATCGTTTGAGAGTTAAGAGTGTATCGGTTGTTTCTTAAAAGGCCCAGCAGAGCTTACGCGAAGTGTGTTTCCTCGCAGAAATGAACTACACAACGTCCTTTCACTAAACTATGGCAATAATCTTGAGAGAAAAAAACAGCCATCGTTTGAAGGTTGAGCGAATAATAAATGTTTAATTTTTTTCCACGAGGAAATGATCCCAATAGTCCATTTAGTAGTGCGCGAAAATGACACATACCATCCAATTCCAAAGGCATAAGGCGAAAACTAGCTGATTACAATGCACTATACCAGATCTGTGCGCTGTCCTATTAGAGCTCAAATCGGACCAGTGATAGCCAATCGACTTCGAGATTTTGTTATTAGTAGTTTTCATTAATCGCTACGCGCATGTGGAAACCACCACACAAAATATAACTTTCTTTGAATAATTGCGGGAGTAAAAGTAAGTAGAATTATTGGAGTAGAATCACTTAAAGTCAACCTCGTTCTAACGTAGGCAATAAATAAAGAATAAATAATATGCGATTGCCAGTTCGCCGCCAGTCTGCAAGGGGTAAAGTTTCGATGACCTCGTTCCTTCAATAGAATTTCTAGATACAATAATTAAAATTTCTTTTAGTACTATCAGTGAAGCAGAGAAAATAAATTAAACTGTGCTGTTAATCATTATGAATCCTTCGTTGTTCTGTCGCATTTTGTAATAATCGTCGCACTTTGTTATAATTGTCACTCTTTGTAATAAAATTGTCGCACTTTGTAAGACCTATCGCACTTTGTTATTAAAAGGCTTACGCACTTAGTGTTAACAGACCGGTACGTGCTTTGTAACAAAATAAGTTGTCGCATTTTATAACAACACTTGTCGCACTTTGTATTAAGCTTGGTATGGATGATCGCAGGGCAAGTAGACCCAATGACAGCTGTTATTCCTGTCAATAATAGTGATAAAAATATCAACAATAATAATAGTGATATTCGAGCTGTAACTTACAAAGCTGAAAACTATTACGTGGCTGTGAAAGGAAGCAGGGAAGTGGTGAGTGCGACAGAGGACAAGCGTGGACACAGGCTAATGCCTTCCCTTCCCGCTGATCAGACTCACATCCTGTCCACTGAATATGTAAGATGTGCGTGCATGAAACCGATTGGACCAAATTAAGCTATTCATTGCATTACTGCGTAAGGAATTTTGGTCAACATGATGAAGGCGAATCATCATCCGCTAAATGCCAAAGTCACTAATACACTTCACACAAGAAAATTATCGAATTCTGGAAAACATGAATGCAGCACAATATCTTTTTACAACACGCTGATTAGACGGAAATTTGGTATTCTCTTATCCGATATAGGGCGGGAATGGTCCGAGGCCAAGGTTAATCGGAAAAAGTAATCTTTTAAAGCAGATAGTTCATATAATGCATAATAGGTTTGCAGAAGTCATGTTTGAAGTCGTCACGTCTCAAGCACAATTTGTGAAAAAAAAAATCGAAATGAATAAAAGTATCTAATAACAAGACAATTGGCAGGTTGAAATTTTAGCATGATAAACTTGAGTATTCGATGTATATTTGACGAAGATCGAACGAACTACATCTACGTGTAGGTTAGCAAGAACCCAAAATACTTGATGTAATCGGCAAGAGGCTGCGTTGTGCATAATGAATACATTAAACGATTTTCTTTTTCATGTGTTTCAACATAATAATAAAAAGAACGCAATAGTTGGCTTATTGTTGGGGAAAAAACTCTTAGGGCGCTCCCAGCAGATAAATTAAAATCTATGGCACCAAAAGAAGGGTAAGGTGACAGATAAGAGGAGGTAGTTATTCAGTTAATGAAAGAAGAACTTCTACAATCTCCTACTAGGCTATAATTGACTTCATTTCCATTGTATGTCAGTCAATATTTTGTGATAGACATGGAAATACCGTTTATATCTTGGCAGATGGCTGGAGCACATGCGGTTTATTTGGCTCCTTACATTTAACTATTCACTCACGCCAACAAGCAACATGGAAACAAGAGGCAAGTCTAGACATCAATGTTTTAAACTTTTACTTAAATGGCAATAATTTACTCTTGCTTGATAATTTTACTTCGTAACCTGATGAGTCTCATCATTATAGCTTTTTAGAAGGAAGCGCAAATGGAGTTGAAGTTCCTCAATTCAAATTTGCACACAAGTCAGACATTCAGTTCTTCTTTTATCATCAGCAGATGACGAAAACGGTACTTTAAGTATCATAAATTTGTCAAGTGTATCCTAGTTATAACCTCAATTCGAGCTGATTGTTCTTCCGATCAGTACGATTCATAAGGCTTCCTCAGGTTTCATGTAAATTATGTATGCACAAAAGTCAACACATCTAGTTTTAATTTTCAACCATCAGCGCGGGTTGTCTTGATTTCATTCTGATTAACTTTCCTTCCCACACGCTAAATTAAAGTTAGCGAATGATTTACTCTCTTTGTTAGCATTGATTTACACTTTAAGTCATGTTTACAACTGAGAGATATCAGTATTTCGACATATTATGCAGCCCACGTCAGTCACTGTTTTTAACAATTATTCACGGAGGTGGAGGTAAATATCCACCACCTCTACCGACACTGAGGTAAATAATTGTTTTAGTCTATACCACACAGTAACCCCAAACAATTCGACTGCTCGGATGTGAATAGTAATTGCTAATCACTTCGAACTAGCGCACGAAAAGCGCTATTCAACTGTGTGGCATATGCTAAATAACAATATGGTCAATAATGTGTTTATACTCCGTGCATATAAACGATTTCTTCGCCACTGATATCAGCCCAGAGGTACCAAAGAAAATAACCCTTTTTATAAAAAACTAAAGTTAACAGTGAAGGGATATCTTTTCATCTTTTGTTCCAAAATGATTGATTCGTAACTTCTCCTCTCAATATCAATGTATTATTCGGCAGGACAGTTGATGAGAATACAAACGAACATATCAGCTCATAATATATTATCTTGACTATGAATTTGCAAAGAAACTGAGTGGCAGCCAGAATGAGACTGAATGAATGGCCTGATCTTTCGAGTCACCTATTAGGACTTTCAACGCCGGGCACGGTACTGGACCGGTTACTTACTGATTGTTTTTGTAGTTCATCAGTCTTCTTAAGAATAACTGAATATGACATGCTAGTAAAAATCAAACAGGGCGTTATCGTCGGTTTGAAAATCGGAAATTAAAATTGCCAACTTCTGAGCTGATAGCTTTCTTTTTTCGTAATTATTGAGCTTCCGCGATACAGTTAATCGAGAGCAGATGGACAAGTAAATTAACGGCTCTGCTTAATTATAAACAAACTTCCATATGGCGCGGCTTCTTAAGTAAGGCTTGTATTGGTCGTATTATCTTTTATGTCAATTAACCACAGTATGCAACATCCGTGCTGTTGTGCAAAAGAAAGAGTTCGGAAATTAAAAGAGGCCACCTTCAAAAAGTGTTTTTCGGCGGTGATGTCGCCTGAACAGATAGGAGTTAAAAAAAAAACTAACTAGGTGTTTTTATAAGAGAAACAGCTTTTTTAAGAGAATAAAAGCAAAAAAAGGGAGAGAGATGAAATGGCATCAAAAAAAATTCGAAGGGCTGACCATCATATGTGCACTTCCATCGACTGTTGAGCAAAACTTCAATTTTGACGACCAATACGTTACTGTTTCTTACTTATCATAATAATACCAAATACAAGGTGAGCTACACGTAATAGAGACTCTTAATCAATTCCAACTTTTCGGCACAACTCAGAGTAAGCTTCTATAGCCTTAGAACAGATGGGAAATTTGCTGAGCTCCTCACAACTGAAGTTCAACAACCAAGGCAGTGCATAATACCGGCCCAACTGTCACGGTCTTTGAGAAGCCACTCCGATCGTAATTGTTATGGAGTCACGAATATTCATATTGCATGCAAAAGTGAGAATTAGCTATAGACAAAGGGGAGCGAAAACGATTGAGGTGATTCCTCAGTATTGTACTGCGCACCCTATACTGCGCATAAAAATCACGTTATCAGGCGTATAAGCGCGTACTAAACTAGGTAAAGAGGTACGATGGTCTTTAGCTCCTGCAAGAACGAGCACGGTGGCCTATATTTTTCATTACATTATTTTGGTGTACAAATTATCGCATTTAAATTGGAGAAATTTAAAAAAAAACATTAAAGGGAAAAAAGATATAGCAAAAAGCGTGCACGAAGCCCGTTACTCGATATTGCAAATTATGATCTTTTAAAGCAGACTGGGGGAACGTTTCGAGTTTCTGTCGTTTAAAGTTGGGTGATTTTTCCACAAATTATATCAAAGTTTTCATACATTTCCACCTGTCAAGTTTTTGTCATATGTTACATTAAAAACCCTTGCTTTCAGCTGCTTCAAAATGTACCGTGAACCGATGAAACTACGCGTGTAGAGGCAAAAATGGAGTAAGTTTGACTCATCTTATCTCTTTAACAAGCACAGTGACCTGTCTATTTAATTACATTTTTCGGAACAGACATTGGTATAGAACATTTAAGGAAAGTTTAAAAAAAAAATTTCGATTGCTTTTTCTTCTAAGGAAACACCCCTAAGGATCGAGAGGGCGAACACACACTGTAGATAACAATGCAGAAAAATTGATTAATGCTAATTTTCCAAGAAGTATCCTGAGTCATGACGCAGCTCCAGAAATTTCTTTTCACCATATGCCAAATACATCAAATAGGTGTAATAGGTCCTTTGTCTCTCGGAAGTCGGCACGTTAAGCTGTTCGGGAATATTCTCCTTTAAAGATGTTTACTTCACTAATAACTCGACAGAATGGTAAGATAACGAAATGGCTTGCTACCGGGTTTCTTTTTTTTCAAGATATTGAAAGATGGTCGATGGGTTAGAGGACAGAAGAAAGTAGCACATCAAATGTATTATGAGAGGCTAAATAACTTTTCAGTTAGAAGACTTATGACTTTCGAAATCTTCCTCAATTCAAGAGTATCTTAAATTTATTATATGGCAGATACTGGAAAATGAACCTGAAGATAGCCTCGTGTATACCATAATCCGGTCGATGTCCTCTCGTAATAACAAAATAGCTGCAATGCAACAGTCATTGAAATGTTTCAACGGCAAAATAATATAGTTGCATTAAAGCTACAAATCATCCGTGACATTTATTTGGCAAATATCTCTAAGGAGCAATGTTGCCATTCTAGAAAAGCATGTATCTAGTAAGAACCGTAGTTTCGACTCATTATTTCAAATGAGGTGGGTTAGTCTCAGCGCGGATTCAGTCTTTAAAAGACTCAGGAAGCAATAAAATTGTGTTTATTCTTCCAAATTTCCGCAGCTATCACTTCAGTGGGACATATCGTCAAAGGCAAAATCTACCTCTTGGTTTACTCTTTTGTTATGACTAAAGCTTGATTTGCTTGTTCCATGACTGACGTATTTCTATATGCAAATTAGCTAGGCGATTTAAACGACTTTCTTCCTAGACAGAATTAAAGATCTCTAACAATACGGATAGGAAATTTATAGCAGCTGATTTAGCAGCATAAATTATAATTTGCTCCTATACTTAGCAGCTCAATAAGTGCATGATGTAGTACGAAAGTGATTGCCACAATATACAGTTTTACCTTCAATACAAAATTATCCCATTAATCTCCTTCCTCGATCATCAAAATTGTTTTTGGGGAGATGTTTCCTAAGATCTATAAATTAATCTTTTGTGAAAGCTGTCCGTCAAGAGTGGAATTAATTTTGCTTCCTTTGTCAACCTGCTGTTGTTTTTCTTTTCTCAGATTAAAGACGCAGACATTAAAGATGATCTCACGTTCCGCCATTTTGTTGTAAACTACCGAACAGACACCTTCGACAAACACAAGAATTTTTTAGCATGAGCTTTAAAATTGGACTTCGTGAAAAATCTGGCTGATGCTACTCGCTACCGTCTTGGGAAAGGAAATACTTAAAGATTTCCTACAGATATCTACATGAACAAGATTTAACTGAACTCTACCAAATTCTTTTTGGTTTCGAGATGGGTTTTTATACTTGGCTTTTGCTGTTTCTTCAGTTTTGGGGCAGAGGAGCGCAATCAGGTAAGCAGTTATTTGCTGCATTCTGCTTTCCTTTGTATTATTTGCAGATACAGTCATCAGCTTTTCCAGATAATTCAGACAATTCAGACAACGCAGTTAAAAAGTAGTTAAAGCCGCACGTTTAAACTGCCCGTTGAAAAGTTCACGACGAAGAAGAACGCGCGCATGAATTTTTTTCCAAGTTTTTCAACGAATGCTTGATGAATTTCACAGATTTGACGATCAACCGCTTACCTTTTTCAAACTATTGTTATCATATACATTACAAAATGTAAAACGAACCGCATTCGAAATAAAGACAACAACTTCTTAAAATTTTATAGGATGCTTGAAGAATGTTCAATTATGACTAGTTGATTTTTCAGACGTTATCCGATAAATTTTCGAAATATCCTTCGCTTATTGCTTTGCTTTGTACAAGTTAAGGACATTATCAACCGAAAGCAAACTAGCGCTCCAGTTGCGTTTGCTTTTCACTTTTCTTTCGTTTCGACTTTACAAACTGATATCTACGTATATGGATGACTAGAATCGTGATTCGTAAGAGAAAAATCATTGATGTAATCTTAAGATATCTTCTACATATTTTCCTGGCTTTTTCTTTCGGTGGTAGGCATCCTGTTTTGATACCCCTACGTAGCGCAAACATTTAATGTCGTTTGACGCTAGTTTCTATGTTAGCAGCTGCCCTGTAAAATTTAAAGCAATGATCACATGAAACGCTTTTATCGCCAGTAATGCGGATCTATATCTTCTAATCTTAAAAAAAATTCAAAGCGCGATATTTTCCTGGATTTCTAGGATCCAAACAAAATCTATACCTTTTTAGATTGATATAAAAATAAGAGACGCTTGTCAAAAAGGCACTTTTCAAATTTGCAATTTCTATTGGTATAAAAACTATTCCTTTAAATGCTCATCACGGACTTCTCTTAGACCTAAATAAAAAAAACATATTTTGAAGCTTCTTTGCTCTCAAAATATGATGTTTAAGAATTTATTTACTTTATTGGTTTCTGATAATATCCGTTTTACAGGAATTGTGCACGGCTTACACAATTATACACACACATACACATGTGTTTGTTGCCTTTATTAAAAAAAAGTTGCAACGTGTCATCTTACACATTTAGATGTTATTAAAACATTTTTTTAAACTCTTTTCTCTTGCTGGGGTACTTTCCACATTGGCTGCATTAATTCAATTTATTGTTTAACAAATTTTACAACAATGTTGGGCAAGAAAAATATGTTGCCATGCACGTACAGTGGCGCAAAATGCAAATCACAATATGTCGGTGTACTTTGGACAGCTTTAAGGGCTTTGGCGTCATTTTCCTTTTTTTTTTTTTGATAAAATCCGAGGAAACAGACGAACAAAGCCAGCTAAGAAGCTGTATTTGTGAACTGAGGGTAGAAATACGTACTTAGTCTAACAATATTACAGACGTGTTAATTGCGTTCTTTTTCAAGACGCACCGGAAACTTGAATTGCGTGCAGTTCATGATTAAACCTGCGACTCATGGTTCAGTAATCAAATAAAAATATCTGTACATTGGAACAGCGAGACACAGACTTGCAATCAATTCCCAGTGGAGTTTATATGAAAAAATTAAATTCAGCTATAATTTGTTTGTATCGTATTTGAATTTATCAGGAATGCAAGTAGTTATTGTGGGTCCTCACTTTTGTTTATTAATTACCATAAACATCAAGTTGTTGTTTTATTCTGAAAAAGGAAAAAAATATGAGGATCTAATATTTGAAATCAAATGTTGGCCGGTTACGAAAAAATTGTTTTGTTTAGTTTGAGTTCTAACCGTTCTTTTAGGAGTTTTGACCCCTTAATTTGCGTTTGTGGGTATTTAGCTAAAATTTAAATTAAAACAGTGCTTAATCTTTCTTGTCCTCCAGTTAAATTTTATTTCCTCCGGAGTGTATTCTTTCTGTTTTCAATTTTTAACATTTATAGATATAATCAGCTCCATCACGCATCAATGGACTTTCAACAATCCCTTTCCTTATAAGGACTCCGTGTCTAGACAAGACGTTTTAATGCTCTTCGGCACCACATCAAACAACACAGACTACCTCAGCTTAGTTGGCTTTTCCTGCTTGATATTAGGATCATTCACAGATCTTTGCCTTACAAACATGTCGACTTGTGATTCGGGGTTCTCTTTGGCATTCTGGCTACTGATAAAGCATACCGCAACTGACCCTCAAATATTTCTTGGCACGTCTGGAAATAATTTCACAGACTTGAAAGGTGTTTTTGTCTACCAAAATGAAACGAACGGAACAGAAAGGAAAGTCATAGTGGAAGTCAAGCTTAACGGGCATAGCTGGAAGGAGCCACTCAAAATTCAGCATGAGATTTGGAATTTTATCGTTATAACTTGGAATGCAGCAGAAGGTCGCGAAAGCCGATTAGCTACCTACATCAATGGAGAGTTAGTTAATTCATCTGTGGTTGAAAAAAAGAGTGATGTTTGGAAACACATTAAGCTGAAGGGACACTTCCCAAAGCAAGTTGTACGTGCGGAACTGTACTTGGAGAGCGGAGGATTATACGATGAAGTTATAACATGGAATAGATCTCTGCATGGCTATGAAGTGAGGAGAGCATTCCAGTCCCAAATGAGTAAGTTCACGTTAATAGCCTTAATCATGAACAAGTAGGTTAGACTATTTTAGTTTCGAACGAATACTTTCGTGTCAAGAAATGGTCCATTGTTCAGGCTCAACTTTCCTTTCTCAACTTTATTTGCAGTTCGGTCGTTGATGATTTTGTAAAGTTTACAAAACCATCAACGACCGAACTGCTCCTTCTATGCTTTCAAATACCCTGACTGATGACTGTCCTGTGGTACGAAAGGGGTTAAGAATTATAGACCTCTCAAGTTGGTGTATTTTTTTTTGTTTTGTTTTTTCAATTAATTACAGATGAACTTTCAAAAATACACTGTGCAGCCACAGCTACCACCCTAAACGTGACCTGGAAGGTTATAAACAGGAAGCTATTTCAGATAAAAAAAACAACAAACAGAATTACAGTCTGGAGAAATAAAACCCATGCACAGGTTTTAAACAAAGTCCTTGACTATTCAACTGATCAATATTTTGTTGAAAATCTTGGTAAGTACATTCATACTTTCTACTTCAGGTCGTTTTTTATTATGGCACCCCACATGTAATTGTACGCGTAACAAATACGAACAGATTGAAATTTGGAGCCCTTTTAATATGGAAAATTAACTGCATTTCAAATATTTTTAACATCGAAAATGAAGAATAAGTAACCATCGTTTGAAACACGGATTTTGTGGGAAGCCATGGCGACATAATCATGATACAAAAAGATATATATTACAGATAAAATTGACATAATCGTGAATAAACAAAAGATTGCTCGAGCTTGAAAATAAAGGCAAGGACACGATGATGGACATAATCAGTCTCCTGTTTTAAACACTGCACGGGGACTTAAACAACTGGAGGAAATTTACTGCCTTTCAATTCACTTTCTTCAGCACCATACACCCCGTATAAAATCCGTCTACGGAGAGAAGATAGTAAAGATAGAAGGTGTCTTGGGGCTCTGCTTTGTCGTACAAAGCAAGGAGGTAAAGATAATAATCTGGTTACCTTTATTTAATGCGTTCGCGTTTTGAAGTAAGTTTCCGGTTAATGTAGTCACTGAAACCAAAAGGACATTTCGTGTATATCTTTCTAATAACATACTTAAGACTATACGTCGTGGAATCGTTGATGGTCAGACACTGAAGAATATCTCCAAATATTGTGGGTGAACTGATTGTAATTGAACAATACAAACGCAGAGATCAAGAAGTTGTCACAACTCTTTCAATCGCTGAGTGCGTCACTTGCAATCAGAGGCTGACTAACACAGTTTTGTTTACAATCCAGTACCTTCAGTGATTCAAAATCTGACGATAGCTTCTTATAACTCGACCTCACTTCTGGTGCAATGGTCTCCACCTCTTAAAATTAATGGAATAATCCGGGGTTACAATATTGAGGTAAGAAGCTTAAAGCGTCGCATGATTCTCGAATCATCTTGTTTACTAATCCAAAAGTGGCGCTAAAGGCCAAATCGTTTTGTGCTAAGGATCGGTATCGCGCATGCATTTAAACAACCGAAACAACAAGACTCTCCCCACAAATATATATATCAACACGTTCAGTAATACCAAGTAGGCAAAGGTTTTATTATTTTAGTTAGTGGCAAGATATGTAATGTTCAATTTGGTGGTCTCTGTTAGCGGTTCAGGAGAGACATTCAAAGAACTCATTCAGTTTTTATATCACAAAAATCTGGTGCAAAGTGGTTGACTATGTTTTTCTCCAGTTGAAGTTATCTAACAAAGGAAGTAGGAAACGCCTTATAGCAGTTGAAGACGCTGAAAGCTACCTTATAACCGGTCTCATGACTAACACCGAGTACGCCATAGCAGTGCAAGGCTTTACATCTGCAGGGAATGGTCCGTTGTCCCAAACCAAGAAGGCCAGAACAAAAAAAGTACCACTTGTTACAGGTATGCTGAAGGTATAATTTTTGGTTCCGCTGTTTGCCGTATGGTCCTCTAAATAATAAGTATTGAGCAGCCTGGACAAGATGTATTATCCAGTACAACATCCCTATCCTCTAAATAGTTTCTCGTGATAAAAAAGTACAACAACTGACTGCAAATATATAAGGCCATACCCGTGGGATCCTATTTTACTTTTATGCGCGAGCTATGGTTGGTTTCTCTCGTTATTGATGTTATCTATTTTGTTTTGGTCACAAGCTTATCCTCCCTCTGACACCAGCAGTTAATTTTCCGGTGTTCATTATGTTTTTCTTTTCTCGTTTATTTGCAAAAAGAAAAGCCGAAAAACGTCACCGCCATTGCTCTGAGCTCGGACGTCATCAAAGTTACATGGATACCTCTTGACCAAAGAGAGGAAGTACAATCATATGAAGTAGAATACTGTTCTATTGTTAATTGCACCAGAAAGAGAGTGGGTAAAACCGCTGATGTACTGCTGAAAAGTCTTCCTCAATACACAGCGTTTAAAGTTCAGGTTCGAGGTCGAAACACACAGTATGCAGGTCCGTGGGAGATGGCGAGAAGGATGACTACATTAGGTCAGTCCACTGAGACTCTTGCCCCGTTATGAAATATAAACCTTACTAGTTTTGCTTAGTTATCCTCACCAGAACGTGACCTTTAAAACTGAATTCTGTTTTATTTACTTTAAGTTGGCTTTTGATAAACAGAACACTTCCTCTGCTTATTTACATGATAAGGAAAAAGTCAGCTACAACATGAAACCAATGCTGGTAGAGTTTTATATGGTTTAGGTCACCAATGAAAGTGTCAAATGCCGTTCCTATTTGCTCCAACTAGATTTTGATGAATGCACCCAACAACCATGCCACGGGGAAGCTACATGTAAAAATATGCCTGGGTTGTATGAGTGTAGATGCAAGAAAGGATTTACTGGGGATGGATTTAACTGGTGCGAAGGTGAGAAATATCAATAGCTCCTTTAAATTTAGTACGGAATCCGGCAGATTACTCCACTTTTAACTAATAAAAATACGATTCATGTTATCTTGGTCGACTGTGGAAATGTGTGCTCCGAAAAGATAACCAACGGAAAAACACTGAGGCAATAATCATCAGAACAAAATCTCACTAACCGAGTCCACCGACCTTTCACGAGTGAAACATCTCTATTTTCCATTTCCTTTCATAGTCGATCCCGCTTATAGTTCTGACGATGACTTCTGCCAGGAAGAGCTGTTCAGAAATATAACTTGGTTGCAAACACCCAGGGGGAAAACAATTCAGCGAGGTTGTCCCTATGGATTCTCAGGTACTCTAAAGCAAGTAATTAAGTAGAAAAAGCTTCTTACATTTAAGTAAATAAATGTAGCAAAATTTTTGTAGATTTCACGAACTCAGATCTATGATACTGTCTCTTAAGTTGAAGAGGTTTAAACGTATCATCTAATTGTAGGATGGGCCAATCGTTCCTGTTCATCTAAAATCAAAGCGTCCTGGCATAAACCAGATTTAACAAATTGTGTTTCCGAAGAGTTCAGAGAACTCCAACTTCAAGTACGTAATATTTCCCTGATTTGTTGTTATAATTAGATTATTAGATTATCACTCGTATTTTCATACTACCAGTTCTGTCTGAAACTTCTGTTAAAAGTTATTCATGAAGGAATAAAAACATATAATCAAATAATGGTAGATAGTTAAGTTAAGTTAAGCCAGTTAAGCCCATCAAATAAGACGTTTAAATAGAGCCTCTACTTGGCGATGATGTCTTTTATAATTTTTACTATTTGTTTGTTTTTGTTATTGTTGTTAACTTTTTCACTTATTTTTGCCTTCTGGACTGGTTTAGATAACCTCTAAGAATGAAATTGGTTCCGACACTGCAGCAGATCTGGCTCACCAACTTTCAGAGCTTACGAACCCAACGCGAGAGAGACTAATAGTTAGTGGTGACTTGAGTGCCGCTGTTGGAATGCTAGAACTTCTAGATCAAAAAACAACACAAAATGCATCAATGAATCAGGAAAAAGCTTTTCTGAAGGTAGGTGTAAGAAAAACAAAGAACAAAACCTTCTCCTGCAGCTTTGATCTTAAAAGGCCACATGATAAGTTTTGAGAAAATAAATAGTGCAGAAAGGTAAGAGAACCTCTTTGTATCACGTAGTTTTCAGCATGAAGAAGCTGCTTTTTGGTCCACGATCAAAAGCTTGCTTCAAACAGAGGAGTTTATTCTTCCTAGGGCTGTTTTTCTCTTATAAACAGTCATCACCATTTGCAGAATTTAGTTAACGTGGCAAGTAATCTTCTGGATGAAAAGACAATGGATGCCTGGCAAGATTCACCTGTGGTATGCTTTCACCTTTCTCGTTTTTCGTTTAGTACATTCTTAACTCGTTACAGGGTTACAAGTGATAGCGTCTTGCGGGATTGCATCAGTGCGAACGTTTACGAATGCATTCGCTTCAATGAATGTGTTGCAACTCAGTAACTACAAGATTAATTAGATGCTAGTGGACATTTTATCCAGCCTCTATAAATCAATTGAGACTCCTAAATGGCGTTAAGAGTAACAAATCATACTTCAAATGGCGCTGTTCAATGTGCTGTACAATAAACACATATCCAAGGTTTAGTCGAAAAAGTTACAAAGTATTACCGACCAATTTTTGCCTTTCGATAATCAAGGTTGATGGCAAAGGAACTTGACCATCTTGCAAAATCTGCTGCTTCGTTTCCTTCTCTCCCGATAGTTACTCCTTTGCTAAAAGAACTCCACTGGCTACCAGTGCGCTTGCGCGTAGATTTTAAGATTCTCCTTGTTACATTTAAGATTCTTCACGGTGTTGCGCCTAGCTATCTTAAGGATCTTGTCTCTGTCTTACCGGTCTCACGTTACCAACTACGCCGTAACAATAATGGTATATTGTTAGAAAGACCTCAGCTAAGAACGAAGAAGACCTTGGGAGATCGCGCGTTATCGATGGCTGCCCCCTTTTTATGGAACAGTCTTCCTCTGCCAATTAGACAGGAAACATCAATCGACTCTTTTAAACGCTCTGTTAAAACATATTTATTTAAAAAGGCTTTTAGTTAGATTATTTATTTATTTATTTATTTATTTATTATTATTATTTTTTTAATATTGTAATGTTAAGATTGTAATATTGTAATTTTACCGAGTAATTTTACTGGTTTTAATTTAGTTTTTAATAATATTGTAATGCGCTTTTGAGTATTTTTATAGAAAAAGCGCAATATAAGTATTAAATATTATTATTATTATAGAAATCTCGTTCAGATGAAGCTACAAAGCTCTTGATGACTATGGAAAGTGTAGCTTTGAAGACTGCTTCATTTTCAAACAGCACAAATACTTCCAGTTTTAATACCTCTAATATCGGTGAGTTTTATTCACATTCATTGTAACGCATTCACTAGCATTCTTAAGCGGTCACCTGCTCTATTTCTTTCGTTGACAGATAGCCATAGAAGATTACCTAGATATATCTGAACTCCTGGTTCTAATCTTCCATATCAAAGGCACGATATAACATCGCAAATTATGTCAGGAAATGAAGATCTAACCGGGAGTTCCCACTATTCTATGATAGTACAAGGGGCATCATTTATACAAGGCTATGATACATTACTCTTTTCCTTTAGTGTTAAAATTTCGCTCAATTAAGGAAGAGGATTCTATGGCTGAAAGAGTGATCTTTTCTGCGTTGGATGATGGATCTGGAAGCAAAATAGAGATGCCAACATCTGAGTTACAAAGAAATGACAACAGTACATCTTCAGGTACATGTGACTTCGTGCACAAGCAAGTTCCCTTTTAGCCCCTAGGTTATAACGAAAGGAGACGAAATACATAGACTGCAACATGATAAAATAACGTTATGAAGTACATTTTGCACGATTTCGCTTTAGTCGCTGGAGCGATTTGTATTATTCCAAAGTAGCTCTGACTAGATATCTCTGTGTGGTCTCTTCAGGGGCAGTTCATCATATTGCTTTCGTGTATATAAAGAACATTGCACAATTGTTGACTTCCTCAAGGTAGGTTACACGGCTTTGTCGTTAACAATTACTTTTTTTGCATTGAATAAGTATGAGAGAGGGTTTCTACGTTTTCTGATAACATTAAGTTTTGTATTGTTCCAGATTATTTAATCCTACTCCTGGTGTTATTTCACTTTCCACTAACCCTAAATCATCAAGCAACTTTACGGATCCTGTGGTGATATTTTTTCACAATAATCAGGTAAGAAGAGGAAATTCTCATACGCACTTTACCGTCTCATTTTTTTGATCCCATCTCGCTTTCATTCGAATTAACCCATCTTAAAGGTATCTTTTTCATTCTTGAAACTAACCCATTATAAGTCGATCTGACGCAAATGATTAATTAGAAGCGGCCGATCAGATCAAGACAGCCTTCATACGAGATCAATTTTGGTTTACACCGACCGGTCCGATCGATCAGTTTTGCTAACCTTATGGCAGGGATGACCGAGTATATAGTTGAATAATGAAATGACACAGAATGTTGTTTCAGACCTTATCATGTCGTGAACTATAACTGGACATGCGTTGAAACTGTTCCTTTTGCTCTCAAAAGCCATAGAGCGCATTTTCGTATACATTTGTCGTTGTGATGGCTTGTCATTAAGGTCACTAGATATATGCATTTTCACTTTCAGAAAGACGTAAACCCCCAACCATCGTGCGTCTTTTGGAAAATTTCAAAGTAAGTCGCGAAGTCTGAGTCAGTGCCACTTCCTAAACACCTTTTAAAACCACTGTTGTCATCGGTTCGTAAATTGACGATATGCTATGTATCTCTGGGTTGGTCTCTTCTTTACTTTATTTTTTCAGGCTTAGACACTCATGGTCCAAAGAAGGTTGTCATGTGAATTTCAAAAACTCGACCGTAACTGTTTGCCACTGTTATCATTTGACAAGCTTCAGCGTCCTTATGCACTATACGTCGCATTCACTTGCGGAGGTAACTTATTTCAAGTTGTAAGAATACTTATTTTCATTTTGTTCATTGGTTTTCACTCTACCTGAGCATTTTCCATGATAACTTAAGATTAATCAATATCTAAAATATCAAGCTATACTATTTTAAATGGTTATACAATAAAAAAAGAAGACGTTTTGCAAGCAGTACATTATCTGACTACCTTTTTAATTGTCTTTAGGGGACCAACCAAATTGCCTTGGGACTTGTTACGTACATTGGCATAAGCATATCCCTGGTTTCATTATTACTGGCTTTTGTAACGTTTTGCTCCTTTGGGTAAGAACTTCGTGTACATGAAAATCTTATAATTTCTGTTTGTTTGGAAGGTGATGGACACATATTTATGGAAATCTCCCATGTGGTTTTTCAACTTTAATCACGAGATATTATGACACTGATCTCGTTTAGTTGTAAACCTGTGATAGGTTTTTTCGAATACCGAACATTAATCACGAGAGCCTTAAATAATTATATTTACGTAGTATTGGATTTATTTCAAACTGTTACTTTCTTCAGGTTTTTGAAATCGAATCGTAATTTTGCTCACATCAACCTGGTGCTATCGCTTTTTTTGGCTGAACTGCTGTTTGTTGTTGGTACGGAAAAGACACAGTACAAGGTACTCAATTTTACAACAGTCTTAGTGTGTCGTTCTCTACTCTTTTTTATCAGACTCCAACATGGTCAGATGTATAACCCAGTTTTTGACTTTTTATGTTCATGACACGATCATAGTTCTCGCCGGTTAAGCTTTAATTTTGTGTTCACTTTCTTTCGCACAAATCGCCCTGAGTCGATGAAGGTTATAGTTGCAAACTGTTCTCTAATCTTCGCTGCTTTTTTTGTTTCTAGACTGGCTGCTTTATCATTGCCATATTGCTTCATTATCTATTTCTTGTTTCATTTTGCTGGATGGCAACAGAAGGAGTGATTCTTTATGTCATGCTTGTTAAAGTTTTCCCAACATCAGGTCAGAGTCCAAGGAAAAGACTATTCTTCATATGCTCATGGGGTGAGCCAAGCCTTTGTTTAAATGTATTATTCTCGATGCGAGAGGGCCTTGTGGAGCTTACACATATATTTAATTTGAAGCAGAAACTTAATGGCATTAAAATGATGAAAAAATAAGCTAAAGATTTAATGTAAAAAATTGACACAGTTTCACTAAGCTAAGCCATTTTTTAAATTCTTCAATACGATTTGTGCGAATATCTGGTATAAGACTTGTTGTGAAAAACAGTTGGATTAATGATTAAGCTGCGAATACATATTTGATTTTCAAGGCGTGTTGTCTTCCAACAAATTCTTTTATTTTTAAAAGGAATACCTCTCATACCTGTGGTCACATCGTTCCTTATAGATATGGAGGGTTACGTATCAGAGAGACAGTAAGTCTTTTTAATGTGCATATACATGCCGTGCAAAAGTATATTACTGTTTTTTAACTAGCATGCTATGATTAATCACGATCACAGGATTACAATTTTCTTGTATCTGAATTCTTTATTTTGAACGGAGTGTTCTTTTTCTTTATCTTATTACCTAAGGTTTGATCCTGCTGTTTTGCTTGCTGAATTCGTCCCTTTTTCGCTTTATATGGAAAGTCCGATCGCGAGATTTGTTCACACATAAGTCGTTGAGATTTTCATGCAACTGACAAATCACTTCACTGCTGGAAATACTCAATCACTTGTTCATTCCTCTATTTATTCATTCATTCACCCATTCACTTATCAGAAACCCACTTTTACTCTAAAAAGTAAGCAAAGGATATATTTCCTGACCTATTTAACGCGACTTTGTAACCTGCAAAGCTCTGCAACCTTACTCATAAAATATTAAACGAATTAATCAAGTTGTTAGTCAACAATCAAACGGTTTAAAGTTATCAAAGAAAACGTTTTATTTGTTTCTTTGTTTTATCTCTCGTCTTTTCCCTCGAAATTGAATTGTCATGTGCTTTCTCTTTATGGCAGCTGTTGGTTGTCTGTTGAAGAAGGTTTCATATGGAGTTTTGTCGGCCCTGTTCTGCTCATATGCGTGGTATGACTAATACTTGCATTTCTTTTTTGTCACCTGCCGCTGTGTTACACATGTTGAATAATGTAAAATGCTGACAGCAATTTTATGTTGTAGGTGAATCTGGTGTTTTTAGGAATGACTCTAAAGGTTATGGCAACGCGATCCCTAAATCAGCCTTCCCGAAACCCGCCGCAAATGAGGTAAGGAATAAAACGACGGTAAGCAAGCTAAGAAATTGTTAGAAGCATGAAGATAATGACTACCATAATGGAAGAATAGAAGAAGCAAAATTAAACACTGTCAGGAATATTCTTCCAGGCGAATAGATTCTGTAACATAAGCCGTGCAAAAACAACGTCTACATCGGCAAATAGGTAATAGGTAGTAAGTTACATGGATACGATTGGTCGAATTCGTAATGATTTACTGCATTCAGTCATAGGTTTTTTAATTAAAACCCTCGCGATGCTGAAACCCGGTTGGTATTATTTCACGTATTATTCATTTTGTTATGTATTTGCTTATTTATTCATAAAATAAAAACTCTCAACTTTTTTCCTCAGGTACTGGGTAAAAGTATGCGCAGTACTGACGTGTCTTTTAGGCACAACCTGGTTACTGGGAATGTTTTCTCTGGACAAAGCTACAGTTCTCTTTGCGTATCTGTTCAATATTTTCAACACTTTGCAGGTAAATCTGATAATTGATTCCTTCCTTGGCCTCCACCCTTCTTTGAGTACTGAATTCATCTGAGTAAGAATTAGGAAATAGGTGTGGTACAAAGTTGAGAACACCTCCCACCGTTTGTGTGCTACTTCGATTCACTAACCTGGCAGCAGAGGTGGGTCAAGTTGTATTTTTTTCTCGCCCTCTTGATAAAGGGTTTTTCTGGGTTCTCTATATTTCCTCCCTCCTCTAAAAACAATCCGTAATCCAAGACAAATTGTAAATAAAGAACGAAAAACCATCTCGTTTAATTCTAAATCCAATTCAATTAATTAAGGAGTTCCTCCTCCATGCAAGGAGACCTCTGTTTCGAGTTAGTTATGCTCCTTATTCCTTTCTTTTTTCAAGGGACTTTTCATCTTTGTTTTTCATTGCTTAGCTGATGAAAGGGTAAGCAAGACTTTCGATTTGAAAGATTTGTCTGGTTATTGTTCCATAATTAAAATTGCAATTTAACATAGAGTCACAGTATTCGAAACAAGACTACAACAAGGCATTTTGGGTTACTTGATTTTAGGTCAATGGTGCGTTCATCGTATTATGGGTATAATATAAAAGATTAATCACAAGCTTTCGAATTAATAATCCTGAATGATTTCTAGATTCGCTCTGAGTACAAACGGATACTCTGCTGTCGTGGAAATCGAAGAGATCACCTCCGCGATAATGTAATTGCAAAATCACAACTGAAATATTCGTCTTCTCAGGTGAGTAAAATTAGTTGGAATGAATAAGATGCCCCGACAAGAAAAATGAACGAAAGAGTTAGCAACAACTTAAATCGATGGGTAGATAACCATACAATCATGGCGGACCCATATAATTATATCAAACACCCACCGGCTTTTAATATTCCTGGACTGAATCAGAACTCTATTTTTTTTTTTTTTTTTTTTGTGTGCATTTCACAGACAACAAGACTTCAAAGGAAAGCCATAATACCGGAAGGTGGGTTTAATGGTATATTTCTATCTACCTACCCAGTGAGAATTTAAACCACATTTATATATTTTCTTTAATAACAATCATTTCAATCGATTTTTCTCGAGGCTGACCTCCAGAGGAAAGGCTAATACCAAGCATGTTTTCTGTTGCCTGATCAGCGTTCCTCGTTTTTTGGTTTATTTTCTTCAGTTAGCGATAAGTTTTTTTTATTGCTTTCTTTCTTCAGAAAAAAGGTTAAATGTGGTGACACACACTTCTTCTGGGATTGAGCAAAGACCAGTCGACCAGGCAAGGACATTCTACTAAATACCCTCTTATTTCCAGTTGCCTGGAATCCGCTAGATAAACACTGTGATAAGGGTTACCATTGTAATGCGTAACATAAAAATCTCTTTAGATGATACCACAAGAGTGGGATCATTTAAGGTGGTTTTATAGCTTTACCTTCTCTTTGGCATCAACACTGCACTGATGAGGCCCGAAAGGCCAAAACAGTACTTTCTGCAGTTACATATATATATATATATATATATATATATATATATATATATATATATATATATGTGTGTGTGTGTGTGTGTGTGTATAATTTTGCAGGGCTTTTATGGTGATATGGATGTTACAGCCGCTACAAGGACAATTGAACACGAAAAAGCGATGGAATATCAACATAACCACTTAGCCGGAAGCGACGAAGAGCATGACCAAGAAGATAATGAGGACGAAAATTCAGATGACGTTTTCTTTGAGGATATATCTTCGAGTTTAATCAACATCCGTAAGAGCAGCACAACAGAACCCGTCAGAACAAGGGAAAAACGAAGATCTGTTACTTCTGATCCCTGTCAAGACAAGCCATCTCAATTTTCAGACCAGGAAAGTGACACATTCGCTTATAACAATGAAAAAGAAGAACTTCTATATATTAAAACAATGGGACTCATGGCAAACCAACCGCAAACTACGTCTGAAGGGGAACGAGATCATTTTGGGGACTTTTCATTGGATTTTCAGACGGTGGAGTCCAGTTATCAAATGAGAAAAATAACTTCAACCCGCCGAGTTTATCGATATTGTAAAAATTCTTCTTTTTCAACGTCGTCTCGTCGTCCACAAATAGAAATGAGTGACAGTAGCGTTTTGAGAGATGACTTAAGGGCGAACATGTCAATGATTGAGAATAACGATACCGACTCTGTTTTTGACGGTAATTTTTTGAAAAAAGAGGTAACATGTCACGATGAAAGATTATTTTCGAACTGACCTCAGATCTCAATAAGCATTGCTTCTACAGTCAGTTTTAACTTCTTACAAAGCTGACATGGTTGATCCACAAATGTATATTGTGGTTATTTTACCTGAGTTAAGAAAAGATGTTATGTGAACACAGAGATACCAATAAATAAAACTAATGTCTTTCATGTTTCGGGTCCTGTTTCCCCTATGTAATGAATCTCAAACGGCGAAATTTGACGGCTCACAAAATTCGGGGAGTGCTGCTTTGAGAGTCGAATTTTAACTTTCTCAGAGAACATTTATTTATAGCCTATAAAATTATCACATAGCTCGCAATCCCAGTACTTTTAAAGTGGACAGTTATCTTGATCCGTATGACGTCTGCAATTTCAAACATTTGGGATGAGAAAGAGGGACTTTCTCTGTCCCGTCTAAGAAAAGGAATTTTCTTCCGACAAAACCCGTCAAGCTATTTCCATTGTGATTTGCCCGTCATAAAATGATCGGTTTGATTCGATTTGCACTAATTCCTTGCTCTTAAACCTCGGATTACTATAACTTTTTTTTTTAACATGCCCGCATCACATAGTAAGGAGTGATATTTACTTATTCATTATTATGGAATTTTAAGCAGAATTGGGCGAGAAAGATTTACGAGCCTTATTTAATTTATCAAAATATTTTTTTGGTGTTTACAATAATGTCTTTCAATCCTAAGGTATAAAGATTGGGCAAAATTTTGAACTATCGAAGCGAATGTATTTTGAGTTACCTGTATCAAGCAGGAGCCCGTTGATTTGTAATACAACATTTTATGAAAAATTCTGTAAGGAAATGCTGCTGCAAGTGATCGGCGGCACGTCAGCTTTCTCCACAATTAAAATATTAAAAGTTGAGATTTTAAATATTCATATGCAGACCACCGGGGTATTTTGCGCGACTTTTACTGTCTTTATAAAATATGAAAGGACTGCGGTGAAGAATATTCTTTGAAAGAATATTAAAATTATTATCGTTTTTATGTTCGGTACACGGAACGAAAATGAATGTGGGAGAGGTCGTGCCTCCAAACAGACGATTTGCGAAACACCTGCTCTGAAATGCGACGGTGATTGAACAAAAGATTTCACTGAGTCGACGCAAAATGTTTTGGCACAGATCTTTCAGAGGTCATTTCTAGGATCTTTTCAATTGGTTCAAGTGCCGTATCTAGTATAAACAAAGGTGAATGCTTTTAATATATAGTTATTTTATTCGGCCTGATGATTCATTGTCTTTTCATGTCGCACCGCGTGGTAGACGGAGGTAAGGTTTAAATTTTATATTTTCATATACAAGTCTTTTTACTGTGTATCGTGTTTCTCGTGTTAAAGATGAAAATAATGGCTCTTAAATCAGTTTTTCTTGCTGTTCTTCAGTCGGGGTTGAATTTCTATCACAGCGACAGACACAGCTCAAACAAGTCGTCAGGAATGATTCAATTTAATATGACCGTATGACTGTATACACGTAACAATGTTTATAGAGCATTGGCGGGAATCTTCCTCTAGTGTAGATATAAATTCCTTCTTTCGTGGTTTATGGTAAAAATACAAAAATTGCGTTTGTAGCGATTTTTGAAGCCTACTACTCGGCGTGTGTATATCTGAACAAGATGAAAGGAAAATCAAAGTTCTGTAGATTTTTCACTTAATGAGTGGCGTAACGCATGATATTCATCGAAGAAATATCCCAGAAAAAGGATACTGTCTTTTTTTTTTTCATTTCCATTTGGACATTATCCAAGCTAACTAGAGACTTTCCTTTGACAGTTTGGTCACTGAATAAATTATATTTCAATTTCTTTGTTCGACAATGATCGTGGCAAGTGAAGCAGACGCGAAAACCTCCGTCCTAAGCTAGTTTTAATAAAACTAAGCTATATCCTAAAAGCCTCTCACAAAATTTAGACGTAAAGTGCAACACAGATCTTTCTTTCAGCAAAACTCACGATAGTTTGAACGAAAAAAAAAATTATATCGAGATATAGATATAGCCACACCTGTTGGATTGAATACACTTCATAATCAGCGAAACTAAAATGAATTAAGTATCTAAAATAAGTCATGGCGTGTTCGAATAAAACTTTCCGTAACGCAATGACATGTCATCACCAAATTAGGATTTTATCAATTTCTGTTTTGTATGAAACCGCAATGTGCTTTTGGTTTAAGTTGTTCAAAACGTCATCACAAAGGTACGTGCAAAAACAAAGTTTACTTATATATCCTCCCTTTGATTCCTTCCTATGCGATGAGATATCTTTCACGCAGTAACTCTATTATGCTTTCCTAATGATCGACGTTTCTTATTTTATATTCATCATGTATGTCTTTCATTCTAGGCTGATTTACAAGCCATCTGTCTAAGTTGGAGAGCAGAAAATGGCATCAACTTTATACGAGGTGCGATTTGATTTCCGTCTCTTATTTCAAGTCCTTATTGAGGAATGTACACATGGCACAGTATATATTTAATTTTGTCATAAATGAACACGTACTTACGGACTGTGCCTTAATCGACTGTGTAATGAAAAGACAACGACAACAACAATAAATGCGAAATATTCATAAAATATTAATTTACGAGAGACAAAATTCAAGAGACGCACAAACAGAGTCAAGCGAAATAATTATCTGAGCGTAATGTTTACTAAGATTACTTCCTTCTTAAAAAAAATTATTTTAAAGCTGAACGTATTTCGTAAATGAAAGTATTGTTATCTTTACCTGCTCTACAAAATGATTTAAGTCCTCCCCTCCAGTAGCTTTCAAAAATGATAACCAATTTTACCTGTCTGCTCAGAAATCAATAAACTTCCTTAGAAGTCTTCAAACTTCAAACACGCATGAAAAAAAAGCGACTGAGTAACTTATCCCTTAGTCACCAAGCTTATAGCATCTAGGTAGAAGCTGTAAAACCAACAGTTTAACAGGATTATGGTACATGTAGCTCATTTAAAATTCCAGTGAATGTTACAGTAATTAGTTATGTGCACCTAAAGGCATTTTACGGTTCTATTGATAAAGCTAAGTCTTGTAATGACTACATTACATCATTCTGTGATATGTTCATATGTCCCATACGAAGCCCTTTTAACATTAAAAAAATGTTTTTATTAACCCTACTATTTGTACGTGGATAATCAAATTGATTTATGTTCATCCATGGAAACTGGAAGTTAGAAACTGGAACTAAAGAGGACTTTTTTATTCGGAGCCCAAAATTTCCTCAACAAGAGGTGAAAGGCAGAAGTAATTTAGCATTTGATACACTGCCATTACCAGAATAGGCAATGAAATCGCGCCCGCGGGCTCACTGAGTAATTCTCGGCTCTTTTCTCTTTGTTTGTTGACGATTTCTGATAACTTAGTGTGACATCGATGCTATTATTTCCTAGTTAATAATTTCATTAATTCCTCAAAACCTCCAGGCTTTGCAGTGTATTATAACTGTAAGAAGATTTTACCAATTGATCATGTGTGAGAGCGAAAAAATAAGTGCATGCCACCCAAGCAACATTTGCCACGAGGGTAAAAAGTAAAACAACATAGACCAAGCATCATTTAATAACTTAATTTGGAAAAGCGTTTGTCGAGCATGGTCCATGTCAGCAATGATAGAACCAAACAGATTCAAAAATTTGCAATAAGCCACAATGATAATGAATGATGCAGTATTTCAAACCCCACGAAATAATTTAAAGTCAGATTTATGTCGAAATGCGGATTAAGAACCTTGATCCAGCCCTTTGGTTCCATCACAACAATTTTAATGGTATGGGGAACATTAATGGAATAAAGAAAGCTTTTAAATGTTAATTTAGTCACAAGCGTGGGAAAATGAAAATATCTGAGTCTTCCACGAGGGTTTTGAACCGCTTGTTTCGAACCACGTTTTAATTCCACCTCTGAATAATGCCCCTCCACTCAAATCCTTGACGGGACTCAAACTGTTAAGTCTTTCTTTATTCGACGACCGAGCACAAAAGTTAACGTCTTCATTAGCCTGAAAAGAAATAAATCTTTCAATCTTGAGAATAAACTAAAGGTCGGATTTTCATTTTCTTTTTTGCAGAACGTGGAAGATTGGCACTCCAATGAGGAACGCAAAGACTTACTCTCATCAGGCGAAGTAGACGCACTTCAGGTCAAAGGAGATGTTGAAGAATACGATCGCGGATTCGAAGGAATATGTCCAAAACAAGAACCACAAGATGAAATAACAGAAATAGAACTGCATGGTGTGGATGGAAATACAAAGGAAAATGGACACGAGTATAGTTATAAAAACGGCAACGATATTGATGAAGAACTCGATGAAGATGAGGTTAATGATGATGAAGACGCAATGAATGGCAGTGAGGGCGACAACAACGATCAGGACAAAGAGGAAAATGTCGAGTTACTTGCCAAGACGACCGAAGAAGAGGCCACATCGTCAGTACCTTATTATGGGAAAACTCTAGTAGCTCCTGAGTATATGAAATTTCTTTCCCCCGAAGAAACTTCTCTGGCAGGAGAGGAAGCAGAGAAAGATTCTTCCCAAAGCACTTTACTAAATGAATTTAAAGATCAAATCAAAGAGAACCGCAAAGAAGACCAGAGCACAGAAGAAACATCCGTTCAAACTGTTGAGAATGAGGAAGAGGCTTTGGAGGAGGACGACTTAAGTTCGTCCAAAGAAGAACTGGACGAAGTTGAAAATGATGTTGAAAAAAGCGAAGATGTAAGACACTCTTGTCCCGTCGAGGGGGTTGATCAGAGCGAAGAAGACGAGGAGATAGTTGAGGAGGAAAAAGAAGAGGAAGAAGAGTGGGACGATTCAAGTAATGGCTCAAAGCTTACCCCACTGGAGGAAAAAGGTTCCCCACAGCTAGCTCAAGAAGACGACAATGAAGACCAAAGTGAAAGTGAGGAGCCAGAAAAAGATGTTGAAGACATTGGGATCAAGGAGGAGGATGAGAAGTTAGTCAACGGCGAGGATGCAGGAATTTTAAAAGTGGAACAAACGCTTGAAAAAGGGAGCGAAATCAGTCCCGGATTAACTAAAGTAGATGATGAAAACAGCGACAGCGACGAGGAAATAGACATTGAGCGTGAAGAATCAGCAGGTCGAAAGCATTCCTCTTCCCTGAAAGTACACGTTCACTCGCCAACTCCAGATATAAGCGAAATGGACCCTGCTTCCCAGTCGTTCGACGCTGGAGAGGATGGGAATGGCGGAAAAGACCATGTTACCAATCAACAAGAGACGATGCAAGAGCAGTATTTAAATGAAATTGACGAAGAAGAACAACAAAGAAACTTGGTAAGCATACCCTTACAACGTTAATTTCAATGTATATTCACTGATCAATATTAGTGCTACCCCATATATGCTAATTACGTGTATGGTAGGTTGATGTTCACATTTTCTTGTAAACTTAAATATCCTACTTTTACTTGCACTTGAATTAGATCAAGGTACGTAAAAATAAAAAAACGTTGAAGGCTTTTTAATTTTTTATTTATTCTGAGTAAATAAAACAAACGATGATACGGAATTGACGCATTTTTCTCTCAGTGACATGCGCGTTCTCTTCCTGTAACGTTTGCAGTTCAGTAAACCAGTTGAAACTAATGAGATTTACCAAGATGAAGATGACCTAGGACACGAAGCAGTTGATGGTGAGACCTACCAAGAAGGAGATTCAGAGGAAAATGGCGAGGGTGGCGATGAGAACGAGGCGGAAAGCTGTGAAAGTGACCAAGAAGCCGCAAACGTAGTAAAGGACGAGACGACTGCTACATCCACAGAGGCGCCGTTGAAAGAAGAATACGATGGTAACTATCATAAAGTCCTTGCCAGCAATTCAAAAAGCTAGTCTGAATTAACTGAAAAGAAAATTTTCCCAACTAAACCAGGTATAGCGTTAGCTGTGTTTGGTATATTGCTCTATAAGTGCTCTTCTTTTCTTCTTAAGTTCATTTTAGTTTACATGGACAAGAAAACGAGTCGGACCTTACCGGAAGAGTGAAGGAGCTGGGAAAGATGTTCGATGGAGGTGGTCCAGTATTTCCTTCACCTGGGAGGAATAACTCTGAGGGAGGTAAAATTTTATTTAAACTGAAATAAGGATTTGTGAGTAAATAAAGGTCAATGTTAATAGGTTTAACTCAAAAATAACGCAAACAGGAGAATTAGTTTAGGTTACTGAGAGACGCATTTTGCAATTTTATTTCTTGCAGTCGATGGGTCTCCGATCAGTGTGCGTAAATACAAAGCAATTTTTGAGCAAGACCAAATGTCGGTTCAGGGTGCTCGAGACCCAGGTAAGCTTCCATTTAAAACTTTACAGTTGATGCAACAGCTCTTTTTATAGTTTCGTAACGAAGTGACGCAAAAACAGTTTACCTTCCTTCAGGACGAAGAGAAGAATTGATCAATCCTCCAAGAGGCATTGTGAAAAATTTGCTAGGACTCTTTGAGAACCCTCAAGGCTTTGAAGCAAGGAAAGGGTGAGGTATAGACATTAAAGTACATAACTAGAGGATTCTTTTTTCTCTTGTACTAAAAACACATTCGAGTTAAATCACCATTCAATACTGCCAATGTGAGCGGATGGTCAGGTCTCTCCCCCCCCCCCTCTCATTTGCGTGCATCATCCATTGCAATTGTAGTTAGAGACCTTAAGATTTTCTTCAGTCCTTCAATGCAACCCCAAGCCTTTGCTTGCATGTCAGATAAATAGAAAGCTAGCGTCATTAAGAATGTTGCATGAATAAGCTCCAAGAAAAAATACTGAAGGGTTATGGAGGAAATCTGCCCGTGTCACGAAGGTAATTACTGATCAATGGGATACCACTTTTGGGAATTCTTACCGTACATGATGGAAGGCTTGCCTAGTAAAGGTGTGAAACTTGTGGAAATGGGAAGGAAAATAGGTGCGGGATGACAAGCGAACATGGGTCTAACGATGATAAGTAAATATACCTGAAATCACTTCCAAAAACTGTTTCGTTAAGTCGGTGGCGAAAAAATTATCAACTCTTGGCTCGCTTAGGGATCATTGTTTCGCACACTTATCATTATCTCATTATATTTCAGCTGAACGCCCAATGAAGATCGGTGGATATACCTCTTAACATGATATTTTATCTAGAAGACAGTTAAGCAAGTAATATAAATAAACTTTATTAGCAGTAATCTTTTACATGGATATATTTAATATCAGTATCCAGTTATCTAAAATAGCCTTAAGCCAGTGCTTTTAAGAGTGGAGCTTTTATCACGTCAACTTTTTGTGGCAGGCAGTGGGATACATGAAGCGGCGAACATTTATGGAGAGAAGCCTTGGAGATTAATTTTTAGGCTTTAGTTAATTTTAGATAAAGAGCTTCGGGAATAAATTAACTTAGATTTTACGTCCCGGAGAAGTGAAATAGACCATAGAACAATAGCTCAACAAATCCTAAAATAAAAGCTAGCAGTTTAGAACTAATTAATCAACACCTAAAAATGGCTCAGTGAAAACGGAAAAAAAAGAATATTCAAAAGAGTGCTTATATCAAAAGATGAGAGACGATTCTCGATTTAAAAAAGGAATTTTGCAGCTTTTTATGTGGATAACCGTTATAGGAATGGAACCAGTTCGGCAATTATCGTCTAAGGATTTGTCCACAATGATCCATGGACAAAATAGAAAAATAAAATGCAAGAGTAAGGTATTGGTTCACTCTTTAATTTTTGATGTTTTTCTTAAAATTATATGAAGTCAAAAGAAATACTTATGTTTCTTAAATAGCACGTAAAGATAAATACACTTATGCAATATTATCAGCGTATCAACTCATCTGAATGAGCGAATATTATCCGAGCGAATAAAATATAAGGAGTCTAAAAAGAGTACAGTTAATGGTTTGAACCCAGGAATAACATTTAATCGAGTAGTCTGATCGTCCGGGAGAGAATAGTAAAAAGTACTGTTAACGTTGTCTGGTGTATAGTGTCTGACATTTCCACAACCTTAGCGGAAGTCTTCATCAGCGCCGAGGGTCCACCTTCATTTTAAGTCTTATTTTTCTTGCAAAACCGTTCTTGGAAGGGCGTATGTATGCGGAATTTCTGATTAGAGTAACACGGGAGCGGAATCGAAGCCTAGTACAATTTACAACAATGTTTCGTATTTTGAAAACTAACAAAATGGCCACACGAAAGTTCTAAGGTACTAAACCGCTACTGTGCCCACATAACTTCAGATTTATCATCGAATTTATTGACGTTATGGCACTAATGGATCGAGTCTGCAGAGAAAACTGCTATTTTAGATAAACAAGTGAAATGAAAAGAAGAACAGCGCAATAGGTATCCTCGATTGACGTGTTTTGCGCACATTTTTGAGATATTTGTTTAAGAGAGATTGTGGGTTTAAAAGCAGGACGTCCGTGGCTTTATTCTCAGACAGATGAGACTCTAATAAGTCTACTCTGTCTCTTTCTTTTTGATACAAAAGCATGAAAGAAAATACAGTGAATTAAAAGTAAACATACTTGTATGGCATTAACTTGGCTGAAGCCTTCAAAAACTATTACAAGAGTTTACAATCGTCTGCGTCTATTGTTCTTAACGTAACTTTACCAGCTGATTGCGTGATGAGCTTTGACAGCACGTACGTATAAGTATCACATCCAGTGTTAAATTTCGTTTTACAACAAGACAAAGTCGTGATACAGAGGTGTTGTAGGGGCAGTAAAGGTCAAAATTTTCTATTCAAAAAAGCTCAGTTGTTTGCTGATCGGGAAATCGAGAAATCGAAAAAAATGCCTTGGTAACTGGCGCTTGGACAAAAAGGTATGACTAACACCCTTTGAAGCTGAAATGCACCCAAGGGAAATTAAAATCAAATATGCTTCCTTTGTCGCAAAACCATGAGTAAGACGAACGCCGGTAACTCTGTTAGCAAGATTACACGTGCATTGTTCGGTCTAAATCATAAAATTTAAATATAAACGAAAGTTTGTCTTTTCTCTTTACCACTAAATGTAAACTTGGTATTCACAGTGAGTAACTTCGTGTATAAAACTTGTATAGAATAGATAATTGTTCCATATGCATAAGTTGAACGACAGACAAAAGATCCGGTGCTTAAAAACGTATCATTACGGTCTGTTATTGTGATCGAGAGAGATAAACACATCAGTACGACGAGCCTCTCTCTCGAGATGAACCTAAAAGGAATTACAGTCTTTAGCGTATCTGTATGGCGCTGGTAAACTCACACTCGCCGACAAACTCCTGCTTTAAAGGTGAGTTGTAAAAGAAAACAACTTACAAAGGTTTAAAAATTGTCATACATGTACTGTGACAATGATAACTCAAGCAGTAGGAGGCAAAGACAGAAGGACAAAGTTTATCTTAACCTATGGCCTGTTAAAGCCCTGATCACCTGTAGCCTTCTTTATTCGTACATCTAACAGGTTTTTTCACTGGCAGCTTTTATTTAGTCAGGAATTATTCTCATTATGCCAAAGTAGATTCACTTTTTCTCCTAAAGTTTCTTTGTTTGTTACTCGAGATAAATTAGAGTCTAGGTCATAAACGAGGGTAAGTTAAAAGAAGCTTGCTGCGCGTATAACCTTGCATTATCATAATAGTTTGTATTAAACTACATTACACTTAATAGGAATTGAACAACGGTATGAAAATCGTATTATTTTCTTTTCTGACCGATGAGTTCGGTAGCTTTCAATACCTGATTATTTCATAGAGATGTCACACAATTCGTTTCTGTAGTTTGCTTTAATTAACTTTCATGTTGCGGCGTGCGGTTTTGCATTGTTAGAGTCCCAAAGAAGAATATTCGAGTCTAATTTGTTTGCGCTAATGAATCTTTGCGGTTTTCTGTCTTTGAGCCTACAGGATGACCTATATTTGCATTATAATGAGCTATTTTGGTAGCTGCATCGATGCTTGTATTATTAGTCTGGGGACCTATTAACGGGTCATAATCGCCGTATAATCACTGGGTTGCGTCGCATGATCCAGTGAGTTCGCAAAGACCCTAAGCAATATGCCTTTGGTATTTTGAGGAAAGAGTAATCAACATAATAAACGTTATCATATCATTGACATTTGAACTTGAGATATCAACGTACAGTTTTCTGTGATAAGTTCTGTGAAGTTTCGTGATTAAGAGAGATAACGACTAAGTTTTCTTAAATTCTGATTACTCATCAACCCGGCACCCGTTTTTTAATCAGAGGAATCAGAGGTTTTTTCTCCTAAGAGAGGAAACTCAATTGTTCTTACACTGCAAAAAAGCAACATTTTAATAACATCTTTCAGCGACTTACAAGTTTTTTTCTGGAGTATTCATGATAGTAAAGACAGAGTGGAGTTCAAATTGGTCCCCAATCATGATTGAATACAAAATCGGCGGATCCATTACCTAAACGCATACACTAAAGTCCTTATCCACGAGAAAATAAACCCAATATTGCATGTAAAGAATAATCAGCGCACAAAAATGTTGCAATATGTATCAAAATGATGCATATCTTCCATTGGCAAACATGAGTCGTATACCGTCCTTGTGGCGCTCAACTAGGGCCGCTGATGGCCAATCACGTTCAAGAATGTCGGTTTTCATTTGACAATGGTACAACGCAAAACCAGCGGATGCATGGCAATGCCGGCAAAATAATATTTCATTATTTTTCGAAACAGTTAACATTTGTTACAGGGCTAATAGTTTTTTTCCTATAAAGATAAGCGTCTTGGGGGTCTAAGAAATGTCAATGGTACTTGGTCAAAATTATTTGAAAAACGTTTTCCGTAAATGAGAAGTGAATGAAATAAGATATAAAGGCCGGTAGCAATCAAAATATCAGTGCCGACTTTTCACCACAATTTTATAGCTCTCACACCTTCACTGACACTTATTTTTGAGATTAACCCAGGAACTTACGGACAGTCTATAATTGTTTCCTCAATTCTAAAAGGTTCTAGATTTATGTCCACACCTTAGTGTTTGTTCAAGGTGATGACACCTGTTCTGCCCAGGGGCTGGATTTTAGGTTTCGTTAATCCAACCCTGTTTCTTGTCAGAACAACTGGAGAAAGCTATAACCGAGAGAACTTTGTATCGCCTTGAGGAGAAGAGACCAAATATGTAAGTAACAATTGCAATCTGTGTCTGCATATATTCAAAATAGCGATAAGTAGTTTTGAAGCAAGTAAACGTACAGGAATGATATAACGGCAAACGGAATTGAAAAGAAAAACCGCTAATGTTGAGTATGAGGAGTCCATCGGCTAATTGAACTGAAACCACCCTTGTATTTCTTTCTCGTGATTTTACACTTGTGCCAAACTTAGTTTTGCATTAATATTTTGCCTAGCCGAGTAAGAACAAAATAAGAATTTTTTTATAACGCTTTTGAGCAGTACCGATGCACCAAATGTACGAAATCAGAAGTAAACAAGTTAAAAATGGCAGAACCTGCCAAGCGATTAAAGCAATTTTACTTTGAAATTTAGCATGAATTTGAATTGATGACTGTACCTTGGACGGCTAGATTTGATGCGTCACTTTACTTATGTTACTCTGATGGTTCTGTACTCACTGGTTTCCCTTTTTAATGATAACGCCCCATTGAGAGAAATTAAAGAAAAAAGAAGTGAAGAATAACTTACGAATGCTAACCCCACTTGTCAACTAAAGTAATTTTATTCACTTAACGGCGGTGTGACGACCACAAGAGCTTCACAGAATTTTAAATCGGTTCCGCTTCTCGCCGGTGATATTTCATAGCTGATAGCAAGTGCAGCTGAACTGCGTTAATGAGTTGTGTTATTGCAATGACAAAAAGAAGTCAGTGAGCCCGAAACTGTTACATGCGGTACGGGCAAACGCAAATCGCCACTTAAATACATGACATAATGAATCACAAATGATAAGGCATAAGAAAATAATTAAAACAAATTCTGTTTGACATTTGGTTCCGAAATTTTACCTAAAGCTTACTCTCGCTCGCATCTGACCAGGTTTCATTCGTTATTTGCATTTTTTTATGACTTCGTCTTCAGTTTTTACACGTGGTGAGCAAATTTCTAGGTTTGCAGATTATAATCGACACGTAAAACAATGTCTTTCAAGTTCGGTTTAAGTGAAGTATTCACTGTCAAAGATGACTTACTTTTTGTTTCTGATGCTAAAAACACAGTCTAAGAAAAATAAACAGAATAAACATGAATAATCTTAAAGAAAATTATCTAGAATGAACAAATAAGCTATTTTTATCACCAACACCTGTTCTAATGCTTGCTGCGAGGTTTTCACTTCCTGAAGACCAGAGCTGAAAGGAAAATATCAGTTGCGATAGGCACAAGACACGTATACTTTGAAAAACTTGTATTTTACAAATAAGGAGGGACAATATTTACGACGTCTCTCGCACAATGTGGTAGACTAGGGGTCGGCGAGGTAAGGCTTTTAAAATTATCTTATTCACTGGTCTTAGACATATCTCCGGAAATTTAATTCGGACGCGATGAATATATACCGTCGACTAAGGTATTAGCAAATTGTAAACAGGGAGCTCTCTAATGCTCAGTACAAAACGGGCTCAATTTATTTTGCGGGTACAGAATTATCTTGATCAATTTCTGTTTCATGTTCAAGCAAGGTTACATTGCAGTATGGATACGAGACTGAGATTACGATATAAAACGAGAAATTTGAAATTAAAACGGCAATTATAATGGAACTTCTTTTGGTTCACGTTCATTGGTACCACGCTGGCTTCGCCTAGGCAAGACACTCAATTTGTTTTTAAGACCTCATTTTTGAATTGTTGAATAATTCAGAGAATCAGCCGGTGGCATATTGTCAAAGTTTTTTGGCCAATAAGATTTCGTAAATAAAAATTGAACCATAGGTCATTATAAGCATTATACTATATGTTCTTAAAAATTGTTCTTTCGTTAAGCCTTACTTTATTTCATAATAGATATGTTCGTCCTGACCATGGTAAAGTCAAGATTGTGGACGATTCCCTAATCAGCTTTAATAATATCCACTTGAGTTCACGAAATATATTCATATTAAGCGTTTGTTGTCGTTTTCCGGCTGCTAGCCTGTCCGTTTGTACTGAAAGACGAAGGAAGCAATCGACAAAATAAACAATTTTATGTCGATTCTAGATTACAATTTGAAATTGCAAATTCAAATAAATGGTAATTTTTACGAGTCAGAACTGATCATGAACTCTGGCTACGAATCAAACAATGATAATTATATCAGCCTATACTGAAACTTCTCGTCTCATCTGCAGCCGTCGAACTCTTTGGACTGCCTCTTGGCCTTACAAGGTATTCATTGCTTTTTGTTCATTCAAACATTTTAGCAGCTTTGTATTGACTTAGATCCCATTACGTTGAACTTAAATCTACAGTTAGAATTATCGCTTTACGACTTATAAAATGTTTGCTAAAATTCATCTCAGAATAGGAGTTAAAGAATAACCACAAAAAAATTTTCTCATTTTTAACCTTATCAAGCTGTGTACGTGGGCTAATATAAATGATTTTCGCTACTGAACCCAAACACGAAAACACTATTCATGTTTCATTAAGGTTAGTTGCGAGGGTCGATCTTTTCATGGAAATGTTAAGTAGTTCGACGACAAAATTTTTCGTATTTCTGTCTTATCATAAAGTAAGGAAATAAACTTATCTCCAGTCTGTAAAACTGGCCAAAAAAGAAATTGCCTATTAGACTTTTAGGTTTCATTATGGCGTATAATTAGTTAAATACGTCATTTCTTTTGTTTACTAATTCAAAGATCAGGCGAGATCGATGCTAATCTTTAAAGATCCTTTTGGATAAATCCCAGAGCTTTATGTTGACTGCTAGGTCGTACAGTTGCAGACATCCTGAGGTAAACTGAACTCGAAAAAACCTTGCCTTGTAGGCTAAAAAAAACTTGACGATGTTATCCTTACCGGCTGACTTCCACCTTTTGCATAAGCATTCGAAGTGCCGGTTACCGTGAAAACTAATTCAGTTGCAAAAACAGACCTGTACGCTTGTCAATTGGTGCTAATAATGTAATAGAGATCTAAAGAGAATATAAGATCTTTGGTAAAGATGTCGTATTTTGTTCGGATATCACAGAAAGAACCAAATCAGTAAAGAAATCTCGTGCCATTTGATTGAGTGACGTAAATATACTAAGGTACATGTTAACGTCTATGACATCGAAACGACAGTCATAAGACAGACCGGCAGTATGATCATGGAAGGAAAAAAATTTGAATATCACAAAAGGAAAAAGTCTTGTAGTTCTTCTAGACAGGAAAATTGGTATTCGAATGGATGGGTATGAAATGGTACTAACGATTAGAGACTATTATTAACGAAAAATTTTCGTATCGTCAGCAATGAATTAACGGAAGTGATTTGCATATTGCTGGTTCGCTTAAGTTTGACGTGAGTACGTTAAAGAAGTGAAATTCTACGAAGTGACTATATTTCTCTGTATCGATTTCTGAAAACAGGTGGTGCCGAATGGTGTTATGCTCGGGTTTGTACCTTCGTTGGTGAGCTGCAGTCGACACGCCGTAGACGATAGCCTTGAATAAATTCATTTTGAGTGGTTGGATCCCAAGAGCTTGCGAGCGGATTATTTCCTTACGCAATCTACTCCTGGCCGGATCTTAACACAGTTTAAACACTTTCATTAATTCCAAGCCCATGTACACATAAGCAACTAAGAACAAGCTGGAGGCGATCGATTTTAAGTAGAAAAATTGATCAGAGTTTATGAGTAAGGATCAAGGAATGGATTTCGACGAGTCAGCTCGTGAATTGTCCTTCACAAAGCAGCTCAGCCTTATCTCGTTTGATAATAACAGCGGCCGGGAGGGATTTTCCGATTGCGAGGAATTTAACAAAGACAAACTTTGCAAAAAACGATGCGATTCAACGGGTTCTTTGAATAGCAACCCTGATCAGCTGACATTTAATCAAAAAACAATAAGGGATACGAGTTGTGATGCAACGAGTACTCATGACACCTCAAGTAATCGAAAGCAATCGTTACCATCGCCTGGGAACATTGACAGCAAGCGACATGCATTGCAGAAAGTACCGAGCATCACAGTGTGTGACGATACCGAAAATCGTGCGGGTGTGGAATCAAAAAAAAATTCATTGTTCGATCCAAGGTTCCTAATGCCTACTGAGGTAGGTTTAATTGTAATTTATCAATCGATCGATCCATCGATTGAATAGGATAGGTTGACTGATCGATTAATCGATGGACTGATTGATCATGGTTAACTTGGATTTTTGTAATCGCATCAACACACATTAGCTTGATTGATTATCAGTCTCTCTTAATGATATGTTCATTTTAAAAGTGCAATGAATTGTCTCCTTACCTTCTTCAGTTAATTACTAGTCTGTTTATTTCCAGTCAAGTGTTGACGAAGCCAGATATCTGCTAGCATCCAGACGAGGCTCTTCACCATCCGCTTATCAATGCATACGCAGTAGAAGCCTTGACATGGTAGCAGAGGAACAGCCGTCTGATTCCGCACATGAGAGCAACACAAGTACGCCACCTGCCTCTCTTGGACTTCCTCGGTACCGAACTAGGTCACGCAGTCTTGACACCGGCCTTAAAAAAAGAAATAATTTCTCTGCTTTCAAAGAATCTCTCAAGGTAATATTGGGAATGGAACAATAGGCATGGTCCCCATTGCCTGTGTTCATACTATGCGCCATAAACGTATCCGTGCTCATGAGGGTGTTATTTCTGTTTCCGGCCTTTTTTTCATTTCGGAATAAAGGGGATAGTTTCTAAAGAAACTGTGGTGTTGCGTTGGTGGGGGAGAGGGGTATTCCAAGAGAAAATTTAGTTTCATCAACTAAGTCGATAATCTGTTATGATAACATAGACTCGAAGGTCCTAATAAACTGTAACAATTTGTCTCAATGTTTCAGTTACGTGACGTGCAAAAAACAAGGCTTGGTACGTGAGAGAAGATCTGTGGCCAGCAAAATTGGAAAATTTGCAGTAAACGTCGTCAGGCTTGAATTGAGGGCAACCTTCTGCGGCAACCTTCTGCGGTCTACTGCGAATGTCTTGGTGGTCTAGTTTATGTTATGCAATGGCCCGTACGCGAACGCAACGGAATACGATTTCCTGTTGGCTTGATGGAAGCATTTTCCCGACTTAAGAGGAATTTAGATTAATTTTCGAAGACCTTTTTATAAATTTTGAAAAGTTGATAGAATATGGAGTAAATTTGTTTCACAGAGCAGAACATTTAAGTGCCCAAACAAATTAATATGTTTGGCTTTTTGGGTGTTATGAATAATTTAACAACTGAACAATGGAAACTTACCGGTAAAGACGTTTTTTAACTAATTAGCCCGTTTCAGTTCGTTACTTTTTTGCAACAAAATTTCAGTATACGTTTTGCAGGTTCAAGTTCAACTGGTTTTTTTGAAAAAAACATATTAAACAATTCAACTCAGTTTGAATGTTAACATTTGAGAAACAAAAATTGGTTAAATGACATGAAATCTACGTTCAACTTTGTTTTGCCATATACTCGGACGGTATTTTATACGAATAGATTTTTAAGAGGGACGTCTGTGAGGAAGACCGAGTTGTAAATCTTGGTGGGTTTGCTCTTCATGGCAGTCACCAAATACAAAATGGACACGGGATGTTAAAGAGCACTGTCGTTTCAGTTCCGGTCTCTCAATTCGACGAAAATGTTTTCAAAGAGCATCGAGTGCGTAGTGCTGCCAAGTTGAGTGCAGCGATGCGCCTTTCACACAGATCGATTACCACGAAAAACAAACCTGCAAGCGAGCCCAGCTTAAAAGCATGAAATCCTCAAGGATATGAAGACAGCATGGAATGTCATCAACCGTCTGGTCTGTCACTAACTTGCAATTTTTCTGCCGCGAGTCTCACGCCGTATGCGCGGTCCTGAGTCGGTGGGTATTTAATCAGTGGAAAAGGTTGCAACTCATACAGTTTGACCATTCGCAAGGAACTTACTTGAATCCTCTTGCTGACAAGATCTTTCCGGTCTAGCTATTAGCCATCTACTTACGAACCAAAAATTACGCCGATCTTAACTTCTCACTACTCCGATTTTTTTGCCCGATTTTTGCGGTTTTACACGTGCTAAAGAATGGAGCATCAAAGTCGTGTGAGGCCTGGCCACTAGAAGCTCCATCCACCACTTATCATTTAGCGCACACCAAACCGTGAAACTTAGGTAAAACAACTGACATGGCAAGCCACACATGACTGTTTCCCTTCGGTTAGTTATGACACAGGAAGGCTCGATTAAAAACGGGTCGCTGAAAAATTATTTCAATCAACCCGCCTTCATATTGAGTAGCTCACATCGAAATTGTTTATTCTTGCCTCATACCCCCTCCAAAATAAGCCTACACTATCCCCAACCACCCCCCCCCCCTCTGATAATTATTTGATGCGTGTTCCACCATTTTTTAAATGAAATCGAAAGTGCACGTGTTCCTGCTGAGATGTACATAAAAGTTAAAAGTATGAAGCCAAAATACTGAACAAGAACGCAATTTATCTCTCACTTTCAAACATTTTTGTTTCAGCACAAGTGTAAAATTTACTTCAGAACCTCGGTTTTACATGTTTTATTTGAAATGTTTGAAGTTAACTGAAACACACACACTCAGACAACTTTAAAAAAATTACTGACCTTCGGTTTAGTTTCTTCTCGGAAAATGAAGCGAAATATTTGAATTTCGCCCTCAAGGTCTTTGAAGACAACTGCATGATTTTTATTCTTCGTAGCTTGCTATGAGCAAAGGCCCGCCAATAATCTTCATTACATTGTTTAATGCACAAGAAACTTTTTCAGCATTCTGAAGAGGCTTGCGAAATCCATATGCCTGCTTTGGATAAAGTCTTTTCATGGCGTTTTCGCACATGAAAATTTTTCGAACATTAAGGAGATGTTTTGCAAAAATTTTGATCGATGGTGGACGGCCGCGTCCAAATTTCCCGCCCTCCTTGATGTCATCGTAGCCTCACTTCTATGAAGCCAATAAATGCAAGCTATAACCAGATATGGTTCTTTTGAGATGCACTGTCTTCTTAGCTTTTTCTTCGTGAAAACTAAAAAATGCAGCTATTTTTTCGAGAATCAGGTTAGTATTCTATATTTTTATTGAAAAGAAAGAGGTTTGTTTTTCCCACTTTCGACATTTTTGACCGTGAAGTACTGAGGCTCTTTGCCTGCAACTCTCGCACATGCGCAAGACCATGCGCAATAAGATTTTCATTTCGCGCCAGATTAGAAATTTTCCGCCATTAATGTGAACAATGACGAATGTGGAGATCTCGAAGCATCGTGTCTGACTTGATTGCTTGGATCAATCTCTGCCTTTTCCACGGCCCTTTAAACAGTTCATGTGGTCTTCTGAATAGTGATTATGGCAAAAGTTCACATCATCGATGTGACAATTGGCCAAAATCCGTCTTCGTTCTGCAGTGACTTTGAATTTCAGATTACTTTCGACTGCACTGAGGAACTTAACGAAGGTTTTCACGTTTTATTTGTACTCTGTTTCTTCTATAAATGTCATGATTGAATAGTATTAACTCTCTTCATTTAAATCTATTTTCTCTTGTGTAAATCGTGTAGATCTAGAGTGGAAGCTTATTTATGTTGGATCGGCTGAGAGTGATACTTACGATCAAGTGTTAGACTCTGTGTTAGTTGGACCTGTCCCGATCGGAAGACACACTTTTGTTTTTCAGGTATTTCATGACATGTTTACTATTTTGAGATAATTTAAGCCTTTCCCATGCAAATTCCAACATGAATTCGTACGATTTACCCCTGTAATTAATGCTCCCTGTACATGTACAATTGTCATCGTGTGAACTTCGAGTGATCTACATTCCCCCTATTGTCAACTTCTTATAATTTTGTTTGATGTACTGAAGAATTTTACCGATTTCATTATGTTATTGTTATGACCTTGCAAGCTTGGTGTTGATGATGTGTTTTTGATCGATGAAGAATTAACGTGAGGTCGCCAGAGAGAAATCGTAGTTGTATGTTTCGTTTTGATACTGAATTCATTTGATGAGGACTTCATCCATAAATGACCAACGATTTTACATCAACTTCCAAAACTTAGCATTTTGTCGACTTAATGTCTTTCCATGTACTCCAAGTCTTATGAAGTTGAGTAGTAGAACATTCAGAAAATTTTTCCGAGAGTTGTAGGTTCGTTTCTGTTGGTAGCACTTGGAATTTCTTTTTCTTAGTTTACCTGTCATTTGCTGAACAATTTCATAGTTCAATCACTGAAAATTTTTGAGTGTCTGCGAAGGCACTTACCAGTACCATGCTTTGTGACCTGCTCTCAGAGGGTGAGTAAGTTTGGTTTCTGTCAGAGTTAGTAATCTCTGGACTAGGTAGTTTAGTTCTTCCTAACATCACATACTGTCATTCATTGTGTGGTGCTGAAGCACAGCTTATCACAATTAAGAGATTTCTAGTCAGATGTCATAAGCACAAATACAAATTTACAACCTACCTTCTAGAAAAACAGGATTCTAAAATACCCAATTAGGTAGCGAAGTGAGATTTACATCCTCTTAGAAATTAAATCCCCAAGAAAAGAAAATGATACATAATGATAGAGACAAATCTTGTCATTACTCCAAAGTTAATACAAACCATTTTAAAGATTTCAAGATAATTTGTTCAATTTGTTACCTTTTTTCTACTTTGTACTCTTTTACTCCATAGTTCAAGATTTGTTTTGTTTTGTTTTGTTTTGTTTTGTTTTTTTTTTGAAGAAACAAAAACTAACAGACTATTGCCAAAAGTAAATGTATTTGTGACAGTTCATGTACATAACTTTTGTTTAAACAGTTAACACTTATGTGTCCTGAGACACTTGTTAGATAATTTTAAAACTCCACTTGGACCTTGTAGATTGACTTGGGTTAGACCCTGAAGCATATAAAGGCAATAACTTGATTTCAAGTTCAAAAATTGGTGATTATTTGGTGTTTTACTGTCTTGTATCTTTTGTGGTTGGTGCAGTATTTGTAGTGAAATAGGTTTTTACTTTCAAAACATTTCATTTTTGTTTGACTATCACTCAATTTTTCTACATTGATAAATGCTAATGCAACCTCTGGCCACGATAAGGGCATCAATATAATCAGCAAAACACATCACTTTACAAGCCCAGGCTAAAACCAAGGGAATGAGGTGATAATTCCAAGTAGAGCAAATTTCCCAGCAAAAATCTAGTTACTCTGACATTTAAAATAATTTAAAATTCAAGGTGCAATCCAGTTTTTGAGTTACAACCTTTTTGATTTCAAGTCTTCCAGTCTTCAAGGTGTAAACTTATCATGATTGTAGCCCAATACATTGTAGTGATGGCATGTTCTTAATTTTATAACAATTTTTTCCTTGCTGTGGCTGAACAGAGGATACTTTCAAATTATCACTAATGCTTGTCAATGAATACATGTAGATTGGTTGATGACGTTTCAACTTTGTTAATGAAGTCCTGGGAGACATGTAAAAATGATTTTAGAATTAAGTAAGGCAATTTTTCTTTATTCAGCTTGAAAAGCTCCAGCTCCTTCAGTTTAGAAGTTATTTTAAGATGTTATGGATATCATTTGTTCTAGGTCCTCATCATAAAATATTTTCATTTTTTAAATTTGTCCTGTTCATGCTGCACTAGACTTTGTTTTCACCCATAAAGGGTACTTGTGTCTATCTTTTGATATTACATAAATTTCCTTAAACCTCCAAAACTTCCTTTGTTACACTTTTACAGATGCATCCTTCAACATTTAGAAGTTCAGTCTTTTGCACTTTTTGTTTAGGTTACAGTTAATGTTGAGGGTAAAGATTGTGAATAAGCCTTCTTTGCCCTATTTTGTACTTTAGTTTCATTTGATGCAATTGAGACATGTTTAATGTTTCTTCCCTCTCTTAGGCAAAATATCCAGATCCTAGTCAAATCCCAGATGAAGATTTGGTTGGTGTAACTGTGATCCTTTTAACTTGCTCATACAAAGACAGAGAGTTTGTACGTGTAGGTTACTATGTAAACAATGAGTACATTGAGGAAGAAATGAGAGAGAATCCTCCCACAAGGCCTGTCATAGAAAAGGTATTGTTATGATAAATGGCCAGCCATATGCATTTATGAATTTTAAAACCAGTTAGAGTGTTGTTCATTGATTGTGTGTTGTAAACTACCCTGTATTTTATTTGTTTTGCATTTTTTTGCTTGAGCTGCATGGACAAGATTTTGTTGAGTTCGTAAATGCAGGTGTTTGTTTAAATTTAACTACTTTGGAATAGCTATAAACATGTATTTAATTTATCTTCACATTTAAAATTTTCCTTTTTAGTCAATATCTTGAACCAGTTAATTTTTTGTTGTGAATTCCTCACCACAGTTAAAAAAAATTGCATAGTAATCTGCAGGGAGTCCATCATATTTAGTATAAGGCCCTCTATGATTTGATCATTCCATTTTCTTTTAAGTATTAACCCTTTCACTACCAAGATCTAATTAGTAATTCTCCTTACTATCTGCCATACAATTCTTATGATGCTAGTTCAGAGAATTTGGTATTGGATCAACTAATAATCCCATGGTTGACATTCTTCTCTATTCTCATCACCTGCCTACTTGTGGGAGTGAAAGTGTTAAAGTGTTAATGTTTTACAAACTTGTATGTTTTCTTTCAGCTCCAAAGAAATATACTTCATTCAAAGCCACGAGTAACAAGATTTAAGATTGACTGGAATGATTAACTAAAGAAAGCATGCTTTCACATTTGTTACAAAATTATACAGCTGTATTGTGTTATGGATTGCTTAATGACCATGAGATTAGATGTTAGATTTTAGCAGGAACAAAAGGCTGGTTGAAAACTTAAATATTGAATTCTAAGAGTGTTATCCTCTATGCAAACACATGTGCAGCAGCTTAGTACATATTTTTATTATTTCTGTTCTGAATTATCATTTCAATGTTAGAAAAAAAACAGCATCCTTTAGAATAATAAGGAGGTGTTGCATTTTCTCAGCACAAAATGAGCTGCGTTTTTCATTTGATATGAACGTTATAGTCAGCTCTTTAAGAAAATAATGTGGAACATCCATCCCAATGCAAACTCTAAATTATTTACTTAAATGGAGACACTTATCTTCCTTCTTAAGGTACACTGTACAACTAAACCTGAATCTTTGTATTGAATAGGAAGGGGATATAAAGTTGCCTGTATGATAAGAAAAAGTGAAAATTTTCAAGCATCATGACTACACATCCCTGTGTTACACTATAACTCTGTTAAAGCACTTCTTGTTACACAAAATCCTGCCAACTCCCCTGTAGATGCTTCTTTGGCTATACTCTCAAATGGTTAGAAAAAGTACACAACTATAATATAACGATCACAGCTTTCAATGCAGAATTTGAATCTTCACTGATTTTCCACCATATTGGCTCAGTAACATTTGTCATGCATACTTCAGCATAGAAAAAATAAATAAATAAATAAACCAGTTAACACAAATGATCGGTGTATAGCGTTACTTTCAATACACAGGTTATGTAAAAGCCTTGAGTCTCTAAGATGTAAGAATAGTTTTTGGAAACCATCTTCCATTTGCCTTTCCTCTAAATAAACCAGCTTGTTCAGGGGCATAACACAAACCCTCCGCCGAATCAAGAACCAGTGCCTTTCGTAACATACTCCAGACCACTAACCGTCAATCAAAAGTTAAGCTTTTCTTGTAGTACCCAGTTATAATGGTCTCCTTCAAAGGGTTGTTGATTGACGGTGAACATAGAAATATCAAGGAACAAGACACTTCGTGCTGATTTGTAGAACTGAGTTAGAATTTTCCCGGATGCATGAACATTTTGGGTATCTTTCGGCGGGGTAAGTGTTGTGCTTCCCATGTAAAAAAAATTGTACTGCAGCATGGATTGTATTGTATTATTGAACACTTTATTAATTGGAGATGTACAAAACATGGATGTTTAGCAATAAAATATTTCTGAAATTACGGGAAAGAAATCTTCTTTACAAGGTACACACTTCACGGCCCCTACTGCGCGTCTAAACTGTCTTAGAGCCTAGTTTTCATATTTACACTGCATCCCCATCCCTTCCTCCCTTGCTGTTCTTTTTTTTTATGACAGCAAAAGAATTTTACCAAGCTTCCGCCAAATCCTTTAAGAAAATCTATGATTTAGAACGATTTTTTATATTTACCATTTTTGATAAAAGAAATCAATTTTTTGGACAGACTTTTTCTAATCAAAGTATTACGTCAGTTACATTTTGATTGCATTTCTCAGAAACAACGTGCCTGTCGTCCGAAAATTCTCATTTTAAATTCGGAAACAGGTTTGATCGGGAACCTACTTCGAGGAGGCAGGACTGCAGCTTCATATGGCGGTTTCGTGCATCAGGCTTTTGAGAGTAAGGGCAATGATCTGTACATAAAAGGCATAGTAATACTACTTGTTCCCATTACTTGTGTCCTGTTAATGTTCTTGCCCATCTTTATCGCTTTGTCGCGCATTTTCTGATGCCTCACTGGCTGCTGACGCTGTTGAGTTTCTATTGCTGTCATGATGCTGTGGAAGAGAGGACGAATCCAAGTTATTAAGACTCCAGTTGATGAACTGTAGTCGTTTGTCTGCAATGTAATCACTTTCGATGTGGATTGATGAGACCGCTTCGAGAGTGGCTACATCGAGACACAACTGATAATGGTTCATTGCCATTTTATTAATCACGATAAATAGGTGAGTTTTTAACCATCAGAAATCCTCTCCTTACCCAATTTTCTCAACTGATCGAAAAGAGTTCTTTAATGTTTGGTAACTGCTCTCCATAACTTTGATAGATAGACTTCGCAAGAGCCAGAACTATGTCATTTTGGTACATTTGCGTCCAAAAACCAAAAACAAACTAAAAATCACACTATTTTGAGTTACCTCATAATAAGCCATGCCAAAGGGACTGAGTATTGAACCTAACCCGTTTAAAGAGCGGGAAAATGCGAGTGGTCAACTCGTGACTGCTTTTCCTCGGCTGCTCATTGGTTGGCCGGAAAGAGCTACTTTTTTTAACCAATCAGAGAGTGTGGTAAAGAACAGCCTGGCGCATTTTGACGCTCAATCAAAAGCCACTTTGCATAGCAGGGAAGCACCGACATCACTTTATTCATAACTAAGCGTTCTACTTCTTACCTGATCATGATTTGTCGGTTTTTCTGAACTCGATTCACTTTCTCCACTCAGACGCAAGTTTCTTACAAGACTCCTACTTTGTTCACCGGTTGAAACTCCACGCACGCGCACTTGCCCATCTGAAAAGTGGTTTCGTTTAGTAAGATCATTTGTTCTAAATCATCTCGCCTTCACATCAGGTTTTGCAAACAGATTATGGGTATCGTCCTTATTTGGTAACATTTCTTTTGGGCGTAGCTTGAGCAGCTCAACACGACCGCAAGCCGTCAGAGATATACGAATAGTGTCATTTCGATATCAATTTCTGTAAAATGAGTACGTATCAAATACTTTTGCAGTGACAAATTAAGTGAAAACTATGTTTAGGTGGATTTAATGGCCTTCGAAATCGACCTAAGTTAAAAATTAGTTCGGATGTAATTTAAAAAATCGTGCGTGAATTAGACTGTCTTACTTGTGACATGCACAACAAACGTATTCCTTTTGCTCTCTATAGTACCCTGCAAGGAAAAAAGAATCTCTTTTAAGATTGTCAGTCGTGGAGCCCACAGCTGTGCAGCTTCGAATTTATTCTTGATGTGATTTGCAACTGCTTTATTCGGAACGTGGGTGTTGCATGTATCAAAATCTGTGCTTGCCAAGTACTTTATGTCATCAAAAAATTAATTCTCCCTTGCCCTGAGAGCGTTTTGTCGATTTTGTTAAGATGAGGGGAAAGAAAGAGACTGCAGGCAGTTTTTTATACTTTATGCAGGCCGTAAACCAATGTATGTCTAAAGAGAATTGCTAAGCAATAGCATCAACTGTTGTTTTGTTGCTTTAATTACTTACTAGTGAGTCAGCTGAATCGCTCATTGTTTGATTTTTTCCCTTAAAGTTGTCAACATGGCCCCTCTTTGATTTGGAATGAGAGTTTGATTTGCTGGATTCGGAGCTTGATGGTTTCGTTAACAAGTAGCGCTTGTCTTCTTCATGACAACATAGCACTCGACGATACTCACGGCGAACCTGCCAGTTTGAAAGGAACGGGCATCTTGGAAGTAAGTACATTCTTTGTGGTACAAAATTGTTTCCCGGCGTTTACAGCTTTAAAATAAACTTACAGGGATGTAAGGTTTCAGTAGTAACCGACAGTCCAACTGGAAAACTAGATTCCACTGCGACTGACTAAATGACGAGTTGGTGAGTGAGCTGATGGACTCACTGATTGACTGACTGACCAGCTGCCTGATGAACTGACTTCCCTGACTCTCTGACTGAGAACGTGAAATGATACCGAAGCAAAATCCCCTGAGGAGGACTCACTGATTTCTTACCTTTTCATCTCCAACGCAGTGAAATAAAAAGATGAATAAACCCTACAGGGAATACAAAAAATTTGATCATTGACAATAAGACTATGAGCTAATTACTATATTAGGTTTTTTGGGAGTGTATCTCCTCCTTCTCGTGTTCAAGGCCAATACTCAGCAATCAAAGACGACGAAAGATTTCACATACTTTACCTGAAGTGTGTTAAAAATGGTGAAAAAATAGGCCATAAAAAGTGATTCTTGATTGATATAGAACACTCCAAACATCCATGAAAGACCAAGAATACAAGTTAAGAGCATGCATGCTTTTGACCAACGTCTGAAATAAAGACAAAACAGAAACAACTTTTGGTAACTGACACCATAGGAGACTCGCACAGGGCATTGAGCAGAGTTGTGTCATTTTGTTATATTTGCTTTTTTGTCAGAAAACTTCTGTTCTCACCGTATCCTTCCTGTTCTTTTCCTGTTACTTGATGGTCCAGACTTGGCCATCACATGAAAAGTAATCCCCAAACATACGAAGTTGAACTGCGGAGTATGAGAGTGTTTAAAATCGTCTTAGGCAACGCCATTTGTTACTACTATAGAACAAATTCTGGAGACTTTCTGGAAATTCATAGTCCATGAAAAATTCAGAGATCAGTAATCAGCGCTTAAGAGGAAGAACAGCTTGTCGAAGATAGTACCCATGCATGTTCCGTTTTTGCATTTAAACCAGTAAATAAAATTCGGGTTTTCAAAGTATCGAAATAAACTTATTCTTTACTTCTCGAAGCTTTTGTGCTATTCATACAGCTAAGTAGAGAAAAAGACGTGATATTCAACCGTCTTACCGCAAGTACCAATAAAACTGGTCCAACGAACGACCAAATGAAACCACGCTCAAGAGAAAGCCAACAGCTACAGAGACCGAAAAAAGTCATCCATTAGTTAATGAATGATAGTTATATATAGTTAATCAATTATTCAATTTATGAATCTCCTTTCCTTTATTTTAATTCCTGTAACAGCTCGAGGAGCGATGGACGAAAAACTCAAACTGAAATAGTATGATTGCTTTTCCTTTTTGTTTCGAGCTTATAGTACATCTGTCTGTGTATATTGTCAATATTTTTCAATTCTATAATTGATAACAATATTACTACTCACTAGGCGGGAGTACCATATCCCTCAAGAAACATGACTCCAGAAGTGGCAACTATCACTACTGGTAAACCTGAATAAGAGAAACGGGAAAATAAGCACTGATTACTTCACTTCTTTTACTCAGCAACACGCTCTTTAAAAAAAAAGCTAAAATAAGGATATAAACTTTTGTTCTTACCCCATCCAACGACAAAGAAAATCTTTTTGCTCTTTGTTGGTGCAGTTTTTGTGTGAAAGACTTTTACAAGCATCAGATAGAGCATGACTCCTTCTAGTGCCATCCAAGCAAAAGCCACCAAGAAGAAATAATGCAAAGCTATGGCAATTCCTCTACACACCCACTGGAATAGATGAATAAGAAGCCGCTATTTCATGCTGAAAACTGTGACAATTTTCAAATAAGTGTCTTTAAGAATTCGGTATTAGTTCACTAACTTTGTAATTTATCTACGAAACCTGTGTTACTTGATTCAACAGAGGCTAAACTAAGCGGAGTAATTTTTATGAATGTTTGGCCTTCTTGTTTTCTCCAAAACCGTGGAGAAACATACCCGCTCTCTTTCTTATTCTACTTTAAATTTTTAAAGTGTTGGCAATGGCAATGCGCTCGATAAAAGTTAAAAAATTAATGACCTATAATAAATACGCTGAGATTTCCATCACCTGTGTTTAACAACTGCACAAAGCTATAACAATCACAACTCATGGATAATATTTAGTTATATTTCCTATGACGGACTAACCTCGTTTTTAGTTTTGTTGATACCAAACAAAAACAGCAACTGCGCCAAGATCAGAGCAACCGACAAGTTCTTGTGAATAAACGTACGGGCAGATTTGGAAAACCTGTACACGGTATTACCGTTTAAGTACAATGTTACTAACAGAGTTAGTCAGAAAATTATCAGATTCAAGAATTCACAAATTCCCTTTTCCTTCGATCTGATGTAATTGATGCATGTGACCATGAACGAAACACAATTTCAGCAAAAGTGCTACAATGCAAACTATATTCCAGGGACTCTCTTGGGAACAGAAGGATGTTCCTTCAAAAGACGTATCCCTTCCACAGAGATACCAGACGCAAATGTTACAGAAGCATTTGTCTCAACGTGGACCAAATTTTCTGTCCTTCTAATAGGGGTTTTTCCTCCACTGAAGGTAGTAGAGAGAAACGTCATGCGCGCACTTTTCTGTTGGGATCAAAGTCTGTGCGCTCTAAACTCAGGTATCGCCTGAGTAGCGGTGTCCCAAAGTAAAGGTTTCACTGGACCATTAGTTTTATACATAATATGATACTGGACGGATAACGCAGTTACCTGAAGAAGGAGAACGTCAGGAACGCCAAGCATAATGCTACGACAGATATGCTCACTCCAACATAAGTTATAAGTGTTAACGCAAGCTGATGAGGTCTCTACAAGACAAACAAAAATTTAAGGTCCCAGTAAAATATGATTGCTTTGTCGACATCGGCGATTTTTAAAACGGCTCAAATCCTGCATTTTTCATCTTCCATCACAATCTTACCGACATACTAGATGACACGTCCTCTTTGACACTCATCAAGACAGCAAAGCTTGTGAGATGATAACAATGACAAACGGTATGGGTCGCGTTTGTAGAATTTACTTCACATCCAGCGTCAGACCAGCTAATATTTCTTGAAAAACAAAACAAACAAACATTGAAAACTTAGTCAGGAAGGATCGCCATCAAACGATTCTTTTATTTTTAAAAGGGAACACGGCACGTGGTATTTTCCTGTTTGCTCTTTTAGCTAAGGGATTGACTATCTAGAAAATAACTTTGGCAAAGGAAATAAGGTCGTATCTGAATCTATCTGGCATAGTATCCTTTTCCTCTTTTGTTACGTAAGTAGGGGCTAACGACCTCACGAAGTTATGAATCGAAAAAGCATTGACACTAGGCTGACAGTCGACCAAACTTATAAATGAAATAACATGACGATTAAAGAATCATAAATAAAAACAAATTATTTACTTGTGTGTCTCCAAAAATACACATGATGGTTCATTCTTTCTCCCCTCGACGTCCTATATAAAAGATGCAAAGATTACAAAGAGGAATAAAGAATCTTAGTTTAAACGGGTGATGCATCACTCTCCATACTTTTTCTTTGACTTCCTATGAAGAACCTCCTATGGGCTTACGATGAGCTTGGTATAATTTTGAGAAAAGTATGTTTTGTTAATTGATACGCAAATATCACTTTATTTGAAAAGACAAGTGTTGTGGAACCTACCACAGAGTGACCCAACGTTATCATCACAGGATCCTTGAACGTTTTGTTAGCAAGTGGACGAAGATTTACAGATACGACGGCAGAGGTTATAAAAGGGTGATTTGTCATCTGGTCAGTCTGTCTACTGCGATTCAAATATACAGAGCAAAAATTATTTCTTAACTGTCACTTTAAGTTTCAAACTTTAAAATGACAGGTCTTGCACTTAGAAGCCTAGCGGTGTATTAAACTTAAGAGCAATTTAACTTAAGCTCTATGAGCAGTTCTACTAAGAAAGGAAGTGCTTCTTGAATTTAGCTGAAAATAAACAAATAGTATACATATCCTATTCTGTAAGTCTATGGAAAGACCACGAGAAGGCTCTCATTAGCGCTGCAGCACGAACGGCGAAGCCTGCGAGATTCAAGCCAGCGAGCGAGGCAAGAATTCGTTTTTACTGGGCAGAATGCCATCCTTACTTTCCATCATGATTATGCTGTGTTTTGTACCAGTGTATGTTCTTGATTGCTTTCTAGCCTGTGATAGAAACGCGTCCTTGCGATCGATGGTGACTTTGTTAGATGAAAGTCTTAAGCAGTACTTCTTCACACGAATAATCATGATCTAAGTCAAGAATGCTAAGTTTGAAAAAATCCTAGACACGTGGACCTAAAAACATAATCAGCTAACGAGAAATATTGCACTAAGTTTACCTCTGCTTTCCCCTTGGTGTCAGCAAAGATCCAAGGGTTTTGAAGGAAACAAGGGTGGCAAAACCAGGCCTAGGATCTGTGAAAAAGAAACAGGTTTTTTTAGTTTTTGATCAACAAAAGCAACAGTTGGTCTTCAGATCATTACATCTTATATCAGTAGACTTTAATTCTCATGACCAACAGATAAATAAGTAGTTATGAAATCTCAGTTGATAACGAAATCACCCGTAACGAGCAATCGAACAAAGAGGTAGTCTTAAAGAAGGGATTGTAGTTTGAGTGTTTGCAATCTTAGGATTTCTCGCCCATCACGGACTAAAATCTGATAGTAACTCACTCATTTAGACCCTTAGCGCTGAGTGGAGCAAAGCTCACCGATGCCTATTCCTTCTGCTATAGTTTGAGGACTTTTCAAGGCTCAAGACTTAAAATGGCATGGGTCCTTACCAAATGAAGAATCTCCCATTAGCCAAGATATCGGAAAAGAGACAGCATTCATTGAGGTTTCGTCTCCTTCCTCCGCTTGTTGTGACATAACAAGAGCTTTTTTCCTTCCAACATTCTGTAACGACTCCACGCTAATCACTGTAGGGAAATTAAGACGTAGAATTCACGTCAGCTTGATAAAAATTTTCACCAAAGCATCCCATGAAAGCCCCTCTTTTCCTAAGATTTACAGATAAATCGCTTTCACCTGATTGGCCCTACACTGGTACGTTAGTGGGCTTCATAATGTGAAAAGGACACCTGTCAATAGTAGCTTAAGAAAGGGCAAAAGTAGAAAGAACGAGCTAATAAAGGCTACTACTTAATACTACGTACCAACATTTTCCGTATCAGCTGATTTACTTTGCGAAGTGTTGGCCATATCCAAAGCTACCATATCTAAATTATCAATCAGTGAACTTGCCTTCTCTGTTTGGGAATCCTGTAAGATCGTAAAGATACAATACCTTTTCAGTATATGTTGAAGGCAATTCACTTCGTCGGTGGAAATAAATATGTCAAAGTTTAAGAGATACTTCTGATCTTATATTTCAAGTTACCTTTGGCATGTACCGCCAAGACAAAAGGTTTTTGTCATGTATAATGTTGCTTGCAGTTCCAACGACATCCTGAAAAAGGGAAAGTGTTTTTCGCTGGCACATCAAACATATTTTCATAAATTCTCCCTAACAACAATTTCAATTAAAAGAACATTACATCAGGTTATAATTCAAATGGAATTAACTATTGTTGGTTTTTGATTGTTTATAGTACCGGTATCATTTTAAGTTGCATGCTTTGGAGCAAAAAATATCACCTTTCCTCGGAGTAAAAGCTGCCAAATGGATATAGACTTCGCTTGGAAGTTAGTAACATGACAAAGGAAAAGAGGGAAAAACTCAGTGATGTTAACAAATAAACAAGCTAACCTTAACGAATGTCTCTGAAGCCTCTGCACTTTCGTTCTTCTCAACTCTCATCCCTCTCTCTGATAACACGCCGATGACATCGACCAGTAACTTCAGGTCGCCAGCATACAATGGTTTTCCAGACTTGACGTCAGTCAAGCTTGAAAGCTGACTGGCTAACAAAGATACACTGACGTTTGGATTGTTTAGCTGAAAATACACATTTACGCGTACGGTTAAAAGAAAGTAGATCACACATACATGAAAAGGTTACTGTTGAAAAAACGTCGTGCAAAAAACGAAAGTAAATTCAATTCGATTTAACCATAAACAGTGTAAAAGCACGAAAAGCAAAAACATGGTTCCATACCTGTTTACTGATGTCTGACATCCACTTTGAAACACAATCACCAAGATTAGGTAGTTGCCAGACCGCGGGAGTTCCAGTGCAGCGCCGCAAGGCCACGCCTGAAAATTAATGGAGGGTATCTCAACATTAATCGTGCCAATTAGCAAGCAATAAACGTATTTAGCCACTTGCTTACGACAAGAGTTGACTTACCGACTGTCCCTTCAGGGCAAGCCGCCTCGTCTTCACGGTCGACCATTGTTCTCCTCCATTCAATGCCAACGAAATTTTCTTTAGGACAGAAGGACTCGTCGCCTAACCCTTCCGGGATTTCTAAACAATGTATACTTAGCATTAAAAGCAATCCTCAACTGCAAGGATGTGGACCCTTCTTGTCTTGTCATACAATTATGTGTATTCCACCGCGTAAATTTTCTACATTTATCCACACTGATTTGCTGCTGAATTCGTCGGAACTGAGGGTTGTTAGTGGGTGCGTGTGACACCTGCTCTTTGCTCCGAAAACCTGATGATGATTTATAATAGAAGTGAAACAACCCTATGTGCTCCCTATATCAGTGAGATGCTGGTGAAGATCGCCTCTGAAAATCCAACCTTGTAGATCATTGAATGTGCTAACATTTAGGTACTGCGGTGTTGTAGGCCACAGAGGCATACCACATGGCTTTAAATAGTCTATTTGACCCAAAACACATAGTACAACCTCGTTCGCTTTTACGGCTCCCTATGACTGTCACAAAATTCCCGTTTATGTCCTGAAATGAGATACCACCGGCCTAAAACACTACGGATACTTGCTATATTTACAGCCCACCTTCACAATTTCTTCCTGTGCCAATGTAACCAGGCTGACACTCACATGAGTACGATCCTTCAGTATTGATGCAGGTGGCTTTCACGTGACATATGTGAGTATCATCTACGCACTCGTCGTGGTCTGTACCAGTGAAAAGAAATGAAATATGTGAACACCTCCATCGCAAGTCTAACATGACACGCTACTCAATCACGTAATCCAAGCCCTTTGTAAGAGTAAGATGTTTTGTCCAGAAACCCGACAAATCAAATTACCAGACTGTTAAACTGCCTTGATAGTCATAACCTTACACCAAATGCCCTAAGATAACAAGAGGGATAGGAGTTGATTTCCATAAAGGAAACACAAGTGCTCATTTAGGGATTATGAGACACAAGGGAAGTTTTAGTGACGCCGTACTTTATCTACCTGGCGTTCTAAAGCTTATATCTTCGGGCAGAGACGGTCCAAAACCTAGTTCGTTCCAAGCCTGCACGTTTAGCAAATAGTTGGTCAGCTGTTTCAGGCCATCGATGCGAGCGTGCGTCTCACTGGTTAAGATGGAAATCTTGTCTTTCTTTGAGCTGATGGTCAGGCGATATGAATCAGCAAAGTCGACGCTTCTGCCGTAGAAGGGTGAGCTCCAGTTTAACACCACATGAGACCAGCTTCTAGAGATGATGCTTACATCCATCGGTGAATCTTAGAATAAAAATTGATTAACAGAAAATGAATAGAAATCTGAAATTTCCGCTATTGAGGTTATCCTTCCCTGAAGTATTCTCAAAAGTGTGAATACGAGCAGAGGCTAAATGCTCAATGAGAAAGATACAGGACTAAGATAAAACAGCTAATCACAAATCTGCAAAATCTGAAAGACGCATGTCAGCTTTGCTTCACTGTTATCTTCGCTCTGCTTTTTGACAAATGGAAAAGCAATGAAATGTCAAAGCAGTTCACATCACTGATTTTTAAGTGCGGAAAAAATGCGCTTTACCCGTGTTTAAGTGGTTTTGCAGTGCTCTGACTCTAGATTAATAGAGTCTGTAACCTAACTCTCTGATCCTTTGATTCGTTGGTGTGTTGTTTTCCTTAGACCAATCCCAGAGCTTACTTAAGGAAAACCTGTACCTCGTTTGCCGTGCGCTTCACACCTTTTTAATGTGATGAAAACTGAGAGATTTATGGTAACACAGTGTCAGTACACTTACCGATGATTGGCTCAAGAGCGATACGCCGCACCACGTACGCCATGATATACATGTTGTGACTATTTGGAATATCCTTAATTGAATAAGCACATGAGGTAACATTCCCATCATACACCTCGCGGACGTGCTTTATTCCTTCAAGATCCTCCCACTTAACGAATGCTCGGTAGAAAAACACCTTGTATTTTTCACGTGGTCTTTTCCATGTAACCCGAAGAGCTTGGGATCCATCCACTTGTAAAAGCTTATCCTTGACCGAAGATTTATCTTAAGGGTAAACAGAAAAATAGGGAGTCTTTTCCAATTTTAAATATTTTCAAAGTGTTCTATCAGGTTATTTGATGTAACATGATTAAACTGTGTTTTACAGAAATGCATAGCTTTGGTCATAAAAATAAACACTTATGAAATATAGAGTGTTATTGACTCTATTGCTCTAAAACAAACATACTTTCTCAAGTATGGGAGGTGAATGAAATCACGTTGAACAAAATCATCGAGGCGCCTCAACTGACCTTCTCCGAGTATTAATAAGAGCCTTGAGAATCTAGCTAGCGATGAGTCGACCTCCCTGATCCAAAAACTACGCTTACCATCATATTCTGTCTCTACTGTTATCACTGCAGGAACACTGTCAAGAAAACGTTTATCGCCATAACTTTCCACTTGCACCATGTACTTTGTGTTCATACGCAGTCCAGTAAGGAGAAATGATGTTGAGGACCCCGCCTTGATTTCTGTGGGTTCTTCGTTGGACTCTACCTCATTGTACCTGATCTGAAATGTACAAATTTCGTGTAATAATGCTGCAATGGGAAGTTTATCCAAGCTATCTAACAGCAGTATGGTGTTAAATCACGATCAAGATGATGGCTACTTTCTGTAGTGCGACAATTTTTGTGTTACAGTTCTAGATGGGGGTATTTCATTGAATGGTGTACCTTATATCCCTTGATATCCTTATAACTTTCTAAGGGCGCTGTCCATTTTAGTAAGACATTAACGTGTGACTTCATCTCCACAGTGAGGTTTAGAGGATGGCCTAAAACTGATTAAAGAAATAGTAACGTAAACTCAAAAATCCCGATGTGTGAAAAACAAACGATTAATATGAAAATGTACAACTCCATATACTAGGATAAAGGAAACTAAAGTAAATATTCCACAGATTAATGTATTTACCTAGAGACTCAGGCAACTGAACAACTTTTGCGAAATTTGACTTTTATTTCTTTTTTTGTTTTTTGTTTTTTGTTTTTTGTTCTTTTTTCCTTCTTAAATATTTGTATATTCGACGTTATGTTTCGGAAAAAGATGGTGGTTCTATCTTTTTCACTCACCTTCTCTTTTGGTCCAGCACTCAACTATCTCGCTTGATGCTCCAACAGCCATACGTAAAGCATTCTGAATGCGAAATTTGTACAACGATCCGGGGTCTACGAAATAGGAAATATTACGTTGCTTTCCTGACTAGACTAGATACGGATGAAATACGGGTCGGCTCATTTTTATATCAAGAATAATTTATGCAGGTGTGTTTGAAAGCTCACGAACGCTCTGATTTCTAGCTGTCCGTTAGTCATAAAAACAATTTTTATTCCCAGAAGGAATCAAAATTGTAGCTTTCGAGTTAGTGTAGAGTAAGGCAATCACTCCGACAAGTACGTGATCTGAAAGAAAGAATTCCTCTTGAAAAATTAAAGGTAATTTTAGAAAGACCGACCTCATTAGCACTTTCTCAAAGTTTGAAAACAGAGCAACCTAGGGGAGCACCTCCACCTAACTTTATATTACAGTGGGAGTTACCAAGATCAGTGAAATTTAGCGTTAGTTTCTCGGTCCCTGAGATAAACTTTGTCCAGTTTAACAACTTGTTCCACCACCATACATTGTACCCCGTTAGTATGTCATACGTCATCGGAGGAGGAGTCCATCTGATTGACAGCCATCTCATGGAACCTTTACAAGTGGAGTTTAGTTTTGGAGATTCTGTTAAGAAAAAAAAAGTCTCAAGGGTCAATAGGATTGAGCAATATTACAAGTTCTTAAACAGAATAAAAGACGAATGATGAATAAAGAAGGGAAAAAACTAAGAAACTAAGAAAAAAACAGCGCACATCACAAGTCAGCGAAGATTATGATTGCCATCAAACGATTATAATAAAAACAACTACAGATTTGCACATTAGACATCTCTGGCGTCAACTATTCACAAGTCATTTGGTGTAATCAACTGAGTTTCACTACTTGATCGTCCAATTAGACTTAGAATGAATCAATTAACAAAATCGTCCAGATTTCTCACCAAGCCGAAGAAGTTCGCTTTGTACTGTTGTATACACATTGAAAAATGTAGAAATTCCAGATGACTTTACATGAGTCAAAAGCCTATGTAAAGCATGTTTTTGCAACACTCCTCCTTCATGGTCAACACTATTGATAAACTGTCCCTTTGCGCTCCTATTAGATATACCAACCTAACTTATGACGGCAAACCCATTTCCGCTCATAAGACGTCATCTTTCGATAAAGCACTGTTAGATCTTCGTACATAGCTCGAGCACCAACATCAGGATGGCTCATCTGTGCCCCGGACAAACTCAAATGGTGTTCTAAGACATTTGATCGGTTGTTTCTCCTTGACGTTTCAACCTTACTTGGTGAGGCCAGGGCAATCTGGTTGCAGTTCTGAAATATCGCCAGTCCCGATTTTGGCTCCCACGTGAACATCACGTGCGACCATACTTTTGGTTTAAGGGTTAAAGACCCATTCCATTCTCTTTGCCCATCGTTAACTTTAAGGACAATGGTGTTGTTCGCTATGTCATCTGATTCCTTATATATTGTAAAACCCTCTGAGTATGTCAGGTGACTCGAGGTTCCCACGAAATATCTCTTGTTCCTATTTGGGTAATATTTCAGCCATAGAAAAACTGTTAAGGCCTCTCTGCATCTTGAAGGTTCCGCAATGCAGGAACCTGTAAAGTTTCCAAGGTCAACCCAGGCTCTTCCGTTCGTATACAAAAAGCCGTTTCCAGGCCCTCTGTAAAGAACGTTCTCGATTTTACCATGTTTGACTCCAGTAAGGTTGGTTTTTAAATCAGTCAGGCCGTTAAGACGATTTAGGGGCCAATAATGAGCAGTAGAATTAATCAGACGAAGATTATCTGAAATAATGAAATAATACTATTAGGATCCTCTTTGTAAGTCACTTTAAAATCTAGCCTCTTTTGATTATGTTGAATTTTAATTTAACTCAAGAGGCACTAGAGAGATAAATAAAAATAATGTAAATCATTCTCGGCTTCCCCATACTAACTAAATCTTATCACTTCCGGATCTCTCTGTCAAAAAACAAACACATTTTGCTATATGTCACTTCATATGTACAGTCAACGCTTACGTGAGTAAATTAACTTGTGATGTCATAGATGCTACGAAAACAAAAACAACATTAGACTAACATAAACAGATTTGACACAAAGGAAAGTAATTAAGTCCACTGATCCGCTTAGGAAAAATTCTTCTTCAAAGTGATTTTCGATACGTAATCTTTTCCAGTCGGGACTATCTGTTTCGCGGCTGAGAAATCCATTTTTTAAGTTGGAGGTTGGAGTTTTAGATGGCATTTAACCTTAAATAAACAGATACTCTGACTAGCCGCAATGGAAACTTTCCAATTCCAAAGCTGTTCTGTCAAACACCACAAACGGCCAGGCGGTGTTTCTTTGTTTCATTCGGCATAGCTTGCGATTTGATTATGTTATCATCTGATGGTATGTTTTAACCTAAAACGCATATAATTGGGAAACAATTCGCTATATACAAGACACGACGTAATGTCGAATTGTTATTTGCTATTCATGTAAACTCTTAAGCCCTTTTGAACTAACTTTATTCTCACATATGCCTCTAAAAGTACGTCTTCATTATATCAGTGCTAGTGATGGTTTGCGTATGAACAAGAGACATAATAATTCCATCGCTTATCGAGAACGTTTGTCGTAAGGGACGGCCGTGCTCACTTGGGAAAGCTAAAAGATCAGACTTGTGATACCGACACAGTTTCTCTCTGGTTGTATACTTGTGATAATCAACATTCTGACTGTAAAAAATCCTTTTTAACCTAATTGCAAAGTTACTAAAGTGTGTCCGTAAGCGTATGACTGTCTGAACATATCAGTCTTTAAGTTAATTCCACTTTCGCTCCGCATAATCCATTCGAACGCAGAGCTCCGATCGTAATCCGAAATATGCTAGGAAAAGAGAAGATCAGAGCAGTGATACTTGTGTTTACGAGCGAAAAGGTTTTTTTCGTTTGTTACGGATAGAGGCCATAAGTAACCTTTAAGAGAAGCACTTAAAGACATGGAAATGATGCCATATCATAATAATAGAGTAATTAAATTCCAAAACAGCGAAAGAGGTACCTAACTTTCGAAGTTGCATTGGTATGATTATGGTTACTATTAACTACAACATTCAAATGAAACGGTAATTACTAAAAAATCTGCTCACCTGCCGTTCCTTTGATTTGCGCAATCGTTAACAGCAGCATACAGCAAGCAACCTTCATTGTTTAATTGCGCTCCCTTGGATCACGTCCTTAGTTGAAATTCACTATTGATGAAAATATTAGTTTAGTCTCCTTTTCACGCAGATAAGCAATCGGCTAACAAAGCTGGAAAATGTCAAACAAAAGCATCTTTCAGCCTAGTGTCAAAATAGATTAAGGTTGCTATACGTGTTACGAAATGCACAAAGCAAAACTTGCTGCTACCCTCAAGGCTCTAAAGTGATGTCGGATGCTTGGGTGAAGACGCGACGTTGAGTTGTAAATTCAGTCTTTTGCTGACATTTTAATTAAAAGCATGTTTGCGGCTTCTAGTTATTGCATGAATAACCGTCACGAGATTTTCCTTTCTTTCGTGAATAATCTCTAGTTTTAATCACTGTTTTCTATTGAAGATAAACTCACCTCTTTTTTTTCTCTATAGCTGAAAAACAGCAACTCTTTAAACAATTTCCGCCAAAGGAAAATAAAAGCAAGAAAGCATCCGACGTTTAATGAACAAACAATGTGGATTTCGTTGAGCGCGCCCTTATGACCCCAAACTTAAGAAATGCCCACTCCACGCGTGTTTCACTTGACATATTGAATATCATTTATGTCTCTTCTCTTTTATCTCAATTTTTTCCCTTCAGTGACAGTACCTACGAATTACAACACGATATTTCGAACATCTGACGTCAACTCACACATCGTAGCCTCACGTTCACTTGATAGAGACTATACCTACCCTCAGGGCCTCGTTATTCTAGACGCTATCCAACGGATAAATCGTTATCCACCGGTGTGCGTAAAAAGACGCACTGCGCTATTAATCGGATGAAATTCATCTGGTAGATAGCGTTATCTACACTTCGATCGACCGGGGCCAGATCCTTAATTTACGGCATTTTGAAGATTCTAGCTCAATTTCAGTCAAGTTGGCATATTTTACTTGAACGTAACTGCAGCCAAGTTGAAAGGGCCTTGTCAAGCTCCGACAAGACACCGTGTATCTAACCAAAACGGAACAAGGAAGGTTAAGGACGGAGATAATTAACACAGCATAAAAAAATTTAGGAACAATTTTTCTAGATAATCAATCCGTGACCTAGAAAGTTTATTTTTGTTTCACAAAACTCGATGTAATTAGTTAGTTTTAATAACGAACAGGACTATTAAAACAAGAATTGGTTAATCAGTCGTTATTGGATTGAAGGGTGGTAAATAAATGAATCAAACCGACACCATAAATAAGTAAATTTTGTGAATAGTTGAGATCGTAAAGCCTTGTATACTTAATTATTTTTCTCCATTTCAAGGGCTTGAAATACTAGACACTTTTGAATAGCGTCTGAAGAATTGGTAGTCTTGTAACCGAAGACTGAGCAGGGCACTAAACGCCAACTGGTCATGTTATCTGGCACGATGCCATTACAAGTAACACTATCGTCACCGAGCTCACAAAAAAAGAAACTAATAACAATGAAATAAATAACACTGAAGGGTCCTCCCAAAAGCAAGCCATACTATATAACCACAATACTACCACAAGGGGTCGGCATTCTTTGAGCCCGGCATTGCTCCTCGATATGAATAATTTTTTTTTATGTTTTTTTTATTTTGCAGGATGAAACTTTTTCCATCTTTACGCAGTTAGTCAGGTATAGAAAGCTTTGAACTACGTCCTATGCTGTTTTTGGGCTTGAACAGTTTCCTTTTAAACGAGTTTTTGCTTCTTGAGTAACACTGCTAGGTGTCACAGCCTACTCTGCTTTTGACCATCAAAAGGCTTGGGAACAATTCGATGGTCATCAGCTAAACGAGTTATCTTAGATGATACTAAGGAGCTTGAAATAACAATGTCATATTCGCAAGGGAGCGAGAAAACCTCTCGATAGTCACCTGTACCATATTTGGAATGGAGCATTCTGGATAAATTTAGCCAACATCGGAGGAAATACATGTATAGACACGCGCCACTTCACCATTCCGTCTCTGGACTCATCCTTATAAGGATTACAGCAATAATCCTCATTTGGAAGAATTAACTATTTTTGAAGTTCACAGTAAATCAGTATGTTCACCAATTTATTTTTGTTTCTTTTTAAGTTGCAAGTTATTGGCTGCAATAAATCACGACAAATGGTGAAGTAATACTAACAGTCACCTAAAACGCTGACCTTTGGTTATATGTTGAATATTTTTGAGGAAACTAAACGTCACAATGTTTAAAATCAATTAGCTAGTTGGATTTTTTTCATGTCTTGAAGAGAGGCACTAACAACATCTTGTCAACGAAGGCGTGTTTGATGTCTGCTTTCGTAATTGCAATTATTTACCTACCTAGATGATAGCTTTCCCTTCAAATAACCCGCGATTAAGATGACTTTTGCTCATGTCTATCAATAAAAACTTCCAAGGCTAGTTTGGGCTTACGATTTTAAGTCATCATGATTTGAGAAACGGAGTAAAAGGTAGCGAAATGATGCATGTCGATTCCACAGCCGGAGATTTTGCGGTGACTGAGATCTAAATACAATTAGATGTCGAATCCTATCAGTTTCCTAAAGATGCAAAGTATTTCCAGTAATTCTTCCGTCAAACATTATGCCGGACGTTACGCCTTCGACTTGGTATTTCAATTAAATATCATTACCTACAGCACAGTGCATTGGACACATCCTCACATATCATCTGGGTAATGGTTAGATATTTTTTATTTACTCTGCCCTGCTGATCAGAGTAGAGATTCACAAAATCAGTTACAACAATCAGTCAAAAATTTTGTTATTGATAAGAAGCACTTCAGCTCTAGTGAGGCCTTCATCGAACATGATCTTGGACCGACGCTATCGATTGCAAAGTAAAAATTGCCCTCATTTTCTAGTCATTTCGAGTATGTGCGATAACTGAAAAGTACTGACAGAAGATCAGAAAATAAGAATGAGGCCCCTTTCGCCTATTTCTCCCTTAAAACACACTTTTTTTCGAGAAATGTCCATGACAAAACGAAAAACCTATGTGTGTCTTGAGTTCAACAGCTGAAAAGTAACATAGCCGTATTGACACTTTGAATTTACACGCTAAAACAATTTTAGCAAACCCGACATATTATTTCAATTAGCGTGAGCTTATCAGACTCTTCCAGAATTCACCTTAAAACCGTTTTACGTGTTACACAAGACTTGCTGAAGTGTGGTGATTAGAACAATCCAGTATGAACTGAGCAAGTACTGAGAACTTTGCTTATTATCGAATAGCCTTCTGCGTCGATCAGGGCTTCGCCTGCCTAGAAAATCTTAGAAACCATTCCAAAACAAACGAACAAATGAATAATTCAAATTGATTACCCACAAGTATTTCAAAGGAATGACTAATGAGGCATAGTAGGCCTTTATCCAAATGAAAGTTATTCATCAGAAATTCACCGTTGACGTTTTTTAAACGTCTCATAAATGAAAGGTCAACAGGGAACGAAATTATGAAAATCATCAAATAACCGTCATAGATAGCAGCACTATTTCAGCCTGATGTCCCATCACAGTGTAAGGCGAATAATAATTGACAACGGTAAAAGAGTAGATAATCATTAATCCTGTCCCAAGTTAGAATTTTTCCTTCTAAAAGAAGACAGTCATGTACAAATTATTGAGTAAACATATTCCTCCCCGACTGTCACTTGGCTTATAGAAAGAATCCGGTAAAGAAGTCCTGATTTGAAATAAATGAGAACGTGATCAAGAAAGTCAATTTTCCATATCAAAGAATGATGTTTTTATGGAACATCGATTACGTAGAGACAAGTCGGCAATGGCTTACCTTATAGCGCGGATCATATATTTCTGTCGATTTATCCTGTTTTAGTCAACACAGGTGAAATGAAATGTTACAATTTCGAATTATGGTGCGTACGAATCACAACTTACAGCCATTATTCCTTTCCACCAACGTTATATTGCACGTTTATGCGCCAAAAAATTAGTATCTTACCCACTCAGTTCATCTTGTGAGAACCGATGCTGTTTCCTCTGAATATTAATCGTGCTAATCAGTATAAAAAAACTCAGCTATTTATAAGTGGCGCTAAAAGAATCCTAATCTTCTTTAAGTAACTTAATAAGCAGATGTTATTACAGTTATGCAACCACAGGAGTTCAGGTAGAGTTTTCATAGCTGCAATACCTCTTCTGTGGTATGTCTGCGGTAAAGGAGTTTTTTAGTGTAGTGGGATTGCGTAAGTTTTATCAGTCATCTGTGTCATTTTTTGTTTTTTTATTCATTACTAGTAAGTTTATGTGAATAGAGGTCGTCTCCTTAAATGACTTTGTTAATTTTTGTCACAAATGAACGTAGAAAGGCTGGCGGTCCACAATTTACCTCTAACATATGCAGGTTTTGTACCTCTCGCTGGTGGTTCGAGAAGTTTCTGGGCAACCCAGAAACTTGCCTTCCAACAACAAGACGAATTTATAATCTGAGAGACGACCTGTACTAAAGATGCCTTAAAAACCCAAAGTCATCTCTTTAATTCATTGAGTCTCTTTTACGTTATTACTTGTAAGTGACTGTGAAGAATTCATAATTTCTTTGGTAATTATAGCAATTTTGATGACTATCTCCTCTTTAATTCTGTCCTCTAATCCTCGTATTTTCATACATTTATCATTTCGCAGAAAGCGTATCGATTGGATTTCGCTAAACCGAACTTTGAGTAATTATGGTGGCCTATCAGAACAAAGAAAAAGTAACAAAAGGAGCCAATGAAGACTCGACATAAAACCAAACAGATTTCCTGAAGCGCGGGAAAACGCGAGTATGGAAAATTAGTTTTAGTTTTGCATAATTAATTTTTGCATTTTCTTAGAAATTGGGACGGTTTTTTCTAGGAGTGTGGCAAGGCAAATTAATGAAATCCTGAATTGCTTTCGAAACAATTGAAAACTCCTCTGAGAGAGATTAATTCAGGTTACACGTGTAAAGCATCTTGGTAACAACAATTTACCGCCAGACTTAATCAAGAGAACAAGATCATGACTGGCTTGTGTGATAATTGACAAGCGACGCTATGACTGAACTGTCAACTTTTCAGATGCAAACTGTAATAAATAGCATTACCACCATCTGGCATTATCGCTCTCCTTTTGTACAAACCTATGAGTCCCTTCTGCGTGCTTTTTACAGAATTTGATTACGTCTTTGTTTTTCTTTCTTAGTTGTTTATATTTTTGAGTGAAATCCTGGTAAAAATTCTCCACAAGTTCTCTCATTTCGTCTTCATCCTGGCAGGTCCTTCCTGCGAAGAGTAAGTGCAAAAAATTGATGTTGCCCTCTTGGGAATGAATGGGAATTGTAGAGTTGCATAACAGCAGATATTGTTATTTTTTATAATGAATAGGATTACCTATATGCCTGATCTTTTTTCCTCTCAGCCATCGAAAAGTTTCGTAGATTACTCCACATAGAACTAGACCTGCCAAAGCTCCTCCCCCATACTTCAATGTTCCTTGAAAGAAGGGACTTTTTGGTTCAAAAAATACCAGTTCCTCCTCCTCTTGCACAGTTTCCTGTGTAAATGATATCGAAATAAAGAAACTGCTTCGTCATCCATCGAGGCACGAATGAGTAAAAGTGCTTATGCGAATCGTT